AATTTTTGTTCTGGGGTTTCCCTGTTTGGTTTGGGGGTTCGCAACCCTGGCCTTTGGCAGGTGGTGTCAGCAAGATGCAACTGCAGCACATGGAACCATATCGCTCACTGATAGATGTGTGGTGACAAAAAAAAAGCAGATTGATGGCTGGGCACCTCCAAGGGTGCAGGGTGGCAGGTGTCCCTGAACTAGATTTGTAGCAGCTGTGGCAAAATAACCTGGTGAATTCTGCAATTGGGGATTGTGACTGGGTTTGCACTGAATTTTCACTGGTGTTTTTCATATTTGTTTGGCAGTGTACTAGCCCTGGAAAACGCCCAATTTTGGGCATTGCATTCTTGGAATGATGGATAAGCATGAAGCAAAAAACTTTTGAAATGAATGAAGAGTGCAAAAAACTCTTGGCTCATGGATTCATGTGCTATCCCAGTGGCACTGCACCAACCCTGAATTTCCAAATTCAATTTCATAAATCATTTGGCAACTGTTCAACTCCCAGATCTATGTATTATGTATGACTTTTCCTGGGGTGAATTCCAGTGACACCCAGGCACCATTCAACTTTCCAGTATGTGATTTGGGTTTTCTAACAGGTTTGTCAGCATCACTGGGCCTAAAGTGTGTACTAACTTACAGTTGCCATGGGAAAAGCAAGAAAGGAAACACACTGGATTTTCTTAGCTTTCAATAGGGCTATTGTTTTCTATACTTTTCCTCTCCCAATTAAAGAAGGTACATCTAAGGAAGGGAGCAATAGGGATTAATGATAGACGTGTCGTGTTGCGTGTTTTTTGCAAATCGCATTGGCAGGGCTGCGTCAAGTGGCGACGAGGTGCAAATTCCGTGGCAGGCGTGGCATTTTGTGCAATGTGCTGAAGATTGACGGAAGCCTCGCACGAAACATCGATTTTGAGGTTGCCATTTATCAGGTTCTAAGGAAAACTCGTCGGAAAACGTCGATTTTGAAGCTACAAAGTGTGAAAATTGGAGGAAGTCTCGCACGAAATGCTCGTTTTGGTGCTTCCACCTGTCTCGTCTCGCGTGTCTGGTTTTCCCGTGGCATCGCCGTGTCTATGGGGGAAGCTGCAAAACTTGTCCTTTCGTCATGTTGCCAACTGTGAAAAGTGTCGGAAGTCTCGTACGAAATGCTGGTTTTTCTGCATCCACGTGTCTTGTCTCGAGTCGCTGGTTTTCCTGTGGCGTCGCCTGTCCTTTTCGAATGTTTCCAAGCAGGTTGTCATGTCGTTTTGCGTGGCAGGCGTGGCACTTTTTGCGTGGCAGGCGTGGCACTTTGTGACATTCCAACCTGTCTGATAACGTGTGGAAAATATCAAAATTGGAGGAAGTCTCGCACAAAATGCTCGTTTTTTTGCATCCACGTGTCTCGTCTCGAGTCTCTGGTTTTCCTGTGGCGTCGCCGTGTCTATGGGGGAAGCTGGAAAACATCTCCTATTCGAATGTGTCCAAGCAGGTTGTCATGTCGTTTTGCGTGGCAGGCGTGGCACTTTGTGACATTCCAACCTGTTTGATAACGTGTCGAAAATATCAAAATTGGAGGAAGTCTCGCACAAAATGTTCGTTTTGGTGCTCCCACGTCTCGTCTCGAGTCTCTGGTTTTCCTGTGGCCTCGCCGTGTCTATGGGGGAAGCTCCGCACTCCACACTCTACACTTTACACTCCACACTCCACAATTTACACTTTAGACTCCACTCTACACTTTACACTCCACACTTTCCACTTTGCACTTTACACTCCTCACTCCTCACCTGAGACTTTACACTCCACACTCCACACTTTACACTGCACTCTACACTTTCCACTCCTCGCTCCTCACTCTACACTTTACACTCCACACTCTACACTTTACACTCCACACTCAACACTTTACACTACACACTCCTTACTTTACATTCCACACTTCACACTCCACACTTTCAACTCCACACTCCACACTTTACACTCCACACTCCACACTTTACACTCCTCACTCCACACTTTACACTCGTCACATTACACTCTACACTCCACACTCTACACTTTACACTCTACACTTTCCACTCCTCACTCCACACTTTACACTCCTCACTTTACACTCCACACTCCCCACTCCACACTTTACACTCCTCACTCTACACTCCACACTCCTCACTCCATACTTTGCACTTTCCACTCCACACTCCACACTCAACACTCTACACTCTACACTCCACACTCCACACTTTACACTTTACACTTCTCACTCCGCACTCTACACTCCACACTCCCCACTTTACGCGCCACACTCCACACTCCGCACTCCACACTCCACACTCCACACTCCACACTTTACTGTGCACTCCACACTCCACACTTTATACTTTACACTCCTCGCTCCACACTCCACGCTTTACACTCCTCACTTTACACTCCACACTCCACACTCTACACTTTCCACTCCAGACTCCACACTCTACACTACGCTCCACACTCCACACTCCACACTTTACACTCCACACTTTACACTCCACACTCCACACTTTACACTCCACACTCCACACTTTACACTCCACACTCCACACTTTACACTCCTCACTCCACACCCCAAACTTTACACTCCACACTCCTTACTTTACACTCCGCACTTCACACTTCACACTTTCCACTTCACACTCCACACTCCACACTTTACACTCCACGCTCCACACTTGACACTCCTCACTCCACACTTTACACTCCACACTTTACACTCCACACTCCACACTCTACACTTTACAATCCACACTTTACACTCCACACCCCACATTCTACACTTTACACTCTACACTATACACTCCACACTCCACACTTCACACTTTACACTCCACGCTTTCCACTTTACACTCCCCACACGCCACACTCTACACTTTACACTCCACACTCTACACACCACACTCTACACTTTCCACTCCACACGCTACACTTTCCACTCCATACGCTACACTCTACACTCCACACTCTACACTTTACACTCCACACTCCACACTCTACACACCACACTCTACACTTTCCACTCCTCACTCCACACTTTACACTCCTCACTTTACACTCCACACTTCACACTCCACACTTTGCACTTTACACTCCTCACTCCACACTCTACACTCCACACTTCACACTCTACACTCCACACTCTACACTTTACACTCCATACTCCACACTCTACACTTTACATTCCGCATTCTACACTTTACACACTCTACACTCCCCACTCCACACTTTACACTCCACACTCCTTACTTCACACTCCACACTCCACACTCTACACTTTCCACTCCACACTGCAGACTGGTAACAAGGGAAACATGCACGAGACTGTTCAAATAAACTATTGCAGAAAGGTATTGTGCGTGACTGCAAAACCATGTGTTTTGACATCTGTGCCATTAACATACGTGTGAGCATTCGGGTTCGTGGGCTTCATCTTGTTTTTTTTTGGGGACACGATGATAGAATCTTCTGAAAAAAAGGCGAAAACTCGTGCTCCAAGAGAGATTTTTCCCCATGATTCCCATGATGGGATGCCATCCCATGGGCCAAATGTGCCACAGTTCGGCCCGAGAAATTCATCACCGATTTTTCGTGGAAACTCATCTGAAAAAAACGAAAAATGGCGGGGTCTATGTTAATTTACTGGAGGGTATCATGTTACATATCTCATATGATTTTCACTTGATTTTCATTTGTATACCATGATTTTTTGATTCCAAAAATGTAGAGAGCAAATTTGTGGATGAAACTGTAGGGCCAGGGATATCACCAGGGATGGAAAATCCCAAGAAACCATGATCATCACCATCCCATCATCCCGGACAGGTTTATTTTGCGTGGTTTATCATTGGGCTTACCACTGTGGTGAAATATCATAGCCCTTGTGTTTGTTTATAAACCACCATTATCATGAGTTATGACCTAAAATTCATGGCATACCCGGCATACCCCATGATAAACAGGAGGGAGCGATTCGCAGCTACGACAATCCCGCACTCCCAAAAATCCTCTCATGGCTCGCCGGTTGGGGCTACGACGGCTGAGTTTCCATCGGAATGCCCCAATGGGAATGCCATGATTTTCCCATCAGCCCATGCAAAGTTCACCAATTTGTGATGGTTAAATCACCATTTCCCATGATCTTCCTCTGACAATTTCCCCCATTTGAAACCCATGAAAGGTTGGGAACGAAACAGATGATTCGGCAGCCACCCGCTGCCGAGGATTTTTGGCCTCCCCACTGTTGGGAGCTGGCAGCATGCGTGCAGCCCTAGATCCGGTATGTTACATCACTATTGGGAAAATGGCCCCATTTGTAGATGATTTACTTCTTGAAAAGGGTGATTTTCCATAGATTAATGGTGATTTACTTATTAAATAGCCCATTTATAGATGGTCTACCTATCAAAAATGGTGATTTTCCATAGTGAACTGTTACTATGTTCAATTGCCGGGTTTTTCTGGTAAAGGGATGAAAGAAGCCAATTGCAACCGACATTGGGACTGAATGGGACCCAATGGAACCCAGCAATACCATGAGAAGATGCCATTGGACCGCCGCCTGTTCTTCAAAGGCTCCAGCGCGGTGTTTTGCGACAGCACTGGAATGATGGTTACGGTAGGTTTTTCTTTATGAATTCATCCCCAAATGGCTGAAGTCTTCAGATGAATTACCGATGCAATTTCTCCAGATTCCTTTTTTTTTTTACAAAGACAAGAGGGACATGCAGTGATGCCAGGTGAAACAAGAGGTCAGGCGAAACGAATTTCAAGGTTCAGTGGAACACCAGGAGTGATATTAGCCATTCTGAAGCCATTATATAAAACCTTTCCATTTCAGGGTGACCCATGTTAAAGGCATAGCTGCTGCAGTTGCATGTTTTTGCACCAACACATCAAACCGGCCTCGATTCCAGCAATGGCTTTTGCAGGCGTGTCTCATACAGTGCTTCTCCGGAGTGATGGCAGTGCTGTTGCCATCGGGCAGAATAATTTGGACAATGCAACATCCCAGCTTTGGAGGATGGAATGGCATACACCCAGATATCTGCAGGTTTTGGTTATACAGTGCTTCTCCGGAGTGATGGCAGTGCCGTTGCCATCGGGCAGAATGAATATGGACAATGCAGCATCCCAGCGTTGGATGAGGGAATGGCATACATTCAGGTCGCTGCAGGAGTTTTGCATACAGTGCTTCTCCGGAGTGATGGCAGTGCTGTTGCCATCGGGCAGAATAATTATGGACAATTCAACATCCCAGCTTTGGAGGATGAAATGGCATACGCCCAGATTTCTGCAGGTTTCGATTATACAATGCTTCTCCGGAGTGATGGCAGTGCTGTTGCCATCGGGAGGAATGAATATGGACAATGCAGCATCCCAGCGTTGGATGAGGGAATGTGGTATACCCAGATCGCTGCAGGATTGCATCATACTGTGCTTCTCCGGAGTGATGGCAGTGCTGTTGCCATCGGGCAGAATGGAGATGGACAATGCAACATCCCAGCTTTGGAGGATGGAATGGCATACACCCAGATATCTGCAGGTTTTGGTTATACAGTGCTTCTCCGGAGTGATGGCAGTGCTGTTGCCATCGGGCAGAATGAATATGGACAATGCAGCATCCCAGCGTTGGATGAGGGAATGTGGTATACCCAGATCGCTGCAGGATTGCATCATACTGTGCTTCTCCGGAGTGATGGCAGTGCTGTTGCCATCGGGCAGAATGGAGATGGACAATGCAACATTCCATCGCCAGAGCCGGGAATGTGCTACATTAGCGATATGAGAGTTGGAAGAGACCTGACTGCACAACTAGAGCTTGCAGGCGAGGATGATGCTGTCACGCTGATAGGCTCTAGTTTGGCTGGGGAAGAACGCTTTCGCTTGACTGCACATGGCGATGATTCTGCCTGGGAGACATACAAAAGAATCGCCCGCGAATTGAAGATGAACCTTTGGAATCTCCATCTGGTTTTGCCAGATGGTCAGTTGTTGGCCAAAGTCTGCCGCACAAATCCAGCGTCCTCAGTTGCGGATGTGGCAACTCAGTTTCCGAGCCACAACTAGTGCCCGGTGAGGCTGCGTCCGTGACGCCAAGAGAACCAAATGCAATTTGGGGAGACGGATCAAGCTACCTATGAAATGCGAGGTTAGTGGGACTTAACCATCCAGTATCACGGTTTTACGGGGTTTGAAGTATCAATGATTTTTTTTTTTGGGAAAGCCAGTGAGGCTCCAGGCGGAGAGAGCATCTTTTGTGTGGGGATCTGGCGAACTGAACCAGGGGATACCAGGGGAATCTGCGAATCCGGGGAAAATTGGGGAATGAGGATCATGAAGGATTAAGGGGAGGATTTCTCCTGGGATACGGCCATTGTAGGGAATGATTTTAATGGGGAGGTATGATTTTTGGGGGAGTGTATTGAAGGATTTGACGAACAACACGGGGATGTATCATCGACACCAGCTAACATGATGGGATATTGTGGGGATATTTTCATATAGAATGCATGGCCAACTAAATGCATTACTTCTAGTTATTCGATGGTATTTGGATTTGTCCAGAAGTAGGGGGAGACCAATCTATGGATTCTATGGATCAAGGAACCTCGTGGTAGGGAAGTCATCCAAGGGCTGATTTGCTCAGATGAATTATGACAGAAAAATCCAGATTCCCTTGACGAGAGGGGCATGCTGTCAAGATGCCACAGGAAACAAGACGTCGCCCTGCTGTTTCTCGGGCACGAGTCCAAACCTGTGCAATTTTGTGCATGGAATTTTGGCGTGTCAGATTTTGAGCACATATTCCCACATATTGTAGGCACTGCTGCATGTTGACCACCGCCTTAGATCAAGTTGGCCTTGATTGCAGCAATGGTTTCGGCAGGCCTTTCTCATACAGTGCTTCTTCGGAGCGATGGCCGTGCTGTCGCCATCGGCGAAAATAGAGATTGACGATGCAACATCCCACCCTTGGACGAGGGAATGGCATCCGCCCAGATTTCTGCCGGCCTGTCTCATACAGTGCTTCTCCGGAGCGATGGCGGTGCTGTTGCCATTGGAGATAACAATAGATAATAGAAAAGGACGATGCAACATCCCACCTTTGGATGAGGGAATGTGGTATACCCAGATCGCTGCAGGATTGCATCATACTGTGCTCCTCCGAAGTGATGGCTGTGCTGTTGCCATCGGAGAGAATAGAGATGGACAATGCAACGTTCCGTTGCCAGAGCCGGGAATATGCTACGTTGGCGATTTGACATGTGGCAGAGACATAGCTCTACAAGTAGAGTGTGTGCGCGTGGGTGATGCTGTGACGCTGATATGGTCAACTTTGGCTGGGGAAGAACGCTTTCGCTTGACCCGCAGGGAGCGCTGATTCGGCCTGGGAGACGCACAAAAGGATGGCTTTCGCTTGACGCACAAAAGACAAACCTCCCCAATCTCCAGCTCATTCTGCCAGATGGGCAGTTGTTGGCCAAATTCTGCCGCGCAAATCCAGGGGCATCAGTTGCGGATGTGACTCAAAGTATTAGTCACTAGTCGCTAGTCCAGCTGGCAACTCGCACTTTCGCCAAGGTGGTGCAGCGGTGAACCCCCACCAACCTGTGCAACCCTCGTGAAAATGACATGGGGACCTATGGTGGGACCGCCCAGTACCGGCGGTCCATGACTTTGAGACGTTATCTTGCAAGGTGGATGGATCAAGCTACCTATGAAATAGCAATATATACTAAGTTACACTAAGTTACTATCAATGGTTGGGCGGATGAACGTCCATAAATCCCGGCTGTTTTGGTGTGAGCAGAGGGTAGGGTGAAGTGATTCAATATCACTCCATATGAATGGATCCAAGACCAAAGCAGGGTTTCCAATGGAGCATTTAATAAAATGGGAATAGGATTATAATCTTGGCCAACCATGCGAATCCCACTCTCAACCAGCGGAACCACAGGCTGGGTTTCACATAGTTTCAAACGGAACTTCCCAATTCTGCCCCTTAAACTTTGGTCATCTTTGGTCCCAATGAACCACAGGAAGTCATTGGATTTTTCTGGGTTCCCGGCTTTGCATCCCACCATCTTCCGCCGTGCCATGCGGCATTTCCCTCGGCTGCGCAGTGGACACGGTAGCTACGGTGGCTGGGCGTTGAGTCCTGGGTCACCTGAGGGTTGATGTGGTAGAAATATGTAGAAATTATTGCCCGGATACCATCAGAAAACCTGTTTTCTTAGAGTTTTTTTTTGTTGTTTGCAACCCCCAAATGCTTGTTTTTTGAAAATGTGAAATGCCAATGCCTCTAAAATTCCGTTTTAATAGGGAAAAAGGATGAAAAAGGATGATTGAACCAGTGAATGTGGCATTCAAATCGTCGAATTTGGGGGTCGCCCAGGACGTAGTTTCAGCAGCAGGGAACTCCTCTACGAAGGCCGGACAAAATGGGTCAACCGACGGGATGTTTGGCGCGAGAACAAGATTACACTTGCAAAAATGCCGGCAAGCCACAAGGGAAAAAGGAAGTATTCAGAAATTCAGGCATTCTATGTCCGAAACATCTTGGACGTGGACATCTGCCAGTTTCTTCAAACGGAAACTCATTTTCGCTCAGATTCCTTCCATCCTTGTCTTATCCCACTTCATATCCCCAATTTGTTGCTCGCTACTCTACCACTGAAGTGTGGTTCATTGTTATATAATGTTCATATACCAACCTTCAATAAAATTATGGTCAGATAGACAGATTGATATATCGATAATCACACACACACACACCCACCGTAAACCAACATAGCTATGGAAAATCAGCCTTTTAATAGCTAAATCATCTATAATTGGTGACTTTTTTCCATAGCTATGTTAGATTACCAGAGAGTATCATAAAATAAAACCAGCTATATATCATACACATATCATACATATATCATACACAGATACTACACATATCATACATATATCATACACATATGTATATATAATACATATATTCATACATCATACATATATCACACATATCAATAGATACATACACACACATATATATATATTATACATATATAACATATATCAACCCACCAATATTCCCAATATTCCACCATCTCATATTGGGCCCATGGCCTTCGTGAGGCCTTCGCCTGCAACGTCGGGGCGACGCCGCGGGCGCGCTGCAGCGCTTCGGCTCCGCGGGCGGAGGGCCGGAGCCGCCGCAGGTTGCGCAAGCGGCGCACAATGCCGGGGGGCACGGCAGGGTGCGGTTGGGAAATTGGGATGTTCTATGGTGGTCAATGGTGATTAATAGTGGATGAATTGCGATTAATGGTGTTTATTAATGGCTATTAGTGAATTAATGGATATTACCCTCTGGTAAACTAACAGTTTGCCATGGAAAATCAGCCTTTTGAATAGGTAAACCATCTATTTCTATGGGCCATTTTCCATGGCTATGTTAAATTACCAGAGGGCATATGATATTGTATGATCTAATCATAGGGGGACAAAATAGATAGTGATAGTAACATAGCAGCTTGTTGATACCCTTGGCTGCTGACACGCCTGTCTACCGTGGTACGGCGGTTGTTTTTCACTCGCCCTTTAGCTTAGCTGAACTCTTCGAGAAGGCGATGGAGAGAGAGAGAGAGAGAGAGAGAGAGAGAAAGAGAGAGAGAGAGAGTAACATACTTATAGCCTTCAGACTTAGCTGCCTTAGCTGAACCCTCGGGATGGCGATGGATGGATGGAGAGAGAGAGAGAGACATAGCTAACGACATGCTATGTATATATGAATATATATGATATGATTATATATGAGGTGGGTGTGTAAATGGGGTAAATGAGGTTAATTATCACCCAATTCTTGTCACATTTAAAACAAGGGGAACATGATTCACCAGTGGATGGAATGCGGTACCCGATTTCGGACGAACCATTGCAGCAGGACTTATGGTCACCTTCCAGGGCAATAGAAAATCCAATGTAGAGCATATCCATGTTATGGAGGATTTCCGTGTGTTTTCTTTCAACAAAAAGACAATCTTAATTTTGGGTGAACCTTCTCACTCAAAATCAGATCTTTGTCTAGCATATCAATTTTGGGATTGTTTCATTTTCATGAGGGAGGAATTTCCATAATTTTCCCAGGGGAACTCTAACTTCAATCTAATTTTAATTTCTAACTTATTTTCAATGATTTTCCATTTTTTCATCATTTTCCCAATGATTTCCTATGATTTTCCAACTTTTTCCCATTCAAACAACCGTTTCTTTTTCCGCCGTTCAGGCCGCTGGCCTGTTGCTGCGCCGAAGCAACGGCGTGACCGGAGTGACCGACGCGTCGGGAAGTTGCGCGCGATGTGAGCGAGGTTGGAAGTTGTGCCGATGGGGTGGGGATATGGTCCGAGTCCAAACAAGATGGGAAGGAGCGAAGGAGTTATTTCAAATACACGCATATTTGTTTGTTCTACTGGTCAACAATTTTTTTCGCCACGCGCCCCCCGCCTCACTTTTGCATATGTATGTATATATGTGTATATATATATTAATATGTATGTGATGTATGTGTATATGTATATATATACATACACCCTCGGGTATATAATCGAATTGGTCCGAATTGGTGGTGGGAAATCTATCCAACTGGAGGACTTTCCAGCAGGCCATATTCGATTAGCAGAGGGTTTTCCGCCCCCAGCTGATGGCGGGGTCTATGTTGTCTGGGGGGATGGTAGCTATGAAAATCACCATGTCTAACAGGCAAATCAACCAGACATGGCCATATGGCTATGGGTCAAAGTTACCCCAATCAAATTGGATTGTTCATACTAGTTACTAGACATGGCCATCATCTAACAAAAAAGTGATCCCACATCGGTCTTCCATTTTGACCCACATCCATATGTAACAAATTACCAGAGGGTATCACAAACAAACACCAGCTACAAAATGTCTCCAGGCGCAGCGTTGAATCCCTGGAAAACCATGCAAAAAAACCAGGGGAAAATCACAATCTCACGGGATTCTCTTGTCCATTTTATGGGGACAAGAATGAGGATAATAGCTATTATAATAGTTTATAATAGCTTATAACAGTTTATAACAGATGACATCTGACATGGGCTTATTTTTTGAGAACAATCATGGGGATATCTTTGTATGTTGAAGGATCCAGCAAACAACATGGGGATAGAAAACTGGCGAATATGGTGACAAATCAGTGTTTGGATTCGACCAGGGGAGTAGACTGAGTAGACCAATGAACAGCGGACTCGGCCGTGGAAGCTGAGACAGCAAGAGGCTGTCACTGTGAATCAATGGTGAATGGATTATGGAAGTCATCCCCAAGTGGCTGAACTTTTTGGAGGCGGTTGCGCTGCCAATCTTTGACATTTGAAACGTTAAAAACTGCGCCAAATTTGAGATGCGCTCATCACGGGCAGGGCTGTCACCCTGATATGCCCGACTTTAGCCGGGGAAGAGTGGCTTCGTGTGACCACAACAGGGCTTGATTCAGCCTGGGAGATGCACAGACTTATTCTGCCAGATGAGCAGTTGTTGGCCAAATTCTGCTGCACAAATCCAGGGGCCTCAATTGCAGATGCGACTCAAAGTTCCAGTCTTGCCCGCAACTCGCACAGTTTCTGAGACTGCCCCCACCAAAGCTGCTGACAGAATCTGAGAGAAAATGGAACTGTTGCGAAGTGACTTGGCCAAGGTACCTCCTGCAATGCCGGAAAGCGAATGATAAATCCATATTTGAGCCCTCAGAATTGAGTCCAATAAACTAACATAGCTATGGAGACCCCTGGGTTTCCCGTTCAATGCTTTTACAAATGGTGGATTTCCACATCATTCCAAGACTGGGCACGGCGTGACGATGCGTGACGAGTATGCTGCCTCAGGATGTTGAATTCATACCACCAGAACTCAAAGTGGAAGCTTACTTAAAAAATAATATTGAAACCCAAGTAACAAACTTAGCATCTGGGGATGGTTGGAATCCCACCCATACAACATGGTGATTTTGGTTTTCCCTTCGCCATGCGATGACTTCTCATGGACCAGCATTTCCGCCAAGCCATGCCTTGGGGGCACCCTTGGGCAAGTGGGGTACTGGAACATCATTCTCAATGTTGATGGGCAAGTCGAAGAATCCACCAACAAGCTGAAAAACTAAATCATTGTTCTCAAAACCATTCTCAAATGCTGGTTTCCTGAAAAATATGGGTAACCCCAGTGATCATCCAGCTATTAGATTGGGATTTTCCATGAAATCAACCATCCAGCGAGCTTGGGGTATCCCCATGACTTAGGAGCCCCCCCATAGGTTATCATTACTGGTTGGTGGTTTGGAACATGGCTTTTATTTTCCCCAATAGTTGGGATGAGAATCCCAACTGACTTTCATATTTTTCAGGGGGGTAGGTCAACCACCAACCAGATTATTCTTAACCATCATGAACTATATAATAACCGTATATAACCATATATAAATATATATAACCATATATTAATCATATATTAACAATATATTAGCCATATATTAACTATATACTAACTATATATTAGCCATATATTAACTATATATTAACTATATATTAGCCATATATTAACTATATATTAACTATATATTAGCCATATATTAACTATATATTAACTCCAAGGTCATCCCGTTCGACGCGTAACGTACCGCGAAACGTCACGCGAAACTCGCCAGGCGAGCGGGTGCTGGCCCCCTGGGCTGAAGATGGCTTCGACTATGAAGCCACCGTGGAGGCAGTGGATGAGGCACAGAAATGCTTCCTCTATGTCAGTCCCTGTAGTCCTAATATATAATATAATATAATATATAATTAAAATATAATATAATATAATATAATATAATAAAATATAATAAAATATAATATAATATAATAAAAATATAATATAATATATATTATATATAATATATAATATATAATAAATAATATATAATAAAACATATTATATATAATATATAATATAATAAAATATAATATATAATATAATATAATATATAATATAATAAAATATAATATATAATATAATATAATATATAATATAATATAATAATATATATAATATATATATAATATAAAATATATATAATATATAATATATATAATATATTATATATTTAATATAATATATATAATATAAAATATATAATATATAATATGCAATATAATATAATATAATATAATATAATTTATATAATATAATATAATATAATATATAACATATAATTTAATATAATATAATATAATATAACAAAATAGAATATAATATAATATAAAATATATAATATAAAATATATAATATATAATATAATATATATAATATATAATATATAATATATAATATACAATATATAATATAACAAAATAGGATATAATATAATATAAAATATATAATATAAAATATATAATATAATATATATAATATATAATATAATATATATAATATATAATATACAATATATAATATATAATATATAATAAATAATAAATAATATATAATATATAATATAATATAATATATAATATAATATAATATAAAATATAATATAATATAATATAGAATATATATAATATATATAATATATAATATATATAATCTATAATATATAATATATAATATATAATATATAATATCTAATATATAATATATAATATATAATATAAATTATATAATATATAATATATAATATATAATAGAATATTATATATAATATAAAATAATATGTAATATAATATAATTTAATATAATATAATTTAATATAATATAATATAATATATATAATATAATTTAATATATATAATATATAATATATATATAATATATAATATATAATATATAATATATAATATAATATAATATAATATAATATATATAATATATATAATATAGAATATATAATATTTAATATATTATATATAATATAATATAATATAATATAATATAATATATAATTTAATATAATATAATATAATATATATATAATATATATAATATATAATATATATATAATATATAATATATAATATATAATATATAATATATAATATAATATAATATATAATAAAATATATATTATAATATAATATAATATATAATATAATATAATATAGTATAATATATATAATATATATAATATATAATATATAATATATAATATATAATATATAATATTTAATATATAATATATAATATATAATATATAATATTTAATATACCATATATAATATATAAAATATAAAATATAAAATATAATATATAATAAATAATATAATATATAATATATAATATAATATATACTATATGATATATTTAATATATAATATATGATATATAAAATATAATATATAAAATATAATATATAATATATAATATATAATATATAATATATAATATATCATATAATATATAATATAATATATATATAATTATATATAAAAATAACTGGGGATTGTTATAAGTTAACTAACTTATGTGAATAAGTGCTGATTATAGGGATATTGGTGATTTAACTGGTCATTAAAACTGATTAAGATGGAGCATGAAGGGGCCATATAACGGGTGATATACCGGAGATATAGCAAAGAATTGATGGGAGCTAATGTGGTAACCTCACAAATGATATGGGAAACTTGGTAGGCCCAAAATGACAAATCAACAAATCTCTACGGTTTGGAACTCCTGGCTTCATCCATTTCCAATGTAGTTTTTGTGTTTGACTGACCTACCTGGAGTTCACCGCCTTTTCTGATGGTCAAATACATTTTGATGGTCATTTTCCTGTGGATTTCCGCATGAAATCCAGTGAAATCCCTGTGAAATCCTGATTTTTCATGGCAAAATCCCTGGTTTTCCATGGTGAATTCATGGCTCCATTTCTGAGGCGGCGGGTCTCTGCACGGTCGCCTGGGCCGATGGCGGCGAGACCTGCCGGGTGGTGGCCCAGTTGCAGTTTCATGGGTCCATGGGTTTTTCATTGTTTTCCCATGGTTATTGGGATCATGGTATAGAAGGGTTAACAATGGATAACTGGATAATAATGGTTAATCATGAATAATGGTTAAGATCATGAATATATAATGGTTAGTAATGGTGTTAACCAGTTTATCATTAATGATTTGATAATGGTTAAGATGGTTTATCAGCCCTGTTGTCGTTGTTGTTGTTGTTGTTGTTGTTGTTTCATGAACCATTATTAACCATGGTTACATTAATCCCATAGTGGTTATTGGGATTTTGTATATAACAATGGTATACAATGATATAACAATGGTATACAATGGTTATTTGTGGCTACGATGGATAATAACTGGTTAATAACAATTGTTTTCCCTGTTTTTGGATGGTTATTTGGGGGAATACACCATTGAAAAGACACAACCATATGATTGGTGAGTTACTATCATTGTCGTTTGTTTTCTTAAAGGATGATTGGTAATGAATTCCTAATCTTAACGATTCTTTCTTGTTTCTTGTTCCTTTTCTCACGAATTAAATGATTCTGCATCACTTTTTCAGCGTTGTTTGTGGCTGGGTGAGCCTACGAAAAGATAGATCCGTTTCTGAAACCGCTGGCTGGGCTGCATCAAACTTGGGATGGACCTCGGTTCACTGGCTGAAAAAAATCTGAAGAACATGTTACCCTCTGGTAATTTAACAGTTTGCTATTGAAAATGGCCATTTATAGTGAGTTTATGGAGGATATACCCTCTGGTTATGTCAAAATAGCTATTGAAAATGGCCCAGTCGAAATAGTTGATTTACCCATTAATAATTAATAGCATGGTGATTTTCCATAGCGAACTGTAAACGTTTACCAGAGGGTAGACATCTACGTTTTTTTTGTTTTTCCCCAAGGTTTCTCATATGAACAACGGCCAATTCGGTTGCGCCAACCGGTCGTGGGTTGTTGTCAGGTGCCCTGTGCCGCAGTGACCAGCCTCGATGGGCGACCATGTTTTTTCCAAACTGGCGGCGAGCAGCGGCTCTGGGCAGCCAGGTGCTGGGAATGGATGTTGATATGGTCTAAGTTCATCGTGATTGTTATTTGTACTTGCAGAAACTAAAGCCTAGCTATAGTTTATAATTATCTAGTCATGGTTGTAGTTTATAGTCTATAGTTTATAGTTCCCTAACCTTCCAGTTACCTTTCGGACACGTAACCACTTCAGTTACTTATGAGACGGGTAACCAAACATAGTTTCCGGAACCAAAGTTTGATGTAGCGATTGGAACCGTGACAAAACAGGTCGAAATCGACAAATCGCATTGGAACCGCAAAAATATACCTTGGAACCGTTGGAAAATTAGTGGAACCGTGATAAAGCAGTTGCTTCTATTTGTGGTTACTCGCTGGCAGCCTGGTTCCTGTGAAAACCGTCGCTGAGGCCTAGTTACCTATGGGAAAGATTACCAGGAAGACTAGGGGTTTATAGTCCTACAGTTTATAGTTTATAGTTCGTAGTTTGTAGTTGATGGTTAGATACTTGTACTCATTATTGTGAAATACTTGCGGTTATTGTGGTGGGTTTAGTACCTGAACATGATGGGAACGCCATGCAAAACCACTGATTTAGCATCATATTTTTTCTGTAAAACATACTGTAGCTATAAATTGGGGGATACCCTGTTTTCAGACACACTCGGTATGTTGGAGTGAGTGTACATGATTAGATTATAAACATGATACCATTCTCCATCCTCCCAAACATGTGTCGTATTTGAGCCAGAGAGGTCGTTCATCATGCTGTACAGTAAAGGCAACAAAAATTTCAATCCTCATTGACTTACACGAGAAACAGGGCATATGTACCAAACATCCCAGACTAGCCTTCGCGGAACCATTCCGGAAAGATAGCCCCAAAAACAAAACTGAACTGGAGGTTAATCATGACGCATTTTCCACATGACAACTTCTAAATGTCTGACCGCAACATTTTGGTTGGATCACGGCAATCTCATCATATCTCAATAGCTGGTTATTTTCCCATGGTTTTTCCCATATGATATAGGTCCTATAGGTTCCCAAAATTGAGGATCCCCAAGTCACCAATGGGTTTCAATAGGGTTATCCATGACTTGGATGTTGGGGTACCCCTATCTTTATGAAACCTTCATAAACCACAGCGATTAACCATACATAAACATCCATGAAATCCCATTCAAACATGGTTGAAACCTGCCAGAGCTGGTTTAACAGTTTAACCGCTCTTCAATCCCATTAAATCCCATTCAAATCACATCACAAAACCTATGAGAAAACCCTATGATTTTAGGAAACCTCCGAATCCCACCATCTTTTCCCCACATTTTCGACAGAAACCAGGCGCTTTCTGCGGCGTGCCTTGCTGGACTGGCAGCAGCAAGCGGAGGCTGGGGTGGCGCACGATGCCTTCGTGGACTTCGCAGGCGCGACTCGTGGTGGAGTTCACCGTGGTGGATCGGTGGATTTATGGAGGGACACCCGACATGGTAATTCAACATGGCTATCAAACCCCCTGGTAAACATACCAAAAAACTATGGAACATATGGAAAGAACCACCATGTTTAATGAACATCACCATGCTATCAATGGGTGAATCCACTATAAACGGGCCATTTTCAATAGCTTTTTGTATGTTTACCAGAGGGTACTGTTGCTATTTGTTCTGGGTAAATCATGGGTAAATCAAGGATTTCTATCGACTGGGCCACGGATTCAATAGCGATGTAACGATGATTTCCATGGCATGGTGATATATCTGGGTAAAATCATAACGACCTCACTGTTCTCCCTCACTGGAATCATGGTTAGTAAGAGGAATCATCCCAAAATGGCCGAACTATTCAGGTTAGTGAAATATTATAATTTACCCAGATATATTAAATAATGATAGTGATGTATTCATCATTTATTTCAGTAATCATTGAGGATTAATCGTGATTATTAATGATGATTACTGATTATGAATGATGTTTGATGATTGATGGGATATACTTTCTGGTAATTTAACAGTTCGCCATGGAAAATCATCTGGATGATTAGGGATTTATAAGCGGTTTATAGTGATGAAATGTGATCAATAGTGATTATTAATGATTGTTTGCTTCAGAAAATCACCGTTGTGAATAGGAAAATCATTGACGTAAATGGGCAACTTTCAAATCCATTTTCCGTAGCTATGTCAAATCACCAGAGGATATGATGATATCATACCAATGGGAATATGAATCAGCAACCATTTGACATGTTCATTTTGAGATAATCTTGAATTTGGTGTCATTTTTTGGAAAAGCTGGGTGAACGACATCGTACATGTCATCTTACCTGTCAATCTTGCACCAGTCGATGGCCAACATCACTCTGATAATCCCATAGCCCCAGTGTTTCAGAGTTACCCTCCCATAAACTAACAGTTTGCTATTGAAAATGGCCATAGAAAGTTCGTTGATTTACCTATCAAAAATAGTGATTTTCCATAGCCACGTTGAATTACCAGAGGGTAACCCCAATATTAACCCCAATATCCAATATTAATATCAATCTTAATCCCAATAATGTATCAATATCTCAATAAATAACTATTATACCCCAATAATTATGGTTTGAATAGTACTCCCAACTGCACCCGAGGCGTTGCAGCAGATCTGGCGGCCGCAGAACTCCGGGTGGCGCTATCCACGTCGTTTTCGACGTGGCCGGGGATGGAGCTGGCGCGCCTTGGTGTGAAGTTCCTATGCTTATCATGGAATCTTTGGATTGGTTTAAGGGAAAATCTTCACCGGAAACCAGGGTTTTCACCATGAAATATTGGTGTTTCATGTAAAATTTCCCTTAAACCAATCCAATATAATCCAATGATGGAAAGGTTATAGTCATTCCCAGATGGCAAAGTCAATGCCTACAAACTTGATGGTGATTTACTTTTCCATCTGCTTGGGGATTACTTATAATTTGAAGGAATATATAGAAACCCAAGAAAATAAATTAAATCAATGAACCTGTGGATGTAGGATTATATTTTTTGTTGAAGCTTATTTTTCCGATGAAATCAACCGCGATGGGGATTTTTCTTTGCGGATGAAGAGCCACGCATTTCCAATACTGAGCATTTGAAATAGGTGGATTTGCTGAACAATAAAAAACCATGTCCGGCGAATATAGCTAAATTCGTGATTTCTTTGTTGCCCCATCAGCAAATCAAAGCTACGAGTGGCTATAACTGCCATCATTGGATTTGGTTGGGATTTCTTGCAGGAATTTGTTGGATTTTGCCATCCGGTAAAATTAACAGTTCGCTATTGAACATGGCCCATAGAAAGTTCGTGGATTTACCCATTGATAGCATGGTGGTGTTCCATAGTTATGTTTACCAGAGGGTAACCATCATATATCCCATTAAATCCCATTAAAATACCATAGAATCCCATTAAGTCCCATTTTCCATCATTTACCAGAGGGTATTTGCTTCACGGTTTTTGAATTCCTGGGTTTTTGGCATCGTTTGGGGTTGACGGAGTGTCACCGAAACTAAGCCTGAGATACCAATGAGACCCCGGAGAGTTCACCACATTCACCTGGCAATACTAAAATCACCATAAATTCACCATAGATCACAATAAAAATCCAACACATTTCCATAGAAAGACCCTAAAATCTTAGAGATTCCCATCAAATCAGCATCAATTCCCATCTCCCCATAAAATCATAGATTCCCATAAAAAAGCCTTCTTTGATGGTAAAATCCCCCATGATTTCTATAGGCAAAGCTTGCTTCGCCGCGGCGCCTTCACCGCGGAGCGCGCCTACGCGCCGGACCCGCGGGCGCTGGCGGCGCTCTTCAGCGCCAAGGCTGAAGCGATGCGTTTCGAGACAGGTGGAGCGGTCGGGGGGGTTGGAGGAGGGGGAAAGAATTTAGGATAGAAACCATGGGGATTCCATCAAAGATGGCGATTTTATAGGATTTTATGGTGATTTCTTGGGAATTGGTGTGATTTTGTGGTGATTTTGTGGTGATTAATGGTGATTAATTATATGGTGATTTATAGGGAATTTGTGTGATTTTATGATGATGAATGGTGATTTTGTGGGAATTTGTGATTTTATGGTGATTATGTCGTGCTTATGTGGTGATTTATGGGATTTAGGGTTTTTGTAAGGAGATAGTTTTATGGTGATAGATTGATTAATGGTGATTCATGGTGATTGTAAATGATTCATGGATATTCATGGTCTGATTCACGGATTATAGGATGTGGTACCCTCCGGGAACTCAACATATCTATGGAAAATGGCCCATTTGTAGATGATTACCAATTAAAACTGGTGATTTTCCATAGCTATGTTAAATTGCCAGAGGGTAAATCCAACAAGAAACTCAATAACTGAGAACATGTAGGAACGTGTGCGGTGACTTATTGGATATTCATTGGAGATTTGCTGGACATTGATGGGTTATTTGTCCAGTTTATTGTTATTACACATACATATACTATTTTGTTCGATGGTTTGCTGAACATCAACATCAACACCTGCTTTGTATCATTAACATCACAAGTGGTTTGCTGTTCTGCTAGTGTCATGCTATTGATGTCACAGGATTGCTTTTCGGCTTTTCTAACTTAAATTTTCACCAGTGTTCAAATTCCAATGGGTTTCCCATGGGTTTTCCATGGGTTTTCCATGGGTTTTCCCATGGGTTTTCCATGGGTTTCCCATGGGTTTTCCATGGGTTTTCCACGGAGAACTGCCAGGCGTTGACCTCAAAGAACTCCAGAGACTCCACCTGCGCGTGCGCGACCACCTGCATGCTGCGACCTGGAAGAGGGAGGCAGTTTAGGAGACGGCAGGGGGGAGGTAAACATGGGGATGGTGATATTGGTTATATAAGTTATGTACATATATATACATATAATATATATATATATAATATATATATAATATAATATAATATAAATATATATCTACAACTGGATATCATGGGATATATTGGGATATTAATTTCTGAATGGCATGTGAATGACATGAATGGGGAGATGAATGGAATATCATGGGATGGTGAACTGGAAGAGTCGGATATCAAAATAGTTATACAAGGATACTAATGGAATATGGGATATCGTGGTGATGTTGGCACACCCAATGCCGTCACCATCATCCCAGTGATGGCGACAACCGGGGAGATATTTTTCCCCATGATTCGAAATCAGAGCATTTCGGGAGGACGACCCTGATCAAACAACCAGCGTTTATTACTAGGGTTTAAAAAAACATTGTTGTTTGATCAGGTTAAACCAATAATAAACATTATTACGACTCTGATCAACATGGATCTGGAAACGTTGCAGAACTTTGGAGAAAGTCAAGGTCCATCAAGGTTGGGTTGGCCAGATTGGCAGCCCATCTCCTAAAATCCCAACCCCTAACATGGCCATCTCAAGGGAAATGATGATCATCTTGGAATTGGTGCCCTATTTTCAGACTACCCTCTGGTAATTTGTTACAGTTTGCTATTGAAAATGGTGATTCATAGTGGATTTTCTCGTTGAACAACGGTGGATCTTTCCATAGTTATGTTAGTCATTACCAGAGGGTAACCATCATATATCCCATTAAATCCCATTAAAATACCATAAAATCTCATTAAGTCCCATTTTTCCATCATTTTCCAGGTGGGTTTTCTTCCCATAGCCACCTCCCTCCACTGCCATGGCCAGCCTCACTGGGTGAGCTTTGGTGGAACGTTGAGATGGGAGACCTTACACCAGGCGCCAGAGTTTCAGCTGCCGTGGTTGAAACATGTTCACTTACCCTCTGGTAATGACTAACATAACTATGGAAAGATCCACCGTTTTTCAATGGGAAAATCCACTATAAATCACCATTTTCAATAGCAAACTGTAACAAATTACCAGATGGTATGTCCACTTCATCCAACTCTGGGAAAGGTGGCCACCTTGGAGGAGAACCAGAGTTCATGGGTAGATCCCCTCACAAATTTTGTACATCTCTGACAAAGACCAAGACAGAACGGACAATCTCAAATGTAAGGGTTTGGGTTGGTTGGGTTCCAATGTGACATTGTCCAGCCCCATCATGAACATAAGTATACAAGACACTTCAATAACATACACCAAATGGCAGCCTGGTGGCTTGATGGTCAAGGGCTCCAGCAACATCTACAGCGGGCCATATTCGTATCCCCTGGGCACATGTGCACCACCGAGTCCACAGGTGATGTGGGCCAAAGCTTTAGTCCACGTTGCCGTCTTCGCGGATCGGGAGGCGGATCTGGGGGCGACTCAGAGATGACCTGAGGATGTTTTGATGGGAAAATCTACGAGAAACCTTGGTATCTGGGGGTTAAAAAAACCCGGGTGTCCGGTATATGTTGCCTTCAACCAACCCCTTTTCCAATCCATTGAGCTTCGACTTCACATTCCGGTGGCAACTTTGGGACGCAGGTGGGGCGCGCTCCCAAAGCTTCAGTTGGCCGTTGGAGCCTCAGTGCTGATCTGAGGGTATCCCCGGCGATTCCTTGACATCTTCCCATTGGGTAATCGGGTAATCCACCATTTGCGAATCTAATGTTGGAATGTTCCTGCGTTTCTTGATGTTTCTTGGAATGTTTCTTAGGGATTTGGGGACGTCCAAACACATCCAAGTGATGGTTGATGTATGTTGATGTTGAGGATGTATGTGCACACATTGGCATGGATGATTTTTCAGCACATGGAAGCACTAAATATGCAGTTGATCAATGTTGATCATGCATCATGCTTCGTCTATGAATTTCCACTGATGCTTCACTCAACTGGATGTCAAAAATGAGGCAATCTTCCCCGCCACGGCCGCGCCGCGAAGCGGCGCCGCCGTGGGGCGGTCGCTGGGATGTCACCGGTACGGCGGAGTGTCTGGGCCCTGCCGGAGACCGGGTGCTCGAGACCGGGGGAAACTTCGGAAACTTCTTGGCTGCGGGGGCCAGGGAGTTCACAACGAGCTATAGCAGCTATAGCAGCAAGAAAACATGGTGATTTCACCGGAAAGTTTTATGAACCAAGGATAAACAAGGTGATTTTTGGATGAAGAATTGTGATTTAGCTGCCAGAAATGAGGATGACAGCGAGACTCGTTTATCAATATACGATAGGTTTAATTGAGGACCAAAACCGGGGATACGACCCGGAAATGATCGTTGGTTGAGTTGGTTGATTGGTTATTTGTTGGGCTGTATCAACTTGTTTGATGGGGGTTATGGAGGAATGTCATTTTGGGATTTTGCTCTCAACCACTCAGTGGAAGGAACCTGATGAATTCCATGATTTTTGGTCTCCAAAGTTTCAGATGTTTCTCCTTGCCCACCGGCTTTGGTGATTTTCAAAGGAGCTTTCATGATCCATGCTCTGACACCCCATGACTTCCACAGATGTCCTCTCTCGGTGTGGCAAGGAAAACTTGCAGCGGAAAGCCCTAGGTTGGGACCGTTATTCCATGTTAATCTTATGTCCACCTCTATAGCTTATTCTAATGTTTTTTAAACTTGAAAAAAAGCAAAAAAAAAGGAAAACACATGGAAAATCAAAAAGCAAAACTTCAAAACCGAAAAAAAACAGGAAGCAAAATAAATGGGAAAAAAAAGGAACGTCAAAAAGAGGAAAAAATGGGAAAAAAAAGGACTTGTCCATTTGCATTTTTGTTGTTTTTTTTTGCTTTTTTTTGCTTTTTCGATTTGCTTTTGTTTTGCTTTTTTTTTGCTTTTTTTTTTTGCTTTTTTTTTTGCCAAAAAGCAAAAAAAAAGCAAACAAAAAGCAAAACAAAAGCAAAAAAAAGCAAATCGAAAAAGCAAAAAAAAAGCAACAAAAATGCAAATGGACAAGTCCTTTTTTTTCCCATTTTTTCCCCTTTTTGTCTTTCCTTTTTGTTTCCTTTTTTTCCCTTTTATTTTGCTTTTGTGTTTTTTGGATTTTGCTGATTTGCTTTTTGTGTTTTCCATTTTTTTTGCATTTTTCGCGCTTTTTTTCAAGTTTTAAAAAAATAAGAATAAGCTATGGTTTGGTGAACATAATGTTAATCCCTGATTTCTTCTAGTTTTTCGCTTCAAAAAACCACGCGCCAAGTCATGATAATCGTGGCTAAAGTCCAATTCGCTGATGATCGTTGAATCCATTTGAATCCATTTGAATCCCCATCTTGCTTTGAAGAAGGAACCAGTCTGGGGTGCTTGCCTGCTTTTGCTTGTTCAAATGTTGGTGATCTTCAAAATTGACTTGAAGTTCGTCGTTTGGATGATTTAATTATTAGTCGTCATTATCCCGTATTTCTCCATACTCATCCCATTGAAATTGCCATGAATTGATTTTTTACCCACCATTTTCAGACGCACACCTCACAGTGGAAGGGCTCAAGACATCAGAAAAAAGATATGTTGGGGATTGTTGGGGGCATGATCCATAAAATGCCAGCTATGGTAGCTATGTGAATTCCAGGAGTTTTTGCCACATCCCCTGGGATCCCGGGAGGAGAAGCTGCTCCCGGCCCCGCGCGGCTTGCCACGGGGCCCGGATCCGCTGCTGGCGGTGCGGTGCTGTGCGCGGCAGGGCGTGCTGCGAGCCTGGCGCGCCCTGCTGTGGGCGGCGGGACGAGGTGGATCGATTTTCATGGGGGATTCATGGGGATTTCTGACAGATGGCCCAAGCATATACTTATTTTTCATATATTTTCCATATATTCCATATATTTTCAGGATATCTGGGCGTCCATTTGAAGGATATTTGGGCTTTGAAGGATATCTGGGTCATCACGAAAGCTAGCGTCAGCTAGCTGGAGTCTTCTTGCTTTAGCAAGTATTGGGGGGGGTGCTCAAGGACATCACGTGATTTTTCACGCGAAAGGCCCCCCCCCCCCCCCCCCCCCCCCCCCCCCCCCCCCCCCCCCCCCCCCCACCACCACCACCATCACCACCATCACCATCACATCATCATCATCATCATCATCATCATCATCATCGTCATCATCATCGTCATCGTCCTCTCCATCGTCCTCGTCCTCGTCCTCGTCATCGTCATCATCATCAATCATCATCATCATCATCGTCATCATCATCGTTCATCGTCATCGTCCTCTCCATCGTCCTCGTCATCATTCATCATCATCATCATCATCATCATCATCATCACCATCACCACCATCACCACCATCACCATCATCATCATCATCATCATCATCATCATCGTCATCATCATCGTCATCGTCCTCTCCATCGTCCTCGTCCTCGTCCTCGTCATCATCATCATCGTCATCATCATCACATCATCATCATCATCATCATCATCATCATCATCATCATCATCATCATCATCATCATCATTCATCATTCATCATCATCATCATCATCATCATCATCATCATCATCATCATTCATCATTCATCATTCATCATTCATCATTCATCATTCATCATTCATCATTCATCATTCATCATTCATCATTCATCATCATCATCATCATCATCATCATCATCATCATCATCATCATCATCGTTATTCAATTACATTTTATCATTATTGGCAATTATTGTCATTATCACGAAAGCTAGCGTCAGCTCGCTAGAGTCTTCTTGCTTTAGCACGTATTCCGGGGCTCCCCAAGGACATCACGTGATTTTTCCCGCGAAAGGGCCCCCCCCCTGCCCCCTCCCCCATATATATCATTGTTATATATCATATATCAATATATCATTGTTGCATCCTCGTTGGGACGAACAATGCCGCGACACGATGATGCCAGTCCCTCCGCAACTCACCTCTTCCCTTCCTTCTTTCTCCTACCCCGCTAGCTTTCGTCATCCACCCCCGGCCTCAAGTTTCAAAGGCTATCTTTTTTCACAGGGTTTTGAGGGATGACACCCCCAACCCCGCGCAGACGTGCAGAGCTTCCGGTTGCCCTGGACCTACTCCTGCGATGCTTGGCAGCTCGCGCAGCTCCAAGATTTCACCCAAAGCATTAGGCAAAAAGGACCAAGTTTGCTCAGTTTACTGGGTCACAGATCATTTTCCTTCATTTTTTGTTTTGGGAATATTTTAGAGATGTTTTCCGATCTGGTAAGGATGGTAAGGGGTGTATCCAATGGCCCATGAGAAGTCATTTGTTTCTCGGCGGCCAGCTCCCTAAGCCACACCTGGTCAAGAAGATAGAAAAGTAAGTTCCGACTAACATAGTGATGATTTATATAATTTCTATCTTTTTGGGGCTTGCTATATGCCATTATTTAAGTAGGAAATGACTTGCCTAGCTTTTTTGGGACCAAGCAAATCTCAAGAAAATCCAGTGAAACCACCATTCCAAGCCACATAGCCCCCAAAACCACCCTAAAACCAGCATTTTTGCAGATTCAGCCGTTGATAAGCCAGCTAACCAGATGACTTCAGACTGAAAACCCATCAATAATCCCTGTAAAGTCAACACTTAACTCCAATATTCATCCAGAAAAAAGATAAAAAATATATAGCTCGAACATGCACATTTTACTCCATCCTCCCCCAAAAACCAAGCTCAGTAGACTTTCAATCTACATTTTTTCATCATTTTTCCTGCCCCAAAAACGTCAAAAAACGTGCGACGCCGAGGACTCTGCTCGAAGCTTGGCCTTGGAGCTGCCAAAGACGCGGATCCATAGCGAGCTGATGCTGGAGGCAGTCGACATAGTGACTACTGACTAGTGACATTATTATAAAAAAAAACATGTCCATAATATGTCCATAATATGTCATAATGGTTAATAGATGAGTCTGGATAAGAGTTGACACTTCATGTGTGTTTTTTTGACTTTAAGAAAAGCGTCGCAATCATGAAAAAAGGAGAGGCGCTGTCGTTTGCCCGGGCCCACCATGCGGTGTCGGATGGAATTTGATGCCAGCCTTTAACAAGCCAGAAAATCCCAAAAATACACTCGACCTTGAAGATATTGTTTATTCATACTTATGGTTCGCAGTGCTCAGTATTCAGTGGTAAAACAGGAACTCAATAGTCCATATGTTCCAACAGTCATATCTAAAATAGTTCATATCCATACATGTGCAACAAATGATCAATAGTAGCTATAGTTGAGTCTTTATACATAACTATCTTCGTTTTATGGATTCAGGCATCTCCATTTTTTTAGCATAAAGACATGGACTGGTTTTGTTGGGAATACCTTAACCGGAAAAGATTGGTTCACCCCGGTGTTCCCGGTTTTCCCCATGAAAATCATGGAGGTTTCACCCGCAAAAAACGCTGAGAGCCGCTGTCAGGTGGCTGTGTTAGTCTTCGCCATGGGCTGCAGGTGAGCCATGGTTCTGTGTGGCATTTATAAAGCATGGAACATCCAATGAGATCCAGAAACATGATGGACCAAGACTCAGCGGTATCAAGGTGTCTGATAGGAGAACTTCGTCCCAGGACATTTTTGCTGGGTTGCTGGGGCCTTCCAAGGGGTTGGGGCCAACCTAAGATCACGGATCTCTTTTTTTGGGGATCTTTGGGGCCGAAGGGAAATCCAATCCTGCCAGGGAAACTGATCAGATCCAATCAGGGAATTCTCTTTGTAGTGTAATTATATAATATTATATCCTTCCGATTCCCGGCTGAAACAAGCTATTCTTGTCGACAAACCCCAATTTTTCTGATGACAATCCAATTCTTGCTGATAGATTCCGGATCTTGTTGATAACACAATCCGAATTCTGTTGACACACATCCAATTTTGATCAATTTTGCTGGTAAAGATCCAGTTTCGTTTGAACATTGGATCTGTGTCCCAGGTTGGGCCAGGCTTCGCGAAGCCGCAAAGTGGCATTGCAGCTGCTCATGGTGCTTTGGATCAGCCCGCTGGTAACGGAGATGTGGCGAGACGCCATGGGGAACCCAGCAGGGAAGAGGATTTACAAAGGGGTGGGTATTCCACATCTGCTGGTTACCAAAATAAGTAGCCCATAAAACATCCCAAAACGACACTTATGAATTGGTGGAGTCGCCTACCTTAGTTTGCAATAGTTTATATGAGTGTATATATTTGCTTCCTGTCACTAACCAGCTGAAGAAAAGGCAAGATATCCATTCAGGTGGCCCAAAGCCGCGCCTCCGATGAAACCCTGGAGCTGGTGCAGCATGGGGTGGAGCTGTTGACGCCGCAGGCGGGACAAAAACGCGGGGGATTTCTATGGGTCATAGGGAACTTATAGCTATGGTTGGGTCATTTAATATAGCCGTATTTAACGATGGGGGATTTAATAGCTAACTATAGGTATATAATACCCATGACTTCACATGGTTTTGGGGTGAATTCACTTTAGAGAAATACCCACAGTGTGCAGTGTTGACGGGATGGAAACGTATGTCGACACCACCTTCACCTGGGTTCAGCCCCATGGAAGTTGAGGCTGCGCGGTTTTTGGGGCGATGGCAGCTGTTAGGCGTTGGGAACTTGAGGGTTTTGGCTGTGCTGTGCCAATCTGAGGGTGTGATTTTCTACAGTTTGCTAGTTAGAATTGTTGGGAAATCAATCAGTTTCATGCTGCAGAGGTGCACGGCAAAAACTGTTGCGTGCAAGTTTGGACCACATGGATCCATACCAGCAAGGAAATTCTATTGCTTTCTTATTTGAAACATCACTCTGCCCCCCACGCCCCCAACAGGGTTTTTTGATTTGCGATTGGACCCCAACCTCCAAGCACGCAAATACCATGAGTCCATTTCTGTTGATAGATGGGTGCGATCAATGATCGAATCTTGGGCGGTCAAACATCTAAAAATCCTGGCACCGTACTCATATTGGGCTGTTTCAAAATTTAACGCCCTAAAAATTCTTGGGTACAACCACCCAAAAAAACTATCAATTTTAGACGGATGATCTCCACTGTGGCCGGACATTTCCACGGTTTTTGGGTGAGAACCTTAGAACGATGGAACCATTGGGCCTTTGTGTCCCCAGTATATCCTGACCATATACCCGATATATAAGTTGTAATAGTCATCAAAAAAATCAACTACATCCCCGTATGGCCCATATGTTTGATGAGAAAAAACAACTTTAATCATCATTGGGGGAAATTGACACATGGGTCATTCTGAAAACCAATCATATATAAATTTCTAGTTCCCCTTGTATGTTTGATATGTCCCGTATGATGTTTAGAAAACATCGTATAGCAATTCCCCCCAAGAAATACTTTAAATAAACATATTCATCACCATCATACTACGCCTTTTAGTAATATAATTATTCGATTTTTACATCTTTTCTGGTTGGTGTTTTGGAACAGGAAGTCTTTGAAGGGCACCTGCATTCCTCGTACAAGGCTGAAGCAAGTTGGCTGCAAGCCAATTGTCCACCGTATGGAGCGCAAAGGGCGCCCACGGCAGCGAGGCACTTTGAACAAATGCCTGCACCATCGATGAATGTGGCCTGCATTGCTCCAGCGCGATGTGAACAGATGCCTCTTTCCAGACTGATTTCAAGAGTTGTCGAAAAAATTTCACCTGCTGTTTGAACGAAAAACCAGCTGTAGTCAGATGGGGTCGCATGCTGATGTCAACCCAGAGATTCTGCACCCGCAGTGGTCCTGGTAGGCCCCAACACATCTGAAAATCCAGATATAACTGTGCAAAGGAAACCCATCGCAGATCACCAACTGAAGTGTCTCGAATCCTCTCTGTAAACCATGGCACAACTCTGGAAACATGCGTCGCGCCAAACAGCCTTGACGAATCAGGCAGTGTATGACCAAACCACTGTCCGAGTGAAAAGTGCATCTCGAACTGTCTGGTGTTCCGCTGGGTCACTTCTGTAACTCGTTCCGCTTCCTCCTCCGTCAAAACATGGCGGCGGCCAATGGCAACATGGAGTGCTTGAACCTGGCCGACAAGCTTCTGAGCTGTCTGCGTGGCTTGCACGTGCTGCTCCCAAAGTTTCCAAAACTTCTCTGGCCTGGCCTGGTTTGCAAGACGAGCGGCCTTGTCCACATACCCATTGTGAAAAAACTGCCACATTTCATCTGCTGTCCGGGCACTTTGCAGAGTGCGGTGAGCAGCAACCTTTCTGATTTGGACTCGATCCACCCCAAGGTCATCCAGTGAAGCAGCAATCCAAATCCACAAGTCACTGTTCGGTCGGTTCACTCCAAGGCGAAAACGCCCATTGCACATCAACTTAACCTTGTTCACAACCCCCAAGCAATCAGTCCACACCCGAACAGCAGTGCCAGTTTGAGCCGCCCAGTGCAACACGTACGCAACAGCAGCAAGTTCAGCACGGAACGCAGTCTGACATACACCAGACAAGGCAGAGGCATGGAAGACGACAGCCATCTCGGGAGTCCATGATGGCTGGAAGGGGGCAGCAAGAACAACAGCCCACGAAGCAACACGGTAAGACACATGCGCTTGCCAAAGACACGAACCATCGGTGAACACATCATTCCAAACTCCACGGCGGAAAGAGCCAGAAGGTGGGGCAACTTCAGTAGGAAGCCCAGCAAGAGCAGAAATCCAGGATTGCCATGTGGGCGGTAAAAGAGCCCACCCACGCAAGGACAGGGCAGGTGGCAGGGAAGTCCAAACTTTGGCCGCATCGGCCGCAAGAGAGGCCCGGAGATCAGCATGTTGTATGCACTCCCAATAGCGATGCTGCAACGTGTCTCTCTCACCACACCACCGACAAACATCAGTTTGATCAGTCCATTTGGCTTTGTAAGCTTCAGTGAACAACCCTCCAGTCAAGCCAAACCGCAGCAAAGCCTGGTCATCTGGAGCCAACGCAGCAAGCGCACGCCTGGTAGCAGGGACATCGACCTGCCAAAGGCCATGAAACTCAGCACGGTGTTGAACCTTCGAGGCAACCACTTGGTACCACGCCCATGTGAGCCTCATCTCGACTTCAGCAAAATTGCTCTGATGGACTGAGAAGCTGCCGAATGCATCATGGACCAAACCCATCCGATCCACATGGAGCCCAACATGCTGAAGTCGACCTAACAGCACAGATGCCACGGAATTGGGGGGCAAGTCCAGGTCCCCATGAGCAACACACGCAACCGAGGCAGTCCAAAAATCCAAGTCACAGCTGAGACGGGCAGCACGGCAAGTCCAAAGCAGGGCAACCAACTGAGGATCAGCACGCACCTCGACAAGTCCAAGAAGCAAATGTGAGTTCACACCAGGTTTGTTGCATGCCAAGGCATTGGTAGCCCGTCGACGGAGTTCGGTCCAGACATGTTCTCCTATAGGAGCACTGGCAATGGCATGAAGTCCACGCGGCCAAGCTACCGCCCTCAGCATGTGAACTTTGGCAGCATGTTTGGCTCTGCAGCTGCGGAGTTTCGGCCAAAAGTCATCCAAGGCACAAAGTCTCTGCGTGATAGTTTTGTTGGTGAACTGTCGTGACACACCAAAATGGCCTCCTAGCTCGCGGGCTTGGTGGATCACCGGCACCTGGCGGTCTCTCAGTGCTTTGCGTGTCTGAGCATCAGTGGACCAAGCGACAGTCTTGCGCCGATCTACTGTCAAATCCAACATGGAAGCAAATTCAACAACCAAGTCCAACTGAAGTCGACATCCCACGTAAACACATGCCAATCATCGACATAAGACAGAGACCGACACGGTGCCCCTTGGTAGGAAGTCCAAACATGGAAAAGGTGGTCAACCAACAACATCCCATAGACACTAAGGCCACACCCTTCTGCCAAGCCAGTGGAGGTCAAAAATCTACAAGAGAAAGACTCGCGGACTTTGAAGTGCCGCTTCATGGAAGCAAGTCCACCCGCCCATGCAGTGGTGACTTCCGGAGGGGTACCTGCCAGGACCGCAAGGCACAACGCAGGGAACCTAGGAATGCAGTTGAAGCATTTCTCCAAGTCAGCCGACAGACCGCAGATGGGTTGACCTGTGCTGTAAGCCATTTCAATCTGGAGAAGCAAGAAATTCCAAAGGTCGGAGGCCTGGCGCCCCTTCCTGTTGCCATAAACACCCTCGTCCACCCAGGTTTCGGCCCACTGCAAGAGGTGTCGCGACTGAAGACTGGACCAAGCTAATAGTGCTACGCTCCAGACACCGAGCTTGCACACTGACCGAAAATGGGAAAATGGTGTTTTGGAACATTTTTTATTTTTCCATATGTTGGGAATATCATCATCCCAACTGACAAACTCATATTTTTCAGAGGGGTAGGTATACCACCAACCAGAATTCTATTTTTCCATCTGTTGGTTACTGAGTTAACCATTGGTAATTTAACATAGCTATGGAAAATCACCATTTTCTATGGGTAAATCCACCTAAAAATGGCAATTTTCCATAGCTATGTTAGTTTACCAGAGGGTACTATCAGTTCATTTTTGGGCCGTCCTGGGGATGGCCCTTTGAAGCCCCTCCGCTTCAGGCTACCGCCCCCGGGAGGAGCTGTGGCTCCTCCGCCGCCGAAAGCGGTGCAGGAACGATACCGGCGCCGCGGTAGCGGCGCTGCCGGGGCCACCACCCTGTAGCTGGATGTTGGAGGCGGTACCGGTGGATGGTGGTGCAGTTGCACTGAATGCAGCTCTGGCGAATATGGCCATAACAGAAAAATGATGTGAAATCATCAGGGGAATCACACCTGAGCGAGTTTTTCCCGTTTTTTTTTTTTAATTTGCAACTTTGAAGCCTCCGCAGAAAAAGGTGGAATATGAAACATGCGATTTGAAGGTGGCATTTGCGGCAAAGAGAGGTTAGTCAAGTAAGAATCCACCTCAAACCCAGGTTTGGTCATTTCATTTCATTTCCAAACCAAACAAATCGAATATCGAAAAAATCAGGTTCCAAACTTCCAAACCAGCCACAAACCAGCCATCCCATGGGCTACCCGAAGCCAGGGTGTAGCTCTTGCTGCTTAACTGCATGTCTTGGGGGGTGCGAGGTCAGGGGCCACCAAGGATTTTTTTTCGGGGGATTATCTGCAGGGCAGGTTGGCTGGTTTGTTGCCTTGCTTATTGAACGAATTGGAGTATGTTTTCACCCAATAATGTTTCACCACAACATTTCCATGCGACAAGAAACGCAAGGAACAAGGATTGTTTTCGTTTGTTCGCAACAGTTTTGAACAATTTTGAACTGTTTTGAACCCAGTCCAAAAGGAGTTTTACCCATCTTAAGAAAATGTGGCTTATCATTGGCGGGTTATCCCGTGAGAGGGTTGCAACCTCATGTGAACCTTGAACTTTGGAATTCATGGCTCAAACTTTCATAATTTACCGCAGCATCCTCACTTAAAACTTGGGGTCGCCCATCATCTAGCAAAATAATCCGAAAGATGAGGTTTGAGTAAGCTACCTTCCTGTAATCAAACATGGCAAGCTGGGGATTTCTCCGCGATCACAATGAAGGTTTCCGCGATCGCTGGGAACATCATCGAGCTACATGGGGGGTTTTCCAGCACGCCATGTTGATAAGTCATCGAAGGGTATAGGTATATCCCATTGAAATCCATTGAATAATAATTTTTGAACATGATTAAGCCTTAAAGCCATATTAAGCCATGATACTCCCATGAATCACCATCAACAACAAACATTCAGTTCAAATGGGTTGTTGACCCCAGTATCACATGGATTTTGCGAGGCCGAGCTCCTCCCCTGAGCTTCCGCCCGCCGTGAAAAGGGGCGAGAACTGACGGTGGAGATTGGCAGAATCCCACAATTATCTGCAAAAATGGGGGAAGTTATGCAAAAATATCCAGATGATGGTTGGTTGATGGTTGGTTGATGGCTGGTTGATGGCTATGCGGCTATGCCTTTGCCAATGGTTCGGCTGGTCATTGGATGCTGGTTGTATCAGGAGCATTTTGGAGCAGGGATGATGAACTAAGACATTTTGGAGCTAAAGAACCCAGTAACCCTCAAAATCGCTAGCTAGTTGATGAGATGTTGATGAGAAGACATACATCTGGCAATGTGAATGGCTCGCAAGAATCGGCTGCCGTGGGGAGACTGGAAGCGGTTGAATGGTACTAGCTTTTCATTTGTTCGTACTGCGTTAGAGCTATACTTCATCTTACCTCCCACTTTATCCATGTTTCCATCCCAACGTGACGATTGATGTAGCAAGCAATCTTCAATTTTTTAGCGGGTCCATAGCAGCGTGAGTCGCAGCATGAGCTTCTAATCAGTTCATTTTGGTTTACCCCATTAGAAGTTCCATGAACTGATTAGAAGCTACATTCCACTATTCCAAAATCATAATGTAATCATAATCAGTACATTACCCCATTATTCCATTCCATGATCCTCCCATTTCTGAGGCCATCGCATTTGCGCCGTGGCCTTGTGTGCTTCAGGACGGGCCTTGCGGTCCCAGTGGATCACTGGTTGACCCACCGGTAAGTTGGCCATGGGAAAACATAGAGAAAATCTGCAGCCATGGTGAGTTTAACTCTCGTAATATATGGTTAATGATGGTTAATGATGGTTAATGATGGTTAATGATGGTTAATAATAATAATTGATAATATATGCTGGTTGGTGGTTTGGAACACTTTTTATAACTTTCCCATCATATTGGGAATAGTAACCCCAACTGACTTTCATTTTTTCAGAGGGGTTGAAGCCACCAACCAGATATGGTGCTATATGTCAAGTGACTTAAAATCTCGTAATATTACTATGGTCACTATGGTCTATAGTTAAATTATGGGTCATTAGTAATTAGGTCATCAGTACCAGTTCAAAAGCTGGTCTTATTCATTGTATGTGACTTTATTGATAAAATGGATAAGTCCAGTCAGGAACTGACGATGACTACTCGCTTACTACTGCTACTGAGTGGGGTGATACCCTATGTCATCTATGTCCACAGATGCTTCCTTCACCAGCATCTCTTATCTTTCTTGCAAGATTGTTTTTTTCGGCTCAATTCTGTCGTTTTTTTTTCTGCTGAAACATCTTCTCCGTATCTGAATGGGGGAATCATTCCGGGCCACCAACATTTTCTTGGGCTTTAAGAGCGAAGAAATCGAACTTCTGGAATGGTCACCATAGAGGTGCCATCAGTTTCATCCGTGGATCCATGTGGAGTCCAGAAATTCCCACGCCATTGGAACATGTTTTTTGGGTCAAAATCTATTGCCCAAAAAAGCAGAGATTTTGGTCATTGTCAGTCTTGAGATCCAATTGAAGGGGTGCTCAATTTAGACTCTTACCCGTCTTACCCATATGCATGTCAAATCCAACTGACCCATTTGTTTCAGGTGGCTTCAGACATCTCAAAAACATTCAAAAACCACTAGCCAGATGGCCAAACATAGCAATTCTACTATCTTCATCTATCTACAAATACTAAATGTATCCAATTCTTGGTATCTCAAAGGCTTGAAACTTGTCAGCTCCAACGCCCATGGAGAGTCGTAGTTGCAGGACGTCCAGCCCGCGCTTTGGGTGAACTGCAGGTGCGCTCTTTGAGCGATGCTTTTTGCGGCAGGATGTTAGCCATAGTTAAATGGTGAATTACTATGGTAGATAGACATAGATAGATTAGATTAGATTAGATTAGATTAGATTAGATTAGATAGATAGATAGATATACATATAGATATACATATAGATATGGAGCATTCCTAAGTCATGGAGAAGATATAGATATATAGATTTATAGCAAAGTCACTTTTGCAGTATGCTGAACTCCTAGAGATGGCAAGGGAGAGAGGGACAGGTTTTTTTCGCAGCAATCCAAAATTTGGATCTGAACTCTACCTGAAACAAAAAAAACATGCATGTGGAACAGTACCTATGTACATCTATATACTATTACATACTGAACACGGGAATTCCACGAGGCCCCGCTGTTTCAAACAGACTAGTGACTAGTAGCAGGCTGGTCATTTTTTCAATGTTGGATCCATGACATCCACATTTGCCACATCAATTCACAGAAAAGCTGCAGCACCTTTGAGCTGGGTGGTTTAATCATGTTTAAACTTCGAAGGGAATCAAGAGTTTTCCCATAAAAAATGGTGATTTTCCATAGCTACGTTAGTTTACCAGAGGGTCCTGAATTGTGGGAAGAAAGCTGTGCCGGCTGTGCCACTTGAATGGTTGGAGATGAGGTCCTGGCTCCTCTGCTGGCGCCGGATTTCCCAACGGGTGATCGCGATCCGGGCACGCCGCAACGACTGAAGGAGGCGCCGGAGAATCACCATTGTTCCGTTGGAAAATGATCTAAGGATGGGCCATCTATAGCTATGTCACAAATCACCAGGGTAAAATTCCCAAAAACGCACTTCAACTTTGCAACTTCACTTCAGTTGCAACTTTTTTGGGAGGATATTGATTTCTTTACTTCAAGTTCCCATTTTTGTAGGTAAAGAAGTCAATATCCTCCCGAAAACCCGTTGCCCGCAGGAAACTTCGGCCCTGCAACTGGAGGTGGAAGTGGTGCTGGATGCGCGGCTGCCCGGTGAAGCGGGTTTTGGGGCATCCAACAAACTGCTGGAAATAACCATGGTTTTCATATGTTTTCTTCATTAATCTTCATGAGTTCTTGCGTAAATGAGGATCTTTTCGTTTTTACCTTGAAATTCAAATGCTTGTTCATGTTCAATCATATTTAAGTTGTTTTTCTCCGTGGTGTGCTTGGAAATCCAAGACTCGGGGTGTTCATAAAAGTTGCCTTCACCAATCGTCACCATCCAAGTGCCTATATTTTCGCAACTATGTTGGGTTCCAGTTGGCTTTTTCAGAGTTGATGTTGAACTGGGTAAAGTTAGGTTTGCAGGTTGGTCTTTCGTAACGAGATGAGCCTAGTATCCGGCCACACATTTTTCCCTTACAAGATATACTGTAGCAACCCCCAAACAGATAGAAAAGGGAATCATTTCTATTTTTTTACAAACTTCTATCTTTTTTTGGGTATTCAAGCTATAGGTGAGGTTTGCCATGTTCGGCAACGTATTGACGCTCTGCTCCCGCCTTTCAAGTGGCAGCCCAGCAGCAAATGGCTTTGTTAGTGCGAAATCATAGCTCTTGAGGTATCAGATGTCAACAAAAAAACAGGTTTCCAGATGTTTCCAGTTGCTTTGACAAAGGCCAACGGCCAGTGGTTTCTAGTTGAAGCAACATGTATCATTTTGCTCTTTCCGCCCCTCGAGAAGTTGCTGAAGCAGGACGGACCTGTTGGGGATTTTTCCATTGGGCGGTAGCATTTAAACAGATAGGAACTTGGTCAGAAACTTGGTGTTTGTCTGTTCATTCCTATTGTTACTACTATTGTTATTATTATGTTGTTTATGACTACCAGACTACCATGATCATTAGTATGGTTACTATCATATAGTCACTTTTGTGTCAGAAATTGCACCAAAGCTTTTGGTCAGCTGATGAGAGTTGGGCAGCAGCTGGGGGATCTTCATCTGGAACATCCTGGAACCTCAAATCGTCAAAGCGCTCGTATTTTTTTTCAAAGAGGCTACCCTCTGGTTATGACTCACATAGCTATGGAAAATCACCATTTTTATGGGTAGATCCACTATAAATGGCCATTTTCAATAGCTATGTTAAATTACCAGAGGGTATCACCAGATATTTTTTTTGAAGGGGAAAGACGATGCTCGGACTGAAAGTCTGGTGTTTGACATCTGAGTCGAGGCCGCTTCCTTTGTCAGGGCCGGCACTTGGGTCAATTCGTTTTTGGAAACCAAGAACCATGGAAACATCGAAAGATCACGAAGTGAATCAATGTGAATCATACTCTGATTAATTCACCACATATATGAACGATATGGACAGCACATGGTTTTGATTCATGGGGATTTCTGTTTCGTGGATCCATTCGGCTCAGCCCCATCAGTTGCCCTTGGCTCCACCGTTTTTACTCGCCAACCACCAGCCATGGCCGCCGTGGAATGCGAGGCGAGGGGCCCAACGCGCAGGTTCCAATACATGTGGGCCGACGCGGGCATCTCCGGCTTCTCGCGCTTGGCAGCGTTAAACCCTGCCAGGTGGAGGGGATGAGGTGGAAAAGAGGTGGAAGGTACCCTCTGGTAATTTGTATAACATATTTTAACATAGCAATTGAAAATCACATAAAATCACCATTTTTCATGGGTATATCATATATAAATAGCAATTTCCATAGCATCCATAGCTATGTGAGTTTACCAGAGGGTAGTGGCGAATGGATGGAAGTTCCCCTGAGACAAACATGACCCATGAAGAAGAGTGATTCGCCAGCTAAAGCCAACATTAGTGCATCCAAAAATTGACCCCCTCCCCCGTGTTTGCTGGTAAAATTTCATGTTCTGATCGTTTGTTCGTGCTTTTCATCATCAACCAGATAATTTTTTATGTAATATGGGATGCACATGTTCACGATACAGTTGCTCGCGCGTTTTCTGGTTGGGATTTTCTTTGTGTCTATTGAAATACGTGCGCTCAATACGTAAGCCGAGTCATTTTCTTGGCCATTTTTTTGCTGTTTCGTCATTTCCCGGCAGCCAGGTTCTTGATTAAATTTTTCTCTATAGTCTATAAATACTCCAAGAAAACCTCCGGTGGATATTAATTATTATACTAATGGATATTATTATTGATATTAATGGATTATATAAGGTGGATATGATCAATTATTGATTCTGCTAATGGTTAATATCCACCCTGGGATTTTTTTCTGAATAAACACAGGAAAACCATTGGAAAATCCCATATTTTCGCATGTTTTTCCCACTGGTTGTAGCATTTCCCAGGTGGAGCAGTTCCATGAAACTGAACCGCCTCATCGAAGAGCTGGAGTCGCTCTCCAGCAGCCGTCCCTTGAGGCCTGGTTATAGTATGGTTATAGTATGTTATAGTGAAGGTTAAACATATAGCACTATAACATACTATAACCAGATAGTTAGATGAGATAGGATGAGATCTTCCATATCTAATTAGATTGGATCTTCCAAGTTTTCTTGTTGCACCGGAGTATTGTGGAAAAAAGGGTGAAAAAACCTGAGTGATATTTTTTTTGTAATACTGTAGATGTGAGATGTGGTTATGTCAGGTTGCCTTTGGGATGCTAGAAATCTAGGTCCCTAGGTTTACTTCCCAGGCCTAGCTGCGATCTCCATGCATTTTCGCAAGGCTCTACATGACCTCGGACGAGGAACAGCTGAACCGAGAGTTCGATTCTGTGGCGTGGTCTGGACGTGGCTCCCACACAGAATGAATGGGTCGGGATACCCCCAAATCTTCACCAGCCAATCCAGCCATATTTCAAGTCACAAAATCTGAACTCCACCAACTAAGGGGAAAACACAGCATCACTCATCATCCCTCCATGTAATTTGATTAGCTTATTTTCATAGTTGTATGATATTATGATGTTGTATGATTGTCATCTCATTATGGAAATAAGAAAAAACCTTACAATATAAGCTAATATCTCATTATATATCTATATCTATATCTATATCTATATATATATATATTATCTATATCTATCTCTCTCTCTCTCTCTCTCCAAGAAAAAGCCCCAGAGAGGCCCTACACAACTCGCCGCCGAGGTCTCCGATGCGCTGCAGTGGCTCCGCGCGCAGTTCCCCCGCGACGCCAACGAGGCGTTGGAGGAAGCACCGGCGGAGGGCGGCTGGTCGCTGTTTGGCAGCTGCCTGCAGCCCAGTGTGGCGGAACCCGAGTTGGAGGTGCTGGGGATTGGTGGAATTTTGACCCATGAATATGTCTGGGTAAATTACAACCTCACTGCGACCTCACTGGAAATCATTGTTAATAAGGGGAATCATCCCCAAATGGCCTTAGTTCATGTTAGTGAATTATTATAATTTGCCCAGATATGTGATATATGTGGGGATTGGTGGGGATATGTGGATGTAAATGGGATGAGTGGGGGATGTGATATTTTTGGGAAGTTGAGGAGGGGAGGAGTTTTGAGTGGTGGAGTTTGATGAGATGGGAGGAGTATAATGGAGTATATAAGGGATCTTAGTGGAACATACCCTCTGGTAAACTAACATAGCTATGGAAAATCACCATTTTTAATGGGAAAACTCACTATAAATGGCCATTTTCAATAGCTTTTTGTATGTTTACCAGAGGGTATCACCAGATATTGCTCGGGAAGGTTGGGGGGTTTCGAGTTTTGATCATCCCTTTTCTTAGGATAGCGCAGGGCTCCACAACTTGGGCCATGAATCCAACCAAGAACTGGCATTGCTCCAATCTCCAAATCCCAGTTTAGCCGCTTAGCCCAGCTCTATTCTCTATCCATCTCCATGTACCTGTCAAAGTTACCCCAGATGTTTGCTTGGTGATACACTTTCTATTTATCCACATAAATGTCCACAAGTCTTTTCTGGGTCATTTTCCCACAATCTCCGCTTTATATACTTGCTGCTTATGTTCCCCTTACTTTTTGCTTGTTTCCTCCCATATTTTCCACATCATTCCCTGGAAAATGTCCGCCGCTCGCAGGTAGTGCCCCCCTCCAACGCCGAGCACGACGACGGCGAGCACGACACGCCCGATTCGCCGGCGCCGGCGGATGAGGCCAGCCCCAGCAGCGCAAGCACTGCAGCGACGCCTGCGGGGCACGGTCTGGAGGGCGAGGCGAAAGTGCAGCCGCTTGGGCTCTGGGGGATGGTTTAATTGCATTTGGCTTTGATTAAAAGGGGTAGTAATATTATTCGTATAGTATGTAATATGTATGTGCATGTTCATGTTTATGTTAATATATAGGCTTTGGGTATTGTTAGTGCAGTTCATCATAATGCCTATTTGTTTTTTTTTTGGGGTATGGTCCACAGTCACTGTCGGAGTGTTTTCTGTTTATATATTTACATCTGCATCGAAAGTCATTTTTTCTGATGCGAGTCTTGAGTCAGACGTCGATGAAATCTACATAATAAGCATGAGCATTTGCAATATAATGCGGTTTAACACGATATGCAATACAATACAATATAGAATGCAATACCAAGTGCCCTATGGTAATTTAATATACTTTAGTAGCTATGGTAAATCACCATTTCATATAGCTACGTTGGATCACCAGAGGATAATTAGGAACGTCTTTGGCTTTTCATCCAATCAACTATACCAACTGGCCCAGCCACCGAGGTATATGTGGGCAGATGCACGTGTTTTGCCCATCAAAGCCATTCAGGAGCGGAAAAGTGTTGGATCACCAGCTTTTTTAATTAATGTTTGCTAGGATTCACCACTCTGCATTTTGGGATCTTTTTGGGGCTTCCCAAAATTGTCACATCTCTGTCATAGTACGATACTATCATCATATACTATCATATGCTGTCATAGTACTATGATAGTACTATGATAGTACTATACTATCATCCCCTATCATAGTACTATAGTACCATCCCCTATCATAGTACTATAGTACCATCCCCTATCATAGTACTATGATACCATCCCCTATCATAGTACTATGATACCATCATCATATATCCCACCATGGTCTGCCACCAAAAAGGGCCCCTCAGGAGCTCTCGCGCCACAACCCCGCACGCTGGAGCAAGGCGCAGCGGCCACTGGACCTGGCGGAGGAGTTGGAGGCGATGGATACCATGAGGCGGGCTGCCAGGTTGACCGGGGTGCATGGTTGAACTTGAGATGTTTTATCAGGTTGAACTGTTGATTACAGGGGTTGATTACAGGGGTACCAAGTGGTTGAGCTATGTGGAACTTGATGGAACTTGTGATGTTTTGAGATATTTTGAACCAAACAAAATCTAACATTTCCAGCAATATGCTGACTTGAAATGGCCTAAAGCATAGACCCAATTATAACCCCGACAGAAAAAAACGCTATTGGCGGCGAAGGGGTGCCTAAAATATTCAATTCGGTCACCTTTGGGGGTAATTGAATCTCAACAAATCCATTGCGGGTGCGAATGGTTGCTATACATCAATCCGTTTAGATGATGTTCCCATTTGCTTCCATGATTCTGCCATTTTGTTGGAGATTTCCCGTGATTTTCCCATTGGCATTACAATTTTGTTGGGGAATTTCCTATATTTCCCATGATTTCCTATGAATTTCCCACTGAAGTGGCAGTTTTCTCGCGATTTCCCAGGATTTCCCTGGAGATTCCCATTGAAAACGTTGAGCATGGCCGTTTTATCGGCGATTTCCCAGGCCGGTGCTGCTGTCGCTCTCCACGTCCCGCGGTCAGCTGCAACGGCGCTTCCACAGCGCCGCGGCGGCGGCGCAGTGGCTGCGGAGCAGCTGCGGTGGCGACATGCAGCGCTTGGATGAGGAGTTGGGATCATCCATAGCTATGGTTGCGAGTTCTCCCAATGGTTGAGAGTTCTCCCATTAAACCTGTGATGGTTGATAATGCTCAATGGTTGATTAACTATTGTTATGAAAATGAATGGTTAATGGTTGATAGTTCTCCCATTAAACCTTACGAAATAAGCAGTTTGTGGATACTTGTAGGTATAGGGTATAATTATGTGGTTAAAACAAATAAGACACCACCCATGACTGGGAATGGTAACCATACCACCCATAAAACATGTGATTTTTGGGATGGTTTATGGCATTGTTTACCCACATTAAACCTTTAATGGTTGATAATGGTTAATGGTTGATGACCTCTTGTTATGAAAATGGATGGTTCATTGTTGATAAGGGCTAATAGGTATTGAACATAGCCCATTTACAGTTGATTTACCGAACTTAAAGATGGTGCTTTTCCATAGCAAACTGTTGGTTTACCAGAGGGTAATGGTTGATAGTTAATAATGGTTATACAATGGTTAATAGTTGTTAGCTATGTTTACATCCCATTAACTATGGTTTATTAACTATGTTTTTTTTTTTGAACTATGGTGAATCACTACAATAGCAACTATAGCAATTGATATAGCAGCAAAGGTATTATTTGATAACGCAGCAATTGATAGTTCACTACACTTCACTAATGGTTAATTAGAATTATAAGTAGTATATATATATAACGGTATGTAATGGTATCATTCATGGTTAGCTATAGATATAATCGTTACAATTATTAATAATGGGATGCTAACCATAGTTAATAACACGGTTAGACCAACATAGTTTTGGTAGGAGGTTTCGGGATGATTCTTGGGAGAATTAGAATCACTAGTTACAATAGGATACATTTGGAATTCTTCACAAATGATCTTCATTATTTTTTGTTATTTGGACAATTTTTCTGGAGTATAGGTCACTTGATGATGTGGGATTGATACTCAAAGCATCCCTGTGATTAACCTTGCTACGGTGGCTTGCTGGGACTGCTATCCCCAAGAAGTCAGGATGGCTGCACCGAAGATCCCAGTGATGTTTGAAACACGGCAATTGGACAGTATTCTCCAGTGGTTTTGCCATGTCTAACTGTTGAAAATCATCTTCCAGTGCCAGTGTTGATTGTATTTTTGATTTCTAGGCACTCTCTCATGTTTTTCTTGGAACATCGATAGGTTTCCCAATTTTTTCTTTGAAATTATACATTGCGATGGCACAAGGACCTCCCTGTAACTTGTTGTTTTATATTTGGGGATTATCCCGAATATGGCTAACCTGATCCAGCACAGTTACAGGTGTTCCCTGACCCAATCACACAAGTTCTAGTACCATAATTTACCGCCATTAGCTTCTTGCTGTTACTCAACATCCAACAAGCAATCCACAGAAACTGGAAGCCTATAGTAAAACCAAAATGAGAACACAACTGATAACTAAAGCAAAATTTCTGTAAATCTTCAACATCCCTTTTTTCTGTCGAATAGATGCAGCCACCATCAGCCGTCAGCCGCATATTTTCTCATCTCTTTTTGGGGCCAGACCTTCGCCAGGAGCGGCTGTGTGTCATTTGTTTGACGGCGGCCCGCACGGTGATGTTGATGCCCTGCCGCCATGCCGTGCTCTGCGAGCGATGCCTCGAAGTGCTGATGGAAAGGTCCATGGAAAGTCGGTGGTGTCGGTGCAGTGATGGGAAGATGATGTAGTTAGTAATGTGGTTAAAACAATGGCATAAACCATGCCCCAGTCATCACCATAAATTGGTGGTATAAACCATTCCCAAATGTTTTTTTTCTTTTTTTTGTTGTTTTAACCACATTAATACTTATAATCAGAATCAGAATAGGAAGGTAATGTAAATAAGTAGCTAAGTAGCTAATAGAAATAGGGTTGATTAGCTCATGACAATGGTACTGACTGTACTGCTCGTGGTTAGCTAAGAACAATAGTCGATGTTAGAGTTGATAGTTAGTAGCAATCATATACCATTGATGGATTATGGTTGATGGGGTGGAAGAAGCACTAACGTTCAGATAGATCATCGTGTGTCACAGACGTTTGCAGTCATGATTGTAGACAGTTGACGGGGGTGGCACGAATGATTGTTAAGAACTAATAACCCATAGTTTATGGCATATACCAATGATGATGTTAAGAACTCGTTACTGCGTGAAGAGGCTGAAGGGGCACTGTGCTCGCGAAGAATTCTTCGCAGGACCCCAAGCAGCTGCCCGGTCTGTCGGCAGCGCATCCAGAACCACGCGAGAGGCGAAGAGAGCTGGGGATTACAGTGGGATTCTCATTGATTTTCCATGCGGCCAGGCCCCAAAAAAATCAACCATCCCAATATCAAATACACACAATGTTTCAGGAACCCCTTTTTGAATAGATATACAATACCAAGCCAGGGTATTGTCTGTCTGTTATCCCTCCATCTAGTGGTTGGTATTACCCTCCCGTAAACTAAGATAGCTACTGAACATAGCCCATTTACAGTTGATTTCTTAAAAGTGGTGATTTTCCATAGTTATGCTACCGGAGGATATCAAGATCTTGTCAGTTTTCATGGCATCCCGACCTTAACACATTGGAACACGGCAGGGCATTTCGTGGACGACTACGTGGAGCTGGTGAGGGCTTTAGAGATGCGAATGGAGCGCTCGCAGATGGCTGCCTATGAAGGCGTGGAACTGGCGAACATGCCTTTTACAGTGGGAATGAGGATGTTCATTGTGTTCATGGTTTTTGTTCGGATAAGTTTCAGTAGGAGAATCTCCCATGTTTTCAGATCTTTTCGTGTTGGTTTTTTGTTGATCCTCCATGATCCTCCCATCCTCCCATGGAGGTTTTATATGTTGGGGGCGCCCCCAGTTATCAATCCATTTTTTGGGGAATTTTCTAATATTTTCCATTCTAAATATTCTAAACCATCCATGAATAGGGGTAATTACCACCACCATTCCAGCATGAAGGGTTTTCCATTCTATACCTTTCTCAGCTTTTTTCGAAAAGTCCCACCATTCCAGTTCTCCATCCATTTTTTTGGGGATTTTCCAAATTTGAGTTATCCATCAGCTGGAATTTTTAGGTCCCAGCGATGGAGCCCCAGATGCTCAGGGATGTACAACCACATTCGCCCCTTGATGGTCACCGGTGCTCTCCTGGCCACGGGCGCAGCTGCATGCTTTGTCACTTGGATCACGGTAGAGCACGGCAGAGCTGCGGGGCTGATGTTCGGGCTGATGTTGGTTAAAGCTGGTTAAAGCTGGGATGAATGGTGACTTATTATCACATATAATCATTATAATCACTAAACATATAAAGTTGAGATGAATCATGATGAATCACTATAATCACTATAATCATTAAAAAGAATGGTGACTTATCACCATGGTTAGACCACGACTAATTATGATGATGTTGTGAAAATCACTATAATGGTGACTTATGATCATGATCACCAAAAAATGATATAACAAAGAATGACTAATTTTGATTATTTTGTGAATCATGATAATTGTGGTCGTGATATGAGGATAATCACTAATTAACAAACCGCAACAGTTAGCAATCGCTATGATTGCTATTGGAAATTGTGATGATATTAGCTAATCAATCGAAGAATGATTGATAGCACGCTCCTAATCATCACTAGCCATCAATCAACAATCGAGCAAGTCAGTGACCTTCTCAAAACTTCTGATCAAAAAAGGCATAGATCTCAGATCAAAAGTGGCACCATGGCACCAGTTCCACCTGTGTCTCCGGGTTACCGCACGGCGGATGTCCTGCAGGTTGTGTGCCCACCTGCTGCCCCTGCGTTGCTCGCAGGTGCTGGGGTGGTCGGAGACTGGCCGTGGAACTGTTCGTTTGCCGATGGTTTTTCAGGTTTGACAACGTTTCTATCCGTATTTGGGGTTTGCACATAACTATAGATTAATAACTGATAACTATGGCTATAATAATAACTGTATCAGTTACTATGGCTATCCATATTTATAGATAATTATTATAGCCATAGTAACTGATACAGTAAGATCGTGAGTTTCCCGTAGTAATATCCTTTGGTGATTTAACATAGCTGTGGAAAATTATCATGATCAGATCATGAGTTTCCCCCCAATCATCGATAAACTATCCAGTGGTTCGGAGGAAGCGATTCGGAGCTAGGGGTATCCATCTTCCCCAGGGAAAGCAGTTTTTTTTTCACATAGGTTACTATGAACTGACCAACCAATGGGTACCCTGCGCATATTGTAATCCACTTATGTATCCATTCATCCCGCCGTCCATGGCTTTATGGTTTTCATCGGATTGATGATGATTTCTGGATATTTCTGACAGATATACCATGATATAGCTGTAGTTGTATGATGTTAGATATGATTTATGGATATGTCTGATATATGGCCTTGTAAACCAACAAACATGGTGTTGAACATGGTGTTATATGGCTTTGTAAACCAACCAACATCAATTTTCTGGGCGCCACCGAGGATACCTTCCCTGGTTTGCCACCACTGTGGCCAACTTCGAGGAGGAACCGGTGGAGCAGCGCTGCTCGTTGTTTGACGTTTTGTCGTTGGGGTCACGGCAGGGACGTTTTTGGACCCACTGTGAATTGAAATGGGGATACAGCTCGTAAAAATGGGAGAAATTGTATAAATATCCAGATCTATGCTATTATTTATTTGTACATATATTATATATATATTCTATATTGATGCAGATATTGTAGAAATGGATGATTCTTAGTGAACCATTGATCTTTGCATTCATTTCCAGTCCAAAACAATCAAAATCAGGCCCCTAGCAGCTAGAAAGTCACAATTTCGTATTGTTTCTTAGGTGTGGGGCATCTAGATTGGCCATGAATATCAGAACTGGCGAAAGGAAAAGCAATGGCACGGCAGGCACCAGATGACCCTTTTAAAAACCTTGATCATTTGGCCACCAAACATGGCAATGTGAAATCTCCCGTAAATGGACATTTTCATGGGAAATATGGGAACATCTAAAGATGACGCATTTTCCGTTGCCATATTTGATTACCGAGGGTAGTACTTCCCTCCAGTAATTTAACGGTTTGCTACGGATAAAACATATTATATAAACCATAAAATGTGCGATTGTCATCCATTTTCCAAAGCAAACTGTTAAACTAGCATAAGCTAAACCAGTCAATGCCCAGCCTGTTTTACGAACTTCAAGTTGCGTATTAATGCCTGGAGAACCATTGGCTACATATATATTTCTATGTACACACGCACGCATATGTATATGTATATATGTATGTAATTATATGTATACATGTACTGTACGAAAGGTTTCAGACTTGTTTCAAAAGTCACCGGATGGCGGCGGATGCCCAAAGCTTTTCTGATTTTCCCATGTTTGGGGGTATGAACCTCGAGATAAACATTCCTAAATGTGATGCAACAACCAATGAATTCCTCTGCGAACCCGTCGCAGATACAAAAGACCAAAAGACCACCTAAGACAGTCACAATTTCAGGTTGTCCCATTATGTTGTCCCCAAAATTCTAGCCTCATCAAATCGATGCAATTCTCCGTTTTCCCTATCATTTTCCATAGATGTCCCATATTTTCCCTCCATAAACGTCGCCCTTTTCGCCCCAACCGGGGCGCCGAGGTACCCAGCAGATCTTCACCGCCGAGGACTGGGCGAGTCCTCTGACGCTGGGCGTCAAGGGCGTGGTGCTGCTGGTGGCGGCGCCCGTGGCGCTGACGGTGTTCTTCGTGCCCTATGGCCTCTATGCAGGTTGGGTCCCTGGGTGGGGGAGATGGGGAGATGGGATGATGGTGACCATTATCTCAACTTTTTAGATATATATATATATATGATGATATATGATGATATATGATGATATATGTCTGGAAGCTTGTGTATGTGAATGTGTGTGAGTTGGATGGATGGGGCATATGAAGAAATCCCGCCTCTTGGCACAAGAACACCGAAATTCTCGGCCAGGTGTTTTTTTGGAGTGGAATTGGCGTGTTTATCTCAGGTTTGGCATGTTAAATCATCTCAGCACTGCTTGGAACTGGAAAGGCCCGGAAAGGAATGTTGGCCGCCTCACTTCCAATCATTGGTTACCTAAGAATCTTCACCACAATGAAGCAAGCACAAGTATTATACAGGAGCATTTCCATTGACTATCTTTGACTTGCCTTTGCATCCTTTTTCTTCAATTAACACCCATACTTGCAACCATCTACTGGGGGAGAATGTCCCCCAGTGACAAAAATGAGTTGTGAGCGTCGGATCCCTTCACCGTTGGGGATTCAACTGGTGAACCGCCAAAAAAAAACGTCACCTACGAGGCGGGGTTCTAACTCCATAACTTTGCTGGTTGAATACCTCATATATTTACCCTTTCTGTGGCACACACACACACACACATATTATATATATATATAAATATAGATGTATATACACACACATGTATATATATATATACATATAATGTATATATATATAGTATATATACACACACATATATATATATATAAATATAACCAACGTAAAGTTTTGTTGTTACCCACTATTACCATGTCTTGGGTGAATCCGGCTTTCCACGGCCTCCCAGGTGTCCTGCGCCCCGTGGGCCGCTTGCTGGGCCGTCTCGCCCTGCGCGGCGCCGTGGCGTTGCACGTCTCGGTGCTGCGGCACGTGCCGGCGCTGCTGCGGGGCATGGCGGACGGCGCCGTGGCGCTGGGGAATCTGCTGGGAGATGTGCTGGGCGTCACGGCTCAGGCGAAGCAGCTCCCCTTGGAGGATCATCCCGCTGAGTAGCAAGTGGGGTTATAAGTTATAACATGTTGTTACCAAATAACCAACTTTTCAAATGGGATAACCATGGTTAGGGGACTTCACCAGGGTTCCTAATCAGCTGGGATAGTGGAGAGGCCATCTACGACTGGATCCTGGCGCCCAGTTGGTCCGGCCTCCGCTGGCTGGCTTCGAAGGCCGCGGCCGGTGCCAGCTGGATCTACGCGAACGCCTTGGTCCCGCTGGGCCGTGCCTTGCAAGGCTGCGGCGCGGCGGCCTGGCATGGCATGGAAAGCGCAGGCAGTGCGGTGTATCACCAGGTGGGGAAGGGTGGGGGCGATGGGGGAGATCCTGGAGCAAGGGGTACATTGGTTACCGGTGAAATGGGGTGAGTTAGGGTAACTTAAGAGTCATCAGACATACCCTCTGGTGAACTAACATAGCTATTGAAAATCACCATTTATAGTGGATTTTCCCATTAAACATGGTGATTTTCCATTGCTATGTTAGTTCACCAGAGGGTAACGACCAAAAACAACTTATTCCAAAGCAGCATCAAACGCAGCAGTCCGTCCAGGTGTTGGCACCCCTGGGCCGGCTACTGGCCCGTGGTGCTGAGGCCTTCTACGCTTTGGATGCTGGGACTGCGAAATGTCGATTTGACCCGGGGAAAATGGGAGAAATACTTGATTTGCCCTGGTCAACATGTTGATTTGCCTAGTATTATGAAAACAACAAATAAATGTCTAAAACTGGGAAAACAAGGGGGTTAAGGGTCACGAAAATGGGGAAACTGACTGTTGAATGGTAGGATTGCAGTTGGGAAGTTGACTAACAATCAAGAGATGTAGCAACAAACAAATGTGACATGGTGTTCATTCATCAATGCTAGGCATGTAAATCGACATGTGAGGGGTAGTTCAAATGCCCAGCTAGTATCTGGGAATAGCCATGAAAGCGAGGGTTTTTGCCACCGCAATGAACGCATATCCCCATGGAAGTTCAAACCTTGAAAGGCGTCGATCTTTTTCTTTTCCAACCACTGGTTGGTAGGGGAATATATACAGTGGTTAGACAAACCAATCAGAAAACCATGAAATTTCACAATTTCATGGTAAAAACATGTAAAGGCTGCATTGATTCTATTTCAGGGGGTGCATTTCATGGGGTACATTTGATGGTGAACAACATTTCAATGTGGTTCCATCCATTTACCGGGAATCAGTTGACCAAGGGACACAAACCTCGCAAAAAAAACAGAAATTCTTTATTGAACTAGCATCATATGTGCTGATATGGGTATGAGTCAAAGCACCGGTACCCTTTACCCCAAAATTGGTGGGATTTATTGGATGTTCATCCCCCTCGAATATGATAATTCATGTTAAATTTATAGGTTTTGACGCATCCCCATATCTTTGACAGTTGAAACATGTTGAAACCCATAAGATTGTCATAAGTGATGCTTAAGTTACGAAAATCCCATGAAAGTCCTGTGTGCCCGAGGCTCTGGTCCCCGCAGCCTCTGCGATCTGGACCGGCCTGCAGGGCTTGTGGAACCAGGTGCATCAAACTGCAACTGGGGTATGGCATGAAAATTGGGTAAGATAGGCAAGGAAGGAAGGTCATCATGTACCCTCTGGTAATTTGTGACATAGCTATTGAAAATTGCCATTTTTATAGATGGTTTACCGTTCTTAATAGCATGGTGGATCTTTCCATGGCTGGCTATGTGAGTCATAACCAGAGGCTACCACATTCTACCTATCATCAATCATCAATAATACCCTCTGGTTATTTAACATAGCCATGGAAAATGGCCCATAGAAATAGATGATTTTCCCAGCTAGAAACCTCCATTTCTGGTAGGGATTTTCCATGGCTATGTAACAAATAACCAAATGGTAACCAAGAATCATCGAAGTGGTGGGATTCTCATGGCGTTTCCATCAGGACATTCCCACCGAGGTGCTGCTTCCCACGGCGGGCGCCACCTGGCAGGGCCTGAAAATCCTGGGCCGAGCGCTGTCCGTGGCGGCGGAGTGGACCTATGGATCCGTGCTGCGGCCCTTGGCAGGAGAGCCACCGTGGATCCCATTGGATCCCTGTGGATTCCCTGTGGTACCTACCATTGGCATTTTTGGCCTATTTTTCAGGAAATTTCAGGGAAGATCCGAATATCCCTAGAAAATAGGCCCTGAAAAATGGTACGTTTACGTACCTCCATCAATGGGATCCTGAAGATCTCCCATTGACTGTGGTTCATGTTCTTTTTCCATCATCCCCAGGGTGTTTTTCTCGTGACCTGCTGACGGCAGGATGCGCGTACGGCCTTGTTTACTACTCGACCACAGGCCTTTGGAATTACGAGCCTCGACTGCAAATCAATGGCATCCCGGACCCAAAGATGAGTGATGCTAAGGACAGGCCTTTTGTTTGGTGATTTTCTGGTGAATTTTATTTGGGGGTATTTTATGAAAAATTGGTGTACCACCCACATGTTTTGTGAAGTCTTGGTGGGCAGATTTGGGGAGTATTTTCTAGCATTTCCACCCATGAACATTATGTTGGCAACGCTCTCATGACCAACTTGAACACACGTTGAACCGTTGAACCCCTAACGGGTGCTAACGTCAACAACTCAGATCCCCGAACAAAGAACAAGCCGAAGTTGGGTATGGCTCATCACCAGTCAATAGCTGATAAGTCGGCTGAATGTTCACCGAGTTGGGTCAAAACCTAAGGTCCAGTGAAACCATGGAATTTTGGTCATCATCTTGAATACGCCATTCCATGTAGGAGTGCCAAATTTTGACCCCTTCTCACATATTATATAATTATTAATGAGCATAGCCAGCATAGCTGCATGTTGATCACCAACGCATCAAACTGCCTTCGAGCAAAATTGGCCTTGATTCCAGCGATGGTTTCTGCAGGCACTGGTCATACCGTGCTTCTCCGGAGCGATGGCAATGCTGTTGCAATCGGACTCGCTGAAGATGGGGAATGTGACATCCCACCTTTGCATGAGGGAGTGGCATACACTCAGATTTCTTCAGGTTACGATCATACAGTGTTGCTCCGAAGTGATGGCAGTGCTGTTGCCATCGGAAATAAATCATTTGGAAAATGTGACATCCCACCTTTGCATGAGGGAGTGGCATACACTCAGATTTCTTCAGGTGACAATCATACAGGGCTTATCCGGAGTGATGGCTGTGCTGTTGCCGTCGGAGACAATGCATATGGACAATGCGACATCCCACCTTTGGATGAGGGAATGGTGTATACCCAGATTTCTGCAGGTTGGAAGCATACAGTGCTTATCCGGAGTGATGGCTGTGCTGTTGCCGTCGGAGACAATGCAGATGAACAATGCAACATCCCGCCTTTGAATGAGGGAATGACGTACACCCAGGTTGCTGCAGGAGCGTATCATACAGTGTTGCTCCGAAGTGATGGCAGTGCTGTTGCCATCGGAAATAAATCATTTGGAAAATGCAACATCCCACCTTTGGATGAGGGAATGACGTACGTCCAGGTTTCTGCAGGCCTTGCGCATACAGTGCTTATCCGCGATGATGGCTGTGCTGTTGCAGTCGGATGCGATAAAACAGGACAATGTAACATCCCAGCTTTGGATGACGGAATGGTGTATACCCAGATTTCTGCAGGTGGGACGCATACAGTGCTTATCCGGAGTGATGGCTGTGCTGTTGCCGTCGGAGACAATGCATATGAACAATGCAACATTCCCTCGCCAGTGCTGGGAACCTTCTACATCACGGATGTGACACATGGCAGAGACGTAGTTTTACAACTAGAATTCGTGCGTGAAGATCATGACATCACCCTGATATGCTCCACTTTGTTTGGGGAAGAATGCTTGCGTTTGACCCTGGAAGGAGCTGATGCAGCCTGGGAGGCGCACAAAAGGATTGCCCGTGACATGAATGTCAACCTCCCAAATCTCCAGCTCATTTTGCCAGATGGGCAGTTGTTGGCCAAAGTCTGCTGTGCAAATCCAGGGGCCTCAGTCGCTGAGGTGAGTCAAAGTACTCACCACCCGTCCCATAGATCCTAAACAACCGCTGGCACGTCCAGGGGTCCACGATTCATGTATACATCTTCAATCAGCCTAAACAGCAGCCCTTAGAGAGATAGTTCATGCATGTTCATATAATCATGACAATAAGGTAAGACGTGCTCACTCGATGCCCATGGGATCCAATCATATCCAATCGCTAGATGATTTTTGATTCTAACCCAGCCATTCAATGTTTGGCCATTAGACTAAGGTGCTGGTCCCCACGGCTGGTGCCACCTGGCAGGGGCTGAAGATGTTGGGAGGAGCTTTGTCCTTGGCCGCCGAGCAGACCTATGGATATGTGCTGTGGCCCTTGGCAGGAGCTACCTGGGAAGGGTGGAGATTACCCTATCACTGATTTTGTTTGGTTTCAGTTGGGTCCCCCAATTTTTCTTGGTATGGATGGTACATGGTCGGTGTTTGATCCGCCATATTTGACTGGACAAAAGCATGGCAATGGTTCCAGCAGAATTTTATGGGCCAGTTTGCTACCTGGTAGGTTACACCGGACCCCAATTCTACACCATGTCTTTTTGATATTTTAGGGTAGATATCTGATATTTTGATATTTGAAAGGATATCTACCCCATGTCTGATATTCATGATTTTCGAAAGTCTTGATATTTTTGATGGCTTTCGACTGGATTTTATCAGCAACCTTATCTAGCCCAAGTGCTTGGGGTGCCCAATGGATCAGCAAACCATGGCCCGGCCATCCCCCAGGAGGTTTGTACAGTTACCTCTTCCTTCCCGTGGTGAATGGCATCACCTTTCTGGCGGTCGGAACGGCGCAAGCTGTGGGCTATGTGTTGCTCGGCGAGATGGCATAAAAAAACCGTGGGAAGATGCGGGTTGAACGTTGAAACTGTGGGTTCTTTCATACCAGGCGGAAGACTCATTTTGAAACCGGGCATTCAAGATGATTCAAGATTTAAGGCGAAGGTCGATTTGAGATGATTTCAGACGACGACGTGGACCATTTATTAACCATTGTAAAAGATTGGTTTAATTTTCATTTCTGACGGTGATTTTCTGCATGTTTATTCATCCAGGGTTGGGTTGACATTTGGTGAGGGTTTCCAGGGCCTTGCTAAGTCTACAGAATCTGGCTAAAAAAAGACTTGCCAGAAATGGGTCGGATTCCACCTGAATCCTACATATTTTCCAGAATTGGAGTGAGAATTCCGAAGACGCCAAGAACTTCGGGTACTTTGCTGTAAAATCCTGGGAAGCAAAAAAAATAGGCAGTTCTGATGTCAAGCATTGGTGTTGCACAGCTGCTGGCCCTCCTTAATACTTTCGCAAATGTTAAGGCCCGCTAGGAGTGAGGCTGGGTATCGAATCTTTGACGAAAGCTCCAACGTTGGTTGTTTATTGTGTTTTTGGAGGTCCTTTCTAAATGGAAACCTGTTTCGGAAACCTGGCTGATACCAATGTTGACCAATGTCAAAAAAAGCCCAGGAATTTCCCTGCCATTTCCTCCAGTTACTAACCTTGGGACAGCGCTTGCAGCGCTTGCGCTAGCGCCAGGTTGAGCGCGGCCGCCTCTGGCGCGACACTGGCGCCTTGGAAGTCCATTAGTGGGTTGCCATAAACCAAAAAAGATTGGGGATGGTTGGAACATGTTGGAACCCTAGCCATCTATGGTGATTGTGGGGTATTGTGGGTATGGTTTCTTATTGGCTTTACCAGGCTTTACCAACTTACATATCGTTTTGTATCGTTTTCTTACGTTTTGTGAACATTTTCATAAAGGGCATCTGAGACGCCACATTTTTGAGCCATGGTTTCTGCGGGCGATGGTCAGAAGCAGTGATTTTTTTTGGAGTGATGGCTGTGCTGTTGCCCCATTGGAGATAATATGAGATAATACACATGGACAATGCAACTTCCCCCACCTTTGGATAAGGAAATGAGGTATACCATGGTATACCCAAATTTCTGCAGGATTGTGGCATACAGTGCCTCTCCGCAGTGATGGCTGCGCTGTTGCAATCGGAGAAAATTGATATGGACAATGCAATATCCCAGCTTTGAATGAAGGCATGGCATATGCCCAGATTTCTGCAAGCCGCAGTCATGCGGTGCTTCTCCGGAGTGATGGTAGCGCTGTTGCCATTGGAAAGAAAATTTATGGACAATGCGACATTCTGTTGCCAGAGCCAGGAATTTGTTACGTGGGCGATTGACATGTGGCAGAGACTTAGGTTTACAACTAGAATTCCTTCGCGAGGATGATGCTGTCGCGCTGATATGCTTGACTTTGGCTGGGGAAGAACGGCTTCGTGCGACGACACAGGGGATTGATGCAGCCTGGGAGACACACAAAAGGATTGCCCGTGAAATGAATGTGAACCTCCCAAATCTTCTCTTTGTTTTACCAGATGGGCAGTTGTTACATGCCGGCAACAAAAATCTGAGACAAAGCTCACTTGAAACAGTCTTTAAAGGTGCTTAGCACCCACATGCCCCCACCAAAGTGTGCTCACAGAGGCAAATAGAAAAGGATTCCTGATCCCTCATGGAAGCAAACACAGAGTCGCAGCATCGAACCCGGCATGTGAAAATGGAACTGTTGCGAAGTGACTTTGCCAAGATGCTGTGTCAGAAAGCGACAGATCAACCCCATATACGCCCTCAAAATCGGGCACCCTCCAGTAAAGTCACACAGCGGTTGCCGAAACTCCAAGATACATCAAGATACATCAAGCAGGTTCTTTTTTCAAGTTCCCAATTTTCTTCAACCCATTTCCATTCCATTTCCTATCACCTCAGATCACCTCAGGTGGCCGGTGCCAGCTACCAATATGTGCTGCAGCCCTTGGGCTCCGCGGCGGCTGCCGCGGGTCAGGCCGTCTACAGCTACGTGCTGCGGCCGTTGCCAGGACGCGCCGGACACCATGGTGCGTTTCTGTGGAAGTTGTGTCCCCAATCTTTTGGATGGATGAAACATGATAAAACAAAATATGACCTATGATACATGGTATGGTGTTGTATGATATAATGAATACAGATGCCCAGGGTGGCCAGATTTGCCATCATGCAAACTTGCTCAAACTTTGATTGCACGGGTGTTTTCATGCAGCCACGGCTACGACATTTGGATCATTTTGGGATGCCCCACAATCATCACACTTTACTTCGGCCAGGAATTAGCTGGCTAGTCATAGCTAGGAGGTTCCAGCCATATTCCAAGGTTTTTGGGGTTACTGAACAACCCCTTCGCACCCCACGGCCCCATAGCTGCAGGAGTCGTGTACAATGTGTTGCTTGGTGGGCGAGAAGCGGCCTGATTTGTGTAGTTTTGGTAGCTAGGAGGATGGGAAATATGGCAACATGGAGACACCATGATGAGGCTAGGCATGGCTAGATAAGTAGATGGTGTATATAGTTATATTACATATATAAATATAACATAAATACAGCTATATATATATATATATGTGTGTGTGTGTCTGCTTATTTCTAGTCACATATAGTCATATTTACTCATAGAACACCATACAACTTTGAATGGCATGGTCAGCATGGTGTGGGGCAAGCAACAACAAAAATGGCTTATAGCCGCAGGCTTGACCTCGCCTGTCTCAGCTGGTGACTGATCACGTTACATAATTAACGACCATCCAGCTGAGAACATCGTCTGAAGTCTCAGACGATTCTCGACATTTCTCTTTCGAAGACTCATAACATTCAGTTGGACATCAATCAGATAATCAGTTTAAGAATTTTAAAAGTGTGATAAAGATCAATATATATATATATAATATATATATATACATATATCAATAAATATCAATAAATATCAATATGTCCAGACATTTAGCTGTTCAGCTGGACAGCTGTCTCTACCTGGTCGAGGTTGAGCGCTTGCGCCTCGGCCGTGGCGGTGGTGCCTTGGCCAAAGTGATGGTGGCGTCCAAGGCCGTGGGGGCTCCGATGGTAAAAATATGGTTTATATATGGTGATCAACATGGGAATATCTATGGTTAATGTCTATGGTTAATGGTGATTTAATGGTGATTTAATGGCGATTAATGGTGATTAATAGTGGTTTATATATGGGAATATCATGGAATATCTATGGTTAATGGTGATGAATAGTGGTTATTAATGGCGATGAATGGTGGTTATTAAAGGCTAGAGGTGTGAATTTCATGGTGATTAGCCTCTGGTAATGACTGTGACATAGCGAACTGGAAAATGGCCATAGAAATAGTGGATTTACCCATTGAACATGGTGATTTTCCATAGTTCTGTGACAGTTTACCAGGCCGGGTAGGATTTATTGGACCTTTTTTGAAGGCGGTGAAGCATAATGGACTGAGTGTTCGAGACAGATGCCTCAGATATCCATCCCGTATCCCTATCCATCGCAAAAGAATGGATGATGATTAATGAATTGGGAATCCCTATTATATGATGGGTCATTAGTATTCATGGGTCATTGGTATTCATTATAATAAGATATATTATGATTATTCAGCGGTGGGAATCCATTTGAATTGTTGTTACATAGATCCACAACGGCTCATTTTGGCATAGCGTCTCAAACAACAACGAGCTGTTGATGACAGCATCCACTCACAAGACATGAGGGTTGGACCTGCCCCACGAACCCTAAACCCAACCCGTTTCCCCATTTCCAGTTTCAAGTGTCCCTTGTAATGTCAACCCTGGATTAATAAACCCCTAGGCTGTTTAATTGGGGCGGTACCATTTAAGTATCAGATTATGACTATTGGAGGAGTACCCCCCTAATTAATAAACCATGGTTTAGCAAAATCCGGGGTTGACATTATAAAGAAACCAATTGGTCTGAACATTTCCAAGGCGGCCGGCGGCTGCTACCAATATCTGCTGCTCCCCGTGGGTTCCGCCGCGGCAGATCTGGGCCGGGCCACCTACAGCTACGTGCTGTTGCCTTGTGGTCGCGCAGGGATGGCAGCGGCCAGCTTTGTGGTGCAGGTGGCTTCGCCAAAAAGTGGTGGATTCATAGGCCAAAATGTGGCAAAATGGGATATGAATAGGGATATTCATTAGATTGGTTTACGGGAAAATGTGCACGAAACCCCCATATTTAATGGTAAAAACTATAGTTTCCTGTAGATTTTCCCTTAAACCAATCCAATGAGATATGGGATATCAATGCGGATGACTTTCTAGGATAGTTCACTAAGAATTATGGTGATTAATAGTGATTATATGGATTATTCGTGATTAATGGGATGATTAATGGAATGGTGATTGGTCTGCATTAATGATAACGACCTCACTGCGATGTCACTGGAATGATGATACGTAGGGGTAACTATCCCAAAATAGCCTTTCATGTCAGTCAATTATCATAGTTCACCCAGACATACTGGATGATACTGGCATATACTGGTGAAGGATGGCGCCTTATGATTTATGATTTAATTAGTGTGATTGATTACTCTTATGTTCTTTTTCTCTTTTCTTTTCACTCCCGGAGTGACTCTGTTTTTTAGCCCTTCCTGGTGAAAGCTCCGCATTTCGAACGGTGTTCGGATCCCAGCCGTGCCCCGAAGAACGCCAGGTCACCACCTCCGCAGGGCAGACGATCTACGTCCACGTCCTGTGCCCCGCGGGGCAGCTGAGCGTCGCCGCGGTGGAGGCCATCGGCCGCAGCCTGCAGCAGGGCGGCCAGGCGGTGCGTGTGGCGTGCCAAAGCCTGCGCCGGGCCTTCTGAGACGACGGTGGCAAGGGCAAGGGCTGGTTTAGAACGTTTAAGCCGGGTTGGAAAACGGAAGTGGTTGGGTTATGAAACCTCGATGTAACACATAAGTTGACATCAAATGAGCACAAGTGATCTAAATTGAAGGCATCCCAAAGAATTGTTTCCAAAGATGTTTTGTATTTTTAAATGGATATAACTCAAGTTGCTAATGGATGCTAATCGGACCAAGAAAGAGGAAAAATTGCATCAACAAAGTGACACACCCACTTCAAACACAACCCTAGATGCAAATCGCAAGTCGCGGAAAACTCCGAGATATGCATTGCGTGGAATGCTTGGTTCCACGTGTTTCAGGCCGGGGGAGTCATCCTGCCAGCGAACGCTAATCGTGTGGCAAAGCCACTTTCAGTAACTGTTGGTTTCATGATGTGGGGGTTATTTGATACTATATAGATATATCTAGAATCTAGATATTGATATTGGATGATATTGGATGATATTGGATGATATTGGATGATATTTGATATGGGATTGGTTGGTTCTGATTCATTTGTTGTTTGATCATAGAAAAGCCACCAGCTTTTTTGATGCACGTCGCAATGGGGTGAAAATTAGTCATGGGCTTTTGGGTTTCCGTGACGAGGGTGACTATACCTCAGCCTGCATCCCGAAGCGTCACTGACCATGTACAGTTGGTCGCAGCAGTCGCGTGGTGGAAACCGAAATGCGGAGAAAATCCATGGCCCTTCGAGTTGGGAGGATCCTTTGGGACGATGCAGATCAGCATGACAGTAAACAAACTGGCAAAAACATGTATATTATAACTATTGCAATCGCAGTCGGTTTAATTAGTTATATATATACGTATATATATATATATAGAATTATATAGATATAAATGTAATATAGTATGCATGTATGTATTATTAATGTGTATGTTTATGTGTGTGTATGGAGAAATATGTATCCTTAAATCCCAAGCACCTTTATGTTTGTGGTGCTCGCGTTGAATTTTGGGATGCCTTCAATTTCTGGGGCTGGTAGTTGCAGTGGTTTCCTCCGTCCCCCACCTTTTTGAAACGCCCCTTGTGAATCAAACATCATTAAAATGGTTCTCCCTGTATTCTGCTCCTCCCGAATGCGCCGGATTTTGATGCAGGTGGCAGACCTATCTCATGGCGGAACGGTTGCAGAGTTGCAGAGCACGTCACATTCTCATTCCGTGCGAACCAGAAACACGCAGTGTTGATGCAGAATGCCTGGGCGGAAAGTGTCTGAGAAAGTGACATCAAGTGAGCAGTTCATTCCCATGTGGCTCGCAGGGCAACAACATTTCTTTTGTACCAGGCCAAGATGGATTGGAGACCAAACAGTTTTTTTTTTCGGTGGTAAATAAGTAAATAAATACGTACATACCTACCTACATACATACATACATACATACATCCATACATGCAGACATACAGACATACAGACATACACACACATATATATATAATATACACACATATATACATATATACATATATATATATATACATATATATATATATACACATATATATATATATATATGTATGTACATATATATACATATATATATACATACATACATTACACACACATATATATACACATTACATATATATATACATGCATGTATACATATATATATATTACATATATACACTATACACATACAAGTAGATACGTCGGCTCAAATTTCCATATCATATCCCTAGATTATAAATGACAGGATGATATCGATTATTTCCCCGGCAGTGACAAGCCATCTATCCTCAATTTTCAAGAATCCTGGTCAGGGTATCACAATTCCTGCTTCTTGTACTGAAGCCAACAAGAAAATCAAATTCAAACTAAAGAGCAAATGGTAAATGTTGGGCATAAGTTTGCCACATGAAATTGACGTTCCCCAAACTTTTTGTAGCCCGTCTGCCCATTAAACCCAATTCTCAACACGAATTGTCCCTCTAGTTTGTCAGGCTTCATGTGTTATACTGCAAATTCCAACAGGATAGAACAACATGTCACCCCTATTTCAAGAGGATTTTACCATACTTTACCTTTCTGCATCATTTTTTGGCTTCACAGAACCATCACGGCGCTCTGCATGGCGCGCAAGCCGCCGCTCTGCGGCGGCGGCTTGCCGCAATGGCGGCATGGACCGGGCCAAGGCTGCTCCGGGAAGATGGTTTGACCATGAAACCTGCAGGTTCAATATGAATTTCACGTGGTTTAAACGTTTTAACATCAAAAATTGAAGGTTTGACATGGCTTAACCATCTTGACATGGTAGGATTTATCGCCCCAATATTGAATGTTTGAAATGGATCCAATGCCACAGATCAGTGATGATCTCATCCAGTTGGGGCTGGTGATCAAAGCCAGTGGAAAGCCATGAACGATCCCCAATTTGAGCCGAAATCTCGAGGGCTGAATTTTTCATCTTGCTTCCAAGATGTCGGACGTCGGATTCTGCAGGTTTTATTGACACTTCACACGTAATTTTAACAACTGATATTTGTTCCATGATTTTTTTTGGTGGGAAAACTACTCCCATATAATCCCATTGGTATATCCGATTGGTATATCAATGGATCAAAAGTCACCTGGGTTGATCGTCAACTTTTCATGAATTTTTCCCATGTCCCATTGCAAGCTGGGTATTCCATGTTTTGTTTTCTGGTGTTTACCATCACTTAGTGACCCTCCGAGAATCAAAGATAGCAATGGACAATTCACCATTTACAGATGAGTTTCCGTTCCGAAATGATCTAACAATATCTAACATGTCCATTCATGGTGGATATTCGTGGATTGTCCCATTATTCATGGGGGATTTTCATGGATTTTCCCATGTGCCACGTTTGGACGACCTTGGAGTGTCATCGATGTTCTTCGACCTTTGCGGCACTCCGAAGCGGCGGGACGAGGCCATCTCCCAGCTGGGCAAAAGCCAGCAGTGGCAGCAAGCCTTGGAGCTCCTACAGGCGATCCAATGTGCTTTTCACAAAAAATGGAAAGGTCAAATTCATCATTTCATAACCCATAGGATCCATGTATGGTATATATGCCAACATTTACCATCAATATCCCCAAATGTTAGCATATATACCAGCACCATGGATCCTATGGGTAATATGTCAATATATGTCATATCTTTTCCAAGTCCTGTTTTTTTTTTGGGGGTTTTTCTATGCCATTCCATGCCTCATCTTTTCATCGAGCCAAGCTCAAAACGTCGCCAGGGCGACGAGCACTGCGACCTGGTCACCTTCAATGCAGCCATCAGCGCCTGTGCCAAGGTGGCGGTGGTGTTTGAAAGGCCTTAGATCGTCGTTTTAGATGATGTTTTGTGGAGCTGATTTTGGATGATTTTGTTGAACCTCATCATTTTTTTTGATTTAGTTTTAGGATGTTTTTTTTGATTTTGGATGATTTCCAGGCCCAGGGGAGAGATTGGTGTGGTGGTGGGTCTTGATTTGCAGGCAAAGCAGTGGCAGCAGGCCGAAGTGGTGTTCCAGGCAGGATCGGAAGCACTTCCAAAAGGCGACAGTGTCCAACCCCATTTTTCAAAAAAAAGACACGAGTCCAACATCGCTGGTTTCAACAATTTTGCCAAAGAAGTCCAGCAACAATTCCCACTTTCCATGTTTCATCATTTCATCCTTCAATTTTGCGTCAGTTTTCCGAAGTCGTGGCGTCCGGCGAGGCGGCAAAGGCGGCGGAACTGGTCCCGGACATTGTCTCGTGGAAGCTGGGATCAAGAGAAGGGATCAATCTGGTGGATGGGATGAACTACATGGGAAAATCGATGGAACATCTGGCATTTGTGGAGATCCGTGACTATGACAACTAATTAATTAATTAATTAATTATGGGTTTTTAATAGCTATATATATATTATATATATATGGGCCTGTCTTTTTTTGATGCGTGCAGTTTTTAGTAAAGGCAGGAGGTTCGATTTGCGCGAATCATACCCCCGAATCATACCCCGAATCATACCCCCGAATCATACCCCCGAAATCTGCGAATCATACCCCTAAAAAATCAGGATTATGAATGTTTTTTTTGGGATCGTTTGGGATTGCATTGGCCTCACTAGTTATAATGGACCTGACAAGCTAATTGACCAGTGTTGGCGAATCTTCTCCACGCGCACAGAGTCTCATCATTATCCCTAAGCTGGCTGGCTCTCGGTGGCTGGCGGGCTGGCTGGCTGGCTGGCAACCAAACCAAAACTCCGTCGAAGAGGAACATAAGCCTAAGCGTAGCTGAGCTAAAGGTACATGAGAAGAACATCCAGAAGAGACGCCGGCAGGCCGGCGGATATAAATCATTCATGTGCATTGAGATCTTCACATTCTTCATACTCAGGTCCTGTCCAAGGTCGTCTGGCAGGTCGAGCCATTGCAGCCATTGACAAAGTAGCAATCGTAGTAGGTTGACGGTGGGAAAAAGAGACTCAAGCAACAAAGCTTCCTGAATTCAAAAAAAGATGGGTTTCCGAATCATACCCCGAATCATGCCCGAATCATACCCGAATCATACCTCAAACTTCCCAATTCTGAACCTTGGTACATTTGCAAGATCAGAACTTGTGTTTTGTGAGCTCTTTTCTTTGCAACCATTCGCCACGGGTCCTGCTGCTTCTGAGAAAAATCCGACAACAGCACCCTGCAGCGCGCAGCAGCACCCTTCACTAGCACCCTTGCAGCACGAGTTGGGTACAGTACGTACCCTCCTTGCAGCACCCTGAAGCATCACCCCTTGCAGCAGCACCATGAGACCCATATACTCCATGTATGATATAAATGGCATTAATTAGCAACATTCGGACGATTTTGGGAGTAAGTATAGGTACATAAAGGGCCGCGAATCATACCCACGAATCATACCCCGAATCATACCCGCGAATCATACCCCCTAGTCAAACTTCCCGGGTTGGACACGGTATTTTGAGACGTCCCCATATATAGTATATATATATACATATGCATACTCACAAAAATAATATCATATCGGTATTATATAATTATTCTATTGTCGCGGATTTAATTCACGAGATGATACTGGGATCAGCCACCAAGTAGTCAACTACTACCCAGCCCAGGAATAGCCTTCTGAATGCCTACGCCTCGGGTGGCCAGTGGCCGCTGGCACTGTCTCTCCTGGTGACCCGGCTCTGGGCCAACCTCGTGTGTTTTTCTGGCGAAAAGTGATGACAAGTGAGGGTATATACCATATGGCAACCCCCAGAATCGAGGTACTGTGTTGTACAAGATCACTATTTTAATATAGGATTTGACTTTCCTTTTTGATCTTTTTGTGGGGCTTGCTGTGCTAATTAGCTGAGAACTTTTTGCAGAAGAACCAGCTAAGAATTCTGGGTGCAGGGTATCTAAGACTAACCTTTGAGGACAGTGTTGATAAACCCCAATTCTTGAGGAGTTCACACTTCGTTGGTGAAATCTCCCCATTTCACCCACCCATATCCTTCCAGTTGTCTCATTTTCTCCAGCTCCGTACCCCTCTTCCGAGGCCCACCTGGCACGCACGGACACGGCGGCAACGCCACGGCCTGACCTGCTGAGTTACAACAGCGTGCTGCACGGCTGCGCGCGCTGTGGACGCTGGCAGCAGTGCCTGCAGCTCTTCGAAGCCGTGAGGGCACAGAAGTTGCTGCCCTCCGCGTGGCGCCACATGTTGGAGCCATGGGGGGGCCACCTAATGTGGTACCCTAAACTGGAAAACCTATGGTTCCCTGAAGAAAATGATTTGGCAATGGTGGGTTTTCCACATCTATGGAATTACCGGGCAAAGTATCAGTTAAGAATCAACTTGATGTGGTGTGGTTTAAAGTCAAAGTTTGGGGTAGGGATGATGATGGATGACTGGACTGACTAGCAATAGACTGACTAGCAATATTTTAAATATTTGTTCCATACCCGAACCATGTGCAGCCCAAACCCCAGATCCCAGGGTTTCATGACATTTCATGACCATATCAATCAAATGGAAAATCGGAATGATGGAACCCGACTTACGCCCATAAATTCTCGAGATGTTTTAAAATCCGGACTTGGTGAGAGGAAACAGGTATGAACAGACACAGGAAACCAAGCAAATACAATATGTTATCGTAACCCCCCTAGTTTCCTGTTGCTTTTCCCTTAAGTCCCATTGATGGGACCATTCCTGTAGTTCACCGACAAATGATGCCAGGCACACTTGCAGCGGACTGCTGCAGGGCATGGCAAGGGCAAGTTGCTGGCAACGAGCCGTTGAGACCTTGAGGGAACTGCTGCAAAGAGGCCACTGCAGAGGGTTACAACTGTGGCGATGGCGGAAACATATGGAAAACGATGGAAAAATCCATGACAAATCCATGAGCATCCAAGAATTGGTGGGATTGGGATTTCTGAAGCTATAAATGGGAAGTCCATGAATATGCAACCTATAAATTAGCCAATATGATGATTGAAAAAATTTTGTTGGGAAAAGTATCCCATATATATATATATATTTTTGGGCTGACGCCCCTCGTCGGCTCCGCCGGACCACTCGGCCCTCCATTTCATCGCAGTGTGGGCGTGAAAGTTACTGAATGAGGACCTGCTTCAGAAATATATTCCTTAGGTTTTTTGGAACGTATTTGTTGGAATAGACGATTTTTTGGGGAGCAAGTGAGTTCCCGAAAGCTCCTGCGAAGGGTTTTTCCTAAAGAACTGCTGCCGATTTCAACTTGTTACTTCGTGTAAAGGCGCCTCTGTGCAAAGACTTCTCTGTGTAAAAGCTTTTGTGTGTAAGAGTTTCTGTGTGTAAAAACCACTTTGTGTAAAGACTTTTTTGTGTAAAAGCTTCTCTGTGTGAAAGCACGTCTTTGTAAAGATTTCTCTGTGTGTAAAAGCTTCCGTGTATAAAAACTCTCTGTGTAAAGGCTACTTCTCTGTGTAAAAGTTTCTGTGTGTAAACGCGTCTGTGTGTTAAAGCTCTCTGTGTAAAGACTTCTTTGTGTAACAGCTTTTGTGTGTAAAAGCTCCAAGACGTTTGTGTGAAAAAGCTCCTCAGAGGAAAGACTTCTCTGTGTAAAACCTTCTGTGTGTAAAAAGCTACTCTGTGTAAATGTGTAAAAGCCCCTGCGTGTGTAAAAGCTTGCTGTGTGTAAACGCTTTGGTGTGTAAACGCTCCTCTGTGTAAAGGCTTCTCTGTGTAAAAGCTTCTGTGTGCAAACGCGTCTGTGTGTAAAAAGCCCTCTGTGTAAAGACTTCTTCGTGTAAAAACTTCTGTGAGTTAAAGCTCCTAGACGTTTGTCTGCAAAAGCACCTTAGAGTAAAGACTTCTCTGTGTAAAACCTTCTGTATGTAAAAAGCTCCTTTGTGTAAAGACTTCTCTGTGTAAAAGCCCCTGTGTGTGTGGGTAAAAGCTTCTGTGCGTCTCCTCCCTCCAGCTTTCTTTCGGGTCACGCTGTCGTCCAGTTTCAATCTGCAACGTTGTTTCTTGTGGAAGAGTGTGCAAACATGTAATGCAAATTGAACATAAACAGCGCACAAAGTGCTGTAATTTACAGCATATTGCGCTGTCAGCTGGCAAGAACCCGCGTAAATACCACAGTTTTAGTCCCCCAAAGTGGCTAAAACACTGTTATTTACAGGGTTTCGTTCACGTCACGATCTTCGATTTTTTGGGAAACGCGTAAATACCAGCGTTTTTTGCGTTCATCAAGGCAAAACATCGGTTCAAAAAGTGCAAAAAATGCTGTAATTTACAGGGGTTTGGCGCCGTCACGGGCAAAAAACCGTGTAAATACCAACGTTTCAGCGCCCAAAAGTGGCTAAAACACCGCTATTTACAGTGTTTCGTGCCTTCCACGTTTTCTTGAAATTGCAAAAACAGTGTAAATACCAGCATTTTTTGCGATCAACTTGCCAAAAATGCTGTAATTTACAGTGTTTTTTGCTTGGCTTTCAAAAACACTGGTATTTGCGGTGTTTTGTGCATCTCCGGTCTAAAAAGTATTGGTATTTACAGCATTTTCTGCTTTTTTTCATTGCTCCCGCAAAAGACGTCAAAACGCAAAAATACTGTAATTTACAGCATTTTGTGACTTTCGAAAAGCGAAAAATCGTCCGAAAAATGTGTCAAAACGGCGCTTTTTTCCGATTTTAGGTACCCTCAAAACGGGGGGGGCTGGGGGAATGCTCTTGGAGACGCTGATGAGCGACCCGCATTCCGTCCAAAAACCTCTCCCCCACCCTCCCGAAGGATTTTTGGTGTTTTTCGGGGCCCGGCGTCGGAGGGTCGGCGGCTTGGGGCGCGCCTCACCTTAGAGCTCTAGTCGCTCTGGGACGCTCGTGGGGCAAGCCACTCGTATGGAGCCGGCGGAGCCGAATTTAAGGGCTGACGCCCCCCGTCGGCTCCGCCGGATTTCTCGACCCTCCATTTCATCGCAGTGTGGGCTTGAAAGCTTTTGGACGGGGACCTGCTTCAGAAATATATTCCTTATGTTTTTTGAAAATTGAAAAAAGGTCATGGAATAGGAACTTTGTTGGAAATAGACGGCTTTTTTGGGGAGCAAGTGAGTTCCCGAAAGCTCCTGCCAAGGGTTTTTCCCGAAGAACTGCTGCCAATTTCAACTTGTTACTTCGTGTAAAGGTGCCTCTGTGCAAAGACTTCTCTGCGTAAAAGCTTTTGTGTGTAAAAGTTTCTGTGTAAAAACCACTTTGTGTAAAGACTTCTTTGTGTAAAAGCTTCTGTGTGTGAAAGCTTCTCTGTGTGAAACGTCTGTGTAAAGATTTCACTGTGTGTAAAAGCTTCCGTGTGTAACAACTCTCTGTGTAAAGTGTAAAGGCTTCTCCGTGTAAAAGCTTCTGCGTGTAAACGCGTCTGTGTGTGAAAGCTATATATCTGTGTAAAGACTTCTTTGTGTAACAGCTTCTGTGTGTAAAGGCTCCTAGACTTTTGTGTGCAAAAGCTATAGAGTAAAGACTTCTCTGTGTAAGACCTTCTGTGTGTAAAAAGCTCCTTTGTGTAAAGACTTCTCTGTGTAAAAGCCCCTGTGTGTGTGTAAATGCTTTTGTGTGTAAAAGCTCCTCTGTGTAAAGGCTTCTCTGTGTAAAAGCTTCTGTGTGCAAACGCGTCTGTGTGTAAAAACTCTCTCTGTCAGGCCTTCTTCGTGTAAAAAGTTCTGTGTGAAAAAGCTCCTAGACGTTTGTATGCGAAAGCTCCTTGGAGTAAAGACTTCTCTGTGTAAAACCTTCTGTGTGTAAAAAGCTCCTTTGTGTAAGGACTTCTCTGTGTAAAAGCCCCTGTGTGTGTAAAAGCTTGCTGTGTGTAAATGCTTTTGTGTGTAAAAGCTCCTCTGTGTGAAGGCTTCTCTGTGTAAAAGCTTCTGTGTGCAAACGCGTCTGTGTGTAAAGAGCCCTCTGTGTAGAGACTTCTTTGTGTAACAGCTTCTGTGTGTAAAGGCTCCTAGACGTTTGTGTGCAAAAGCTCCTTAGAGTAAAGACTTCTCTGTGTAAAACCTTCTGTGTGTAAAAAGCTCCTTTGTGTAAAGACTTCTCTGTGTAAAAGCCCCTGTGTGTGTAAAAGCTTGCTGTGTGCAAATGCTTTTGTGTGTAAAAGCTCCTCTGTGTAAAGGCTTCTCTGTGTAAAAGCTTCTATGTGCAAACGCGTCTGTGTGTAAAAACTCTCTCTGTCAGTCCTTCTTCGTGTAAAAAGTTCTGTGTGAAAAAGCTCCTAGACGTTTGTATGCGAAAGCTCCTTGGAGTAAAGACTTCTCTGTGTAAAACCTTCTGTGTGTAAAAAGCTCCTTTGTGTAAGGACTTCTCTGTGTAAAAGCCCCTGTGTGTGTAAAAGCTTGCTGTGTGTAAATGCTTTTGTGTGTAAAAGCTCCTTTGTGTGAAGGCTTCTCTGTGTAAAAGCTTCTGTGTGCAAACGCGTCTGTGTGTAAAAAGCCCTCTGTGTAAAGACTTCTTTGTGTAACACCTTCTGTGCGTAAAGGCTCCTAGACGTTTGTGTGCAAAAGCTCCTTAGAGTAAAGACTTCTCTGTGTAAAACCTTCTGTGTGTAAAAAGCTCCTTTGTGTAAGGACTTCTCTGTGTAAAAGCCCCTGTGTGTGTAAAAGCTTGCTGTGTGTAAATGCTTTTGTGTGTAAAAGCTCCTTTGTGTGAAGGCTTCTCTGTGTAAAAGCTTCTGTGTGCAAACGCGTCTGTGTGTAAAAAGCCCTCTGTGTAAAGACTTCTTTGTGTAACACCTTCTGTGCGTAAAGGCTCCTAGACGTTTGTGTGCAAAAGCTCCTTAGAGTAAAGACTTCTCTGTGTAAAACCTTCTGTATGTAAAAAGCTCCTTTGTGTAAAGACTTCTCTGTGTAAAAGCCCCTGTATGCGCAAAAGCTTCTGTGCGACTCCTCCATCCAGCTTTCTTTCGGGTCACACTGTCGTCCAGTTTCAATCTGCAACATTGTTTCTTGTGGAAGATGCAAAGAACAGGTGAAAGCATCGCAGGTTAAAAAATTGAACATAAACAGCGCACAAAGTGCTGCAATTTACAGCATTTTGCGCTCTCAGATGGCAAGAACCCGCGTAAATACCACAGTTTTAGTCCCCGAAAGTGGCTAAAACACTGTTATTTACAATGTTTCGTTCACGTCACGATCTGCGATTTTTTGAAAAACGCGTAAATACCAGCGTTTTTTGCGTTCAGCAACGCAAAAAATCGGTTCAAAAAGGGAAGAAAATGCTGTAATTTACAGGGGTTTGGCGCCGCCACGGGCAAAAAACTGCGTAAATACCAGCGTTTCGGCGTCCAAAAGTGGCCAAAACACCGCTATTTACAGTGTTTCGTGCCTTCCACGTTTTCTTGAAATTGCAAAAGCACTGTAAATACCAGCATTTTTTGCGATCAACTCGCCAAAAATGCTGTAATTTACAATGTTTTTTTGTTGCGCTTTCAAAAACACTGGTATTTGCAGTGTTTTGTGCATCTCGGGTCCAAAAAGTATTGGTATTTACAGCATTTTCTGCGTTTCTGCATGGCTCCCGCAAAAGACGTTAAAACGCAAAAATGCTGTAATTTACAGCATTTTGTGCCTTTCGAAAAGCGAAAAATCGTCCGAAAAAGGCGTCAAAACGGCGCTTTTTTCCGATTTTAGGTACCCTCAAAACGGGGGGGGGGGGGCCTTTTGCTCTTGGAGACGCTTATGAGCGACCCGGATTCCGGCCAAAAAGCTCTCCCCCACCCTCCTGAAGGATTTTTGGTGTTTTTCGGGGCCCGGCGTCGGAGGGTCGGCGGCTTGGGGCGCGCCTCACCTTAGAGCTCTAGTCGCTCTGGGACGCTCGTAGGGCAAGCCACTCGTGTGGAGCCGGCGGAGCCGAATTTAAGGGCTGCCGCCCCTGCCGCCGACCCCGGAAGAATGGTCAAGTAACCAAACCAATAAGCAAACCAAATGGGCACTTGACTTGCTTGGCTTCATTGCTCCAAGTTACCCCTGTTGGTTGATGGGTATATGTTGATGGGATCCTTCGTCGCGACCAGTTGGCTTCACAGCACCGCAAGTCATTTTGTCCATGTTGGCTTACCATCAGATTTCCGACATTTGAAACAAAATTGTTGTGTTATATGACAGTTATATCATATATCATATGATGGTCTGAGTTTTTTCCGACAATTGGTCGACAGTTTCCAGCCTTTAGCTACTTTAGGGATCCAACTAGCCAGCATCATGTTTTGTTGATCTTGGAGTAGTTTAGATAAATAGTAAATGTTAAGCAGCACAGGCTTCCCAAGTCTCAGTTACAGTTACAATATGTTACAGATTTTCGGTTTGTTTTCCGACTCTGTTGATTTTTCGACAGATTCTGTTGCCTGCGGCTGCTAGCAGTAAAACAGCTTCGAAAAAATAACCTCCCGGCAGGGAAACACCATGCCTCTGAAGGACGAGCTAGTTCCAAAACCACGCCAAAAAACTCCCTACGTCTCGTCTGAGATCGTAGAAAAACAGCATTTTTCGACAGATTCTGTTGCCTGCGGCTGCTAGCAGTAAAACAGCTTCGAAAAAATAACCTCCCGGCAGGGAAACACCATGCCTCTGAAGGACGAACTCGTTCCAAAACCACGCCAAAAGACTCCCTATAACGTCTCGTCTGAAATCCTAGACAAACAGCATTTTTCGACAGATTCTGTTGCCTGCGGCTGCTAGCAGTAAGCCAACTTCAAACAAATCACCTCCCGGCAGAGAAACACCATGCCTCTGAAGGAAGAGCTAGTTCCACAAAAAACACCAAAAAGCTCCCTAACGTGTCGTCTGCAATCCTAGAAAAAACAATATTTTTCGACAGATTCTGTTGCCTGCGGCTGTTGCTAGTCCTCCTGCTGCTGCATCTGCTGCGGCTGCTGCTGCTGCTGCCGCGCCAAAAGCCCCTGCTGCTGCAACTGCTGCTGCTGCGGGTCCTGTATTTGCTGCTGTTGCTCCTCCTCCAGGGTAACACCATGCCTCTGAAGGACGAGCTAGTTCCAAAACCACGCCAAAAAACTCCCTAACGTCTCTTCTGAAATCGTAGAAAAACAGCATTTTTCGACAGATTCTGTTGCCTGCGGCTGCTAGCAGTAAAACAGCTTCGAAAAAATAACTTCCCGGCAGGGAAACACCATGCCTCTGAAGGACGAGCAAGTTCCAAAACCACGCCAAAAAACTCCCTAACGGATCGTCTGAAATCCCAGAAAAACACCGTTTTTCGACAGATTCTGTTGCCTGCGGCTGCTAGCAGTAAAACAGCTTCGACAAAATCACCTCCTGGCAGGGAAACACCGTGCCTCTGAAGGACGAGCAAATTCCAAAACCACGCCGAAAAACTCCCTAACATCTCGTCTGAAATCTTATAAATCTTAGACAAAAACAGCATTTTTCGTTAGATTCTGTTGCCTGCGGGTGCTAGCAGTCAAACAGCTTCGAAAAAATAACCTCCCGGCAGGGAAACACCATGCCTCTGCAGGACGAGCTACTTCCAAAACCACGCCAAAAAACTTCCTAACGTGTCGTCTGAAATCCTAGACAAAAACACAATTTTTCGACAGATTCTGTTGCCTGCGGCTGCTAGCAGCAAGCCAACTTCAAACAAATCACCTCCCGGCAGGGAAAACACCATAGCAGTGAAGGACAGAGAAGCGCCAAAATTGCACCCCGAAAATGCCTAACGTAACTTCTGAAACCCATAGAAAATGATGCTTTTGGCTCCTTTTGCCTCTTGCTGCTGCTATGAATTTTGGCTGCCTTTTCCTCCTGCTGCTGCAGAGGCTTTTGCTGCTGCTGCTGCTGGCCCCCGGATGGAAAAACACCATGGAAAAAATCACCTCCCGGCAGCAAAACACCATGCCTCTGAAGGACGGAGAAGCCCCAAAATTGCACCCCGAAAATGCCTAACGTAACTTCTGAAACACATAGAAAATGATGCTTTTGGCTCCTTTTTCCTCTTGCTGCTGCTATGAATTTTGGCTACCTTTTCCTCCTGCTGCTGCCCCCCGAAAATGCCTAACGTAACTTCTGAAACCCATAGAAAATGATGATTTTGGCTGCTTTTTCCTCTTGCTGCTGCTATGAATTTTGGCTACCCGTTCCTCCTGCTGCTGCAGAGGCTTTTGCTGCTGCTGCTGCTAGTCCCCAGATGGAAAAACACCATGGAAAAAATCACCTCCCGGCAGCAAAACACCATGCCTCTGAAGGACGGAGAAGCCCCAAAATTGCACCCCGAAAATGCCTAACGTAACTTCTGAAACCCATAGAAAATGATGCTTTTGGCTCCTTTTGCCTCTTGCTGCTGCTATGAATTTTGGCTACCTTTTCCTCCTGCTGCTGCAGAGGCTTTTGCTGCTGCTGCTGCTGGCCCCCGGATGGAAAAACACCATGGAAAAAATCACCTCCCGGCAGCAAAACACCATGCCTCTGAAGGACGGAGAAGCCCCAAAATTGCACCCCGAAAATGCCTAACGTAACTTCTGAAACCCATAGAAAATGATGCTTTTGGCTCCTTTTTCCTCTTTCTGCTGCTATGTTTTTTTTGGCTACCTTTTGCTCCTGCTGCTGCAGAGGCTTTTGCTGCTGCTGCTGCTGGTCCCCGGATGGAAAAACACCATGGAAAAAATCACCTCCCGGCAGGGAAACACCATGCCTCTGAAGGACGGAGAAGCCCCAAAATTGCACACCGAAAATGCTTAACGTAACTTCTGAAACCCATAGAAAATGATGCTTTTGGCTCCTTTTTCCTCTTGCTGCTGCTATGAATTTTGGCTGCCTTTTCCTCCTGCTGCTGCAGAGGCTTTTGCTGCTGCTGCTGCTGGTCCACGGATGGGAAAACAGCATGGCAGTGAAGGACAGAGTGGTAGTAGTAGTAGTAGTAGTAGTAGTAGTAGTAGTAGTGGTAGTAGTGGTAGTCGTGGTAGTCGTGGTAGTCGTGGTAGTCGTGGTAGTCGTGGTAGTCGTGGTAGTAGTAGTAGTAGTAGTAGTAGTAGTAGTAGTAGGCGGCTTTTTGCTCTTGCTGCTGCAATGAATTCTGGCGACCTTTTCCTCCTGTCTTCTTCCCTGGCGCGCTCCCCCTTGCATCTGCCGGGGTCGGCGGATATATTATATTAAGTCTATCTCATGACATGACAATGTGAAAGAATAAAGGATTGCACTGGATACGAAGCCATGGCAAAGAGGGTACCTGTGGATGGCAGCTGATCAAACCCATGGTGTCCCCATGACGGAAGAACATCATTTATTTTTCTTTGAACAGAAATATGATGGGAGATGAGGTATTATGAACCCAACAATGGGGATAGTGAGGGGATGTCAATGGAACATCACCATTTGCAAAAAAAAATGTACCCTCTGGTAAACTAACATAACAATGGAAAATCACCATTTTTAATGGGAAAATCCACTATAAATGGCCATTTTGAATAGCTATGTTAGTTTACCAGAGGGTAAATCATAGCATCACCATTTTCGAGGCGAACCCATGACCGCTGCCGGTTTCACAGCTGTCATCAGCGCGCCTCAGCGGCCTGCAATGGGCCTGCAACGGGGATGGGCACCGGGTTTTGGTTCGACATGTCCAATAGGTAGATGGGCAGATAGGTAGGTAAAGGATGGTAAAGGTAGATAGATAAATAGATAGATAGATAGATAGACAGATTGGATAGACAGATTGGATAGACAGGCACAAAGATAGGCACATAGATTCGACATAGATAAGGCGTATGAGGAAAAAAGGATAGACAGATGAGATAGACGCATGGAGAGGCAAGCAGACACACAGATGGATAGATTGCGGACCAGATAAATTAGATCGATGAGTCAATGATGATGAATTACAGCTTTCACGGTGAATTGAATGTCCTGCAAGCGTTTCCTGACAGTTTGCATTGCGTTGCAGGAAAACGGTGAAGGGGGCACACATTGACAGGGAGTTGCATCAATTTGCCTCCGGCTGGCAGTGTGCGGGATAGGGGAAAAAACATAGTTTTCTAGCATTTCCTGGTGAAATTTCCTCATAAGTCCCCTTATACCAAATTCAATCTCAGGATTTTAATTTGATTGGTTAAAATTTGCACATCTTTTCAGGTATTTGCTGGCCAAAATCCTCCATAAATTGGCACCCCATGTGCTACCCCGAGGCCTGCGGAGGGCACTGGCGCCCTGCTCTGCATCTGCTGGACGCGGCAAGGGCTGCTGGCGTGGCGGATGGTCGGGCCGTGGCAGCCACCATCGCGGCATGCGAGAAAGGCCGGGCCGGGGTCCTACCAGATGGTGCCCAGTGCTGTTGTTGGTTTAGAAACCCATCTAGCCCCTGGAAAAAAATAGAGCTGTGCGACCTGGAAAAATCACCATTCATATAATGTCATAAAATGTCATCAATCAATATAAACCATCAAATCGGAATCATTCATAAATCATCTATACCCTCTGGTAATTTAACGTAGCTATTGAAAATGGTCATTTATAGTCAATTTACCCATTAAACATGGTGATTTTCCGTAGTTATGTGACAGTTTACCAGGCCGGGTATTACTGGGCCATGATTTTCCCAGGGACGTTTCAGAAACGGGTCATCCCCGGAACCCAGGGCTCCAATGGCAACGTGCCATCACCTTGCTGCAACTTCCCGGCGCGCCGGGAACGGTGCCCGAAGCCTTTGCTGCGGCCTGCAGTGCCTGTGCAACTCGGTGGTTTCAGATATCAAGTTGTAAGATCAGTTCGAAAAAGGTGATTATATATAGTTCAGACAATCATCTCAAGTTGTCAGAACAGATATCTCTGCAACTCGATGATTATCAGTTCGATATAGTCAGATACTGTAAATTCTAAGACACAGGATGACATAGGATGATTATCAGTGAGAATATCATCAGATGTGGTATTTTACCAATAAATTACCAGTATTGTCAATAGGTACCAAAAAACCAACTTTCAGTTTTTTTTAAATATGAACAATATCAGATTGTCAGTATTTATTGATCAATGGTGAGTATTGTGATATCAGACTTGATACCACTGATTTCAATATTGCAATTATCAGTATCCACTGCAATAGCACTGATTGCAATATTGCAATTCCAATGGTTGAGTATCAAGTGCAATAAACCACATATATCAATACTGATCGGTGGATTTGATCAACAAGTGGGTTCTTTTAGATGGAGATGGTGAGATGCTTCACTGGCAATTGTCTTGCGGGTCTTTCTGCGTGTGTTTTTCCAGCCATGGAGCTACACCTCCGGGTGGGACTCTGGGACGATGGGGATGGGCTCCAACTACGGGCTCCAACCGGTCATCAAAGGTGGGAAATCCCTGAAGATCCCTGAAGTAAATGGAGATAAAAAAACGCTGGAAACATCATCGAACCAAAGGTCTCAGCTGCCTGGGCGTCCCTAAAACAAGTTCATCAAAGATGATCAAAGTAGTTTCGTGAATTTCCTCCTTGTCATTCAAGCTGCATTGCGATGACCCATTGGTCAATGGGCCTTTTCACATTTTTCGCGACATTTTTCACATTGAGGTGCAACTTGGTTGATTTTCTAGCACGTTTGGGCCTTTGCATAGGCCTTTGGAAATTTTTGGGCGCCTAAGATCAAATACTCTTCATTCATCTTGACTCACCATTCTTTGAATTGAACTCCATGTCCCCAAGTCTTGAACTCACTATTCTTAATTCATCATTCTTACCCTCCGGTCAACTAACATAACCATGGAAAATCACCATTTTTGATGGGTAAATCAACTATTTCTATGGCCATTTTCAATAGCTACGTTAAATTACCAGAGGGTAATCACCATTAATTCACTATTAGCCATTAATAACCACCATTAATCGCCATTAATTCACTATTAATCACCATTAACCACAATTAAACCCACCTTTTTCTTGTTCAAACGTCCAAGGAGAAGTGCAGCCAGTGGTCCCGGGCCTTGACCGTGCTGCAGCAGACGACGCCCAACGTGGTGATCTGTGCCCGGAAATGGACATGGCATTTTTTTAATATGAAATACGACATAACACACACAGAGATATTCATATATATATATATATAATATAGATATATAACATATATATATATATACATATATATATATATGAAATTATATATGTAAATAATATAGGGGGAACATACATCCATGCATGCATACATGCATGCATACATACATGCATCCATACATGCATCCATGCATGCATGCATACATGCATACATGCATGCATACATGCATACATGCATACATGCATACATGCATACATGCATACATGCATGCATCCATGCATACATACATATGTAAGATATATTCTGATACAGAAACAGTTGATAGCACCAGTTTTTCGATGCATGAACTTATTTATTTGGTTATACCGGCTATAATAGCAATCTCACAAATTTCGTCAACCCCAGTTTCATAAATTCATGCAACCTTTGTGGAGAAAACTATTTTATCAACTACATTTGGACAAATCTCAACGTACCAAGGGCCAGGGGCTTGTCCAAGCAAGGCGGAAGTTGGTGCCTTCCCATGGCACTACCACCAGTAGATTGAGAAGGGTTGGACATGAAATTTGAACATGGTAGATTTTTCCCAATCAATTGAATATATTATTATCTATATATATTTAATTTATATATATAATCCAGTCAGGTAGATATTTAGCAATTGAATGGAACCATTACAATCCAATCACACAACCGAAAAGTCTTGGTATCCACTTGGAGATTACTATGGTTTTTGATGGTAAAAACCAATGGATTGATTGCCGACCGCCAAAAAAAACAGGTACTGCTTGTATCGCGGCCTGCGCGAAAGCCGGGCAGCTGCAGATCTGTTGGAACTTGTTGGATTCCATGGAGGACAACGCCATCAGTCCAGACGCAAAAGCCTTTGGCGCGGTGCTTTGGATAGTGATGTCGGGGGTCAGAAAAGACAAAGGTGGAACATGTGCAGAAATGCCATTTGGATGGATTTTGTGGGTGATTTGGTGGGTGATTTGTGGGTGATTTGGTTTTAATTAGATCAGATCTGTTAGTCTTTCAGAGGTCAGACAGCTACGGGTCTTAGTCATCAGAAAAGGAGAACAATGGGATGAAATTGGAAGGAGTGCAGGCCCGGTTTCCTATCCCACGAGGTTTTCCGGGGTGATGCAGATGTATGCTTATGTCTAATACACACACACACATATATATATATATATACATGTATATATACATATATACATATATATATATATATATGATCTATTATATTTGTATTCATGCACTGGATCGTAACATGTTGCAACCAAACTCATCCAGAAGACTGCATCAGTTAAGAGTACTCACTATATTAGGGTCATTGGGTCATTGTTAGTCCAACGTTCGCCGAGGTGGCTGGTACGTTGGCCCGCATGGACGCCACTGAGATCGCACCTGGTGACGGAGATCGAGATGGAATTTTCTGGTTAGTAAGGAAAATACACCTATAATGGCCCTATAGATCAAGTGAATTTCAAGGTTTTCAGGATGGTGAAATGTTATGATTTCGCCAGACGAGAAAAAAGGATTATTCTATTTACGACTTATTTATGACTGGCAGGTCTCATTTGTCTTCGTTTTGACCTGTCATTGTTGGTTTTGCATCCTGCCCCTCAAGATTTATCACTTTGACCGGCTGGTGAGTTTGATGCGGCTGTACCTCCATTGAATCCGAATCTGTGATGGCTTCATGGTGGGTTGGATTCGGGCTGTCCTTTTTGTGTTTGTAAATTCCATTGTTTGGTGGTCAATTAAGGTCCCTTCTTCACGGCGACCAGCCAAAACAGCTGGTCAAGAGTCAAGAGTTGAGTCTTCAACCCAGAAACATGAGAACTTGACCAGATTTTCACCCAACAAAGTCATCCCAACACAACCCCATAACCCAAGATTCCAACATTATTATCACACCTCCTATGTTTGAATTGGCAAAATACCATGGTTATCCCATGATGATCCCAGGACTGGCGTGTTTTGCCGCGCATCCTTCGTCGCTTGCGTTCTGCGCAGCTGTCGCCCGATGCCGCGCTGCTGGGCGACGCGCTGCAACGGCTGCCGCCAGGGGCTGTGGAGGCGGTGGAGCGATGGCCCTGGTGGAAGCTGAGGCCGGGCTGCTAAGTCAGGTGACGGTAGGTGTAGATTCACCGTGAAGATAGAAGCTTTTGAGGAGGTTTTGAGATAGTACTATTTCAATTGTTTTCGCTTGAAGTTGGACTATTTTCATTGGAATTTAAGGAACATTTGCAGGAAACCCTCATAATCAATTTGATGCCAAACAACTATGGTTTCAACCGTAGATTGCCCCAACAAAACCAACCCGTTGATATTTGGGTGGATTTTTTTTTTCGTAAAACCAATCGGTCGGTCGAGAGAGAGAGAGAGGGAGAGAGGGAGAGGGCTCCGGATGGCTTGGAAACGAGTGGAAACGTGGCTTGTTTTCGTGTAGACTTTGGTGCTGGTAAGATTTGGTAAGGTATGAGTTGGTCAAGGGGTGCATTTCTACTGGTTCTACTACTCTCAGGTGAAGCAGGTTGAGCCTGTTTCTTGACGTTTCTTGATTTGATGTCCTTAGAGATTCAGTGAGACTTATATAAATCGTGATGTCGCTTTGATTTTTTTTTGGCGACTTAGACTTATATAAACCATCTTAAATATTTGAAATCCCCAGTTGCTGGTATCACTTTTCTTCCCACCTTTCCCAAAAATACCCCACGGCCACCAGGCATCAGGCGTATGGCTTGCTGTGGCACTTGGAGCGGACGCGCCGCAGCGAGGCAGTGATGTGGCGACAAGAGGAGGTGAAGAAGGAGAGGGGTCAGCAGCAAATGCCTAGATTCTGTTGGCTTTTATTTTTTCTTGGCTTTTCATCCAATTACTGTTAGTATTTTGGAGAATTCTTGATGCTTCACTCCACATTCTTGACAAATTTTTGATGCATCAAATGCCTAAACTCGGAAATCTTCAACAATTTCTGTCGGAATCTCCCCACGATAATCCATTTCTGTTGATGCTCTCCTCATTTTCATCTATTTATTTGTAATGTCCGGTGTTTCGTATGTTTCATCCATTTCTATTATATATTCCGCATGTTCATCCATTTTCCTTATGATGTACAAAATGTCATCCATCTTGTTGAGATTTTCCACATGTTTACCCTATGATAGGTAAACTAACGTAACTATGGAAATTCACCATTTTTAATGGCTAAACAACTATTTCTATGGCCATTTTCAATAGCTATGTTTGTATGTTACCAGAGGGTAATCACCATTAATTAATTCACTATTAGCCATTAATAACCACCATTAATCGCCATTAATCCACTATTAATCACTATTAACCATAGATATTCCCATATTAACCACTATTCATCACCATTGACCACCATTAAATCACCATTTAATCACCATTCATCACCATTTAATCACCATTAATCACCATTAATCACCATTAATCACCATTAATCACCATTAAATCACCATTAAATCACCATTAAATCACCACCAACCACAAGGGTGTAACGTTTTTCGAGGCGACATCCCTCGTTTTCGAACTCCGGAGCTGTAGGAGCTGTCCATGGCCTCTTTGGCGGTGGATGCCCTGCAGTGCTGGAGCGACGAAGCCGATGCGGAGGATTCCAGCCAACATGGGGATAGTGTATATACATATATATATATTTAATATGTGTATAATATATATATATGTGTGTGTAGATGTATATTTATTTATAGCCTCTATATATGAGTATAATTTTAACATGTATATATAGAGTATTAGTACCCTTTGGCCCTCTGGTAAACTATCATAGCTATGGAAATTCACCATCTTGAATAGAGAGAGAGAGAGAGAGCTATTCATCACAAATTTCCATAAACATAGCTAAATATAATGTGGGTAAAATAAAGCCATAGGCCATTCCCCAGTCATGGGTGGTTTATGACATTGTTTCACCCACATTATATAGTTAGTAACCCCACCAAAGATAGAGAGGCGTTTCCAGGATGGGATAGATGCTACTTACAATTACCTCATATCTCCAGGTTTACAACTTTTTTCTCTTTTTGGGGGTTGCTATAGTGAGGATACAATGCGGATATTAGAAGGATACTAAACTACCAAGGATAGTGATTGATAGTGACTCATATTTCTTAATAGTGAGTACTAGCGATTATTAATGATAAATGAGAATATCATTGGGATATGGGTAATTATACGTATATTCTATTAATCCATCAATAGACTGCCTACTGTCCCTTTAATATGATCGATCTAATCCTGAATAGCCAAATCTGATTCTGAATATTCTTCCTTTATATATGATTCAATGTATATATGGGGATATATCAGAAACATATCAGAACCATATCCATTATATAGACATGGGGCATTTCCTGTGATTTAGGGTACCCCCAGTCATCATCCATTTATAGATGGGCATTTTCTATTATACTATTATAAAAGGTCTGGCTTGGGTGTCACCCTAGCGTGACAAGGGTGCCCCCCGCCGTGTTCCTTAGTGGGTTTTCGTTCCCCCGACCCACGGGTGCCAATTGAGCTGCTCGGTGCGGCTGCTCTTGGTGCCTTGCTGCGCTGCTGCGCCTGGGGAACTTTCTTTCTGCCTTGCTCTTCATCCTAACCTACCCCTTGGTGATCGGGCTTGCACCTGGGAGTACGTGACGGAGATCCTTGGTTTATGGCAAGAGTGTGTTTCTACCTCTTTGTATTTCCTTGTGATCCTCCTGGTCAAAGGCAACGGCAACAACTACAAAGCGCCGAGCACTCCGACGCCAGCGTGCTGCAGCGCGTCTGGCGTGGCACAGACATCGGAAAGGGCTGCATCGTTTGACGCCCTCTCGGCTTTACAGGATCTGGAAGGTATTAGCCGGCCGCCACTCCAAAGATCCCAGTTTTCTTGCTCAGATCCGCTTTGCAATGGCGGGGTCGACGCAGACGGGCTGGATGTGTGGTTCGTGCAGAAAGATGCGGTCGCCAAACGCATGGTTTTGCGACCTTTGTGGTCAGAGTTGGGAATATTGTGCTGTTGTGGGAAATCAGCACAAGACACAGTCCTATCCTGCCCAAGGGTCAGCACAGCAGTGGCAAGGGCAACCAAGAACCAAGAGCCCGCGTCAGCGCAACCGCCCGAAATCTCGCAAGAAGCACAAGCAGGATGCCTCTCAATGGAGCCCCTACGACAGTGTGCAAGGACCAGTTCTAGATCAAGGTGGATCTTCTTGGCCTGCGCATGCTCCATGGTATCCTCACCTTCCTGTATCTGGACAGAAAGGCAATGGCAAGGGTTGCATGCCCCTACCTATGAATATGGCATCACCTCCGCCTCCGCCTCCACCGATGTTGATGGCTCAGCAGCACCCGCATGGAGTGCCCTGGATGCAACAACCGATGCCGGCGATGTCTGCTATGCCATTTATGCCGCCTTCCATGGATGCGCCTGCTGTTCCTCCTCCTCCAACGGCGACATTGCCGCCCGAAGTGGCTGCAGATGCCAAGGTGCAACTGAGTGCACAGCAGAAGCTCAACAAAATCATGATGGCGGTCAAAAAGGAGGACAATTTGTCCCCCGAGTTCCAGCAATTGGTGCACACCGAGATGAAGAAGGACGACCGAGAAAGCACAGACGTGCTGCTGGAAGCAGTCAAAGAACTTGGAGTTGCCAAGGAAGCCTTACTAGAGCTAGAAAGTGCCCGGCTTCAGCTTTGGTCACAATGGCGGGTCTTCTTGCAGCAATCGGTCACCAAATGGAAGGAATATACCTACCAGTTCCAAGCCTCAGAGTTGGCGTTTCATAATCGTATGCAGGATGCTACGAATACCTTGAGAAGAGCTCAACGGAAAGTCGACTGGGCCAAAAAGAGAGCAGACACAGTTGGTCCCGAGGGTACAGTCTCCCTGGTGTCGGAGGACGAGATGGAGGATGCCGACAACAAGGAGGACGAAGAGTTGCCCAGGGACGAAAATGCCCAGCGCATTCACGATGGCCTTACTCAGGTTGTTACCAGCCTTGTTCAGCTCTCAGAATCGGCCGACAAATTGGAGCCAAAGCCCAAAAGGCCGCGTACAAAGGAGGAAGACGACTCCTCTGCAGCGAGAGCTGCGATGCCCAGCTTGCAGCCTTTTCACAAGGCCGGCACTACATGACCTTTGAGTATGAGTGTCAATGGCCTTCTGCGCTGGTTGATCCTGTAGCTGTTCCTCTTCATTGGGGGCACTCGGTGATCAATGAGAAGTCTTTCTTGTCTCCATGGTCGGCAATAGAAGTAGCCTCAGACCTTGCCTATGAGGTGGGTGCGCCAGGCGAGATCAAGGTTGAGGAGGTGATCTTTTGCAAGACCACATGTTCCCGTAAAACAGTACGGTTTCACCCCAATGTGCTTGTCTTTCAGGGGAAAGACTCGGAGCGGGAGTTCCACACCCGCCATATTGGGCTCAATGATGTTCATAGTGACGTGGCTCCTCACAAGTGCCCGGCATATGAAGGACAAAATCGAGCTGGTCGACAGGCAGCTCCTTCGGCATCTGCTGGCAGTTCATCCAATCGGCACTTCTTGGATCGTCGACTTCCTGCTGATGTTCCCTCGTATATTCATCATCTTCAGCATTTGTGGCGTGATGATCTGTGTCGACCTCCCCTTGACCAGCCGTATCAACTCCGAACCTGGTATATTCATCATGTGCATCAACCACAGTGGAAAGTTCCACGTCTTGTTGCCCTGCCTGGCGATGGTACAGCTTGGCACCAGCTCATTCTTGAGCGATGGCGTGACCAAATCCACAATGATGCCGTATTGAACATCGCGGTCGTGTTTCCACAGGTGAGGTCTACATTTGACACTGTCCCGGTGCATGCTGACTTGATCTTGGTTCAAGGGGGCCCTAACTTTTGTGGTGGGCTCACTACAGTTCACCCGCCAGGTGATGACACTGGTCGAGGCTACACATGGGCTGCTTCTTATCCGCGACATGTAGGAGGTGTGGGCATTTTGGTTGGCGTTGATGCGGAGGAGCTTTTGCAGACACATGCTTGTGATGTATTTCATGCTGGCATCAGTATTCCAACTACTACTGCCCCCTCTCACTGGATGTCCAATGGCCACTCATTTGTGGCAGTCTTTCAAGATTTGCAAGGTGCCAGAACCACAGTCCCGACGCCAGCTATCCCAACTGCGTCTCCTACAGCTGAAAGTGGTGAAGTTGGTGAGGATCTCACGGATCTTTCACCTGGCACTCTCGCTCTCAGCCCAGAAGCCGCCGAAGAGAGCCCGCAAGTCTCTGATTCCAGCTTTGATGAAGAGGAATTACAAGGTGTGCAGATCTTTCAACTTGGACGTTCAGTTCACCATTGTTTTCTACGCTGGCGAACGTACAATTTTGTCCTCTTTGACATGCTCCATGCCATTGGTCTGCACCGTGACATGGCCATTGGTTTTCATGTTCTGCAAGCACCACTCATTGATCAGCATCACGCAGAAGAAGCAGTGATTCTTCAACGTGTTGGAGATATTCCCGCAGCCTCTGACAGTAAGTTGGTGTTGCTCGACCTTGTCATCGAGTCCCCAACGTCTGGACCAGTTCATCCACTACGTGAAACACGTCTTCTGCCCCGGCTTATCACGAGACTTGGTCTCGTGCATGCCCTGGGCTTGCGGTCTATGTGTGATGTCGACGACTCCATTGCTGGCTGCGTGGTATACTACAACAATGTGCTTTGGGAGGCCACCAACATTGAGGTGCGCACCATTGACCATGGTGCCTACTTGCGCATCATTGTACCCCAACGGCATGACCAGCTCGTGGAGGAGCCAAGGCTCAAGAGAACGATACAGCAGTGCACCCCTGAAGCCTCTGCGGGTTCTGCTAAGTTCAGCAGAGGAACGCGTCCTTCGACACGTCCTGATTCCGTCGATGTTGATGCTTCATCGCTGATGCAAGTGCATTCAAGTCCAAGCTGTGAACACTCATGTACATCGCTGGCACCACGTAGCTGTAGTGCAATGTTTCCAAGCTTGGCCAATACACATCGAGGCATTGGTGTAATAGCTTCCTCCAGGCCGCGACCCCCTCAAACAGCCTCTCGGCAATGGATGCTGCAGACTCGTATGGCATTTCACGAACGTGCCACAACTCAGCCGCATGATGAGGGTCCAGGCCTACAAATGACGACATGGTTTTTGCATCATGATCGTTATGCCAGAAACTTTGAATCGAGAGATCTGAGACTAGATGCTTTTCCTCAGCTATGGTATCATGATCTGTGCGATCTATGGGCGGACACCATGGACCCCGAGCAGGAGGCGCAGGTATTCTTTGTGCACCCACTGCCACCATCTGATACCCAGAGATCAACACAAGGGCACCTGCTTTTGGTACAAGGGCATGGGCAAAATGTACCAGTGCTCCTGACCGTCCTTTTCGACCACGCCGTTAATCGCAGAGTATGGCACCTAGCTGCCTTGGTGCCGGCTGTGGTCGCCCAGCAGGACATTCTGCACATCTTGGACATCCAACGTTGGTGTTCCCGTCGACTGTGCATGATTCAATCAGGTGGACTCTTGGTTCAGCACCCACTATTGCCTCACAATCAGCCTGGAGAAAGCATCGTTGTCACTATTACTCAGCAAGCTCTCCCAGTCGAGGCAGATGATGTTGGGTTTATGCAAACCACTGAGCCAGTTGTTCAGACTGTTTCAGCAAGTCTGGGTTCTCATCAGCGTTTACAGCCATTGGCACATGCTTCTGATGCCACTTGTGGCGATGATCATTTCCTACACCCTTGGCTCGTTGACCACAAGTGGAACAATGACCTCCAGGACTCATTTCTGGAAAATTCGGTAGTCGAGGTTGAGGAAGAAGGACCAGTCCTTTATGTCTGGACTTGGTTCATCCACCATGGCCTGTTTCCTCGTTGTCGAGAGCCCCGCATAGTGAGGTTAGACAGGAAACATGACAACTGGCTTCGCGATTTGCTGGCCCCATGGGATTTTGCCTGCCAACGAGCCACACAGACTCAGGTCTCCATCGTTCATCCACAGCCTCCCCATGATGCCCTGCACATGGAAACGGTGCATGTCATGATTGAGCAGACGCCTCGTGAGCCAGTAGCGGCAGCAGTGATTTCTATCATCTATCATGAGGGACCGGCAGATCGTCTTCACCAAGAAGCACGCTCCTTGCCCAGATGGCTATGCACGGATGACCTGATTGACATCATGGACCTCCATCCAATCTGTGACTTTCAAAAATGCACAGCCCGGATTGGTCGAGTACCATTCCAGCAATTCATACGAGATGATATTCCTACAGCAACTGGCATTGAGCTTCATGTCAAACCAGTGTTTTGCGAAGGAGATCACACAGCTGCCAGTTCCAACCAGCCATACCTCCCACGCCCACTGCTCCCTGCAGTTGGGCGTTCGTTGATGCAGACTGTGCGTCGATGGCAACGCACCCGCCTCCTTGTGCAACCTGCAGAGGATGTTGTCCCTGGTGAGCACCTGGCTGATGAGTATCACATGACTCCCCAACGAGTTGCAGACTGTGCCTCTCTGGGGCACCATCTGCAGCCAGCTGCTTTTCCTATGTGGCCTACTTCCTGGACTACCTTGCATGAGGTGTGGACGTTTTATTTTGCCCAAACAGCAGCACCTGAAGGTATGACCATTCGAGCTGCGGTCTGGTATTCCGACCATGTCAGGCGGCCTTGGTCTGAGGACTGCAGAACCGTTACGCTTGATGCCAACCTTGACTTGTGGCATGCACATCTTGTAGCAGCGTGGGAGGATTGGATGCTTCCAGACCGGCAGATTGAAATTGTGGTTGTGCGCCCTGTTCCTCTTGGCGCCAATGAAGATGCCCACTTTCATGTCATCATCCTGCAGCAGCCGCAACCAATGACTAAGACAGTCATCCTTACCGTGATGGATGCCTTTGCTGACCCTTGGCACCCAGGACAAGTTTGCTTGACGGTTCCCAATGCGGTGGATCACTGGATGCTGTTACACGCTGCTGCGGTTGAATTTCAATGCCCGCCGGCAGTTCCCAATTCAAGGTGTACCACTTCTTTTGGGCATACTGACTTGACAGCAGGCAATTTATTTCCAGTCCAACATGGCATGTGTTTCACGGTTACCGTTGAGGGCTCGTTAGAGCCAGTGCTACCACTGCCTCTTGATGATGCAGCTGATCCTGCGCATGACCCCAGTGCCCATGGTGTTAGTCTCCTGCAGCTCCACGCGAAGTTTTGTCGAGTTCGACTGAGCTCCCAAGTGTTGGCCGCACAGACGCAGCAGCTCTTGCAGGTATTTGATGATGTTATGGTAGAGCTTTCACCCACTACGGTGCCACGTCCATTATCAGTGCACGCTGGTTGCGGTGACACCATTGAAGCTGTTCCTCAGCTGACATCATCTTCGACCAGCCCAGTGGTGCTGTCATTGCAAGCCACATTGACACCAGCGGGTGATCTAGATGCTCCGACCTATCAGGACGAACTATCAGCTCTACAGTGGCTTCATCAACCTAATTGGGAAGCCAAATGTGCTCAGCTCAGTGAACTGCCTCTCATGCCTTTGCCAGATGGGGTTCAGATTCCTCTTGAATCCTATGCTGCAATGATGGACCCCACGTTGGCCCCAGCTGCCAGCAGCGCTACGTGGGAACTCTATGTAGATGGTGCCACATCTGCCACTGCAGCGGCCTGGAGTGTAGTTCTTGTGCAGACTGATGGAACTTCTACCTGGTTTTATGGGCAACTTTCGGGTCACGTTGAGCTCAACCCTACATCGCCTTGGTGGATTGGAGCTGACACGCTGGACAACATTGCCGCGGAATTTGCAGCTATGTTAGTAGCGATGCGTCTGGCTCATTCTGGACTGCTCACTGGCAATGTACTCTTGCGACCGGACCTTCGTCTCAGCAAGCACATCGCCATGCAAGAATGCTCCACTACATCCAATCCATTGATGGCGCAAATTATGCGTTTGTATTCGCAATGGTTGGGGCGACAACTTAGTGTTCAGGAAGTGCGTGGTCATCAGCATCATCCGTGGAATGAGCTCGCTGACAGGCTCGCCAAGTTTGCACTCACAGTCGATTCCAATCCGGCTGTGCTAGAGTGCTTACAGCCGCTCCATGCGCTTGCAACTGAAACCACAGATGTGGAATGGGCCTGGCTTCAAGCTTGTCCTACCTCATTGCTTGCTGCTTTCCCGCCTCTATGTGATGGACAAGTGATGCAATTTCCCTTGTCATTGCGGCGGCCTGGCATTGCCCGACAACCGCCCCATCCTGACCGTGATGTTGCACTGCAATCTTGGGATCTTGATATTTCCTTCATGACTGTCAATGTGCTCGCGTTGGACACTGACCATGGAGATCGTGAATGCGGACGGCGCACCGGTACCCGTACCCAGCGGCTTGATGCCCAATGGCACTCCCAAAGATTCCACATTATTGGCCTCCAAGAAGCACGTACGGTCAAAGGGACCTTTAGTACGGAGCACTATCGCATTTGGTCCTCAGGTTGCGTTGGTCCTGATGCAGTCCGTTTGGGATGTGAACTCTGGTGCCACACTGGCATGGCTCTTGCCACGACGCGGGATGGTCAAACGCTCAAGTTGGAAGATTTCGTGGTCGTGGTCCTTCATGCTGATCCACGTCGCCTTTTGGTTCGCTTTGAAAGCAATGTGATGACCTTCTCCTTGGTCGTATTGCATACCCCATGTCTTCAAAAGACCAAAGGGCAAGGGCATAGGCCCATTGATGATATCTCGCAATGGTGGGATGACACGGCGCAGCTCTGTGTTACCAGCCTTCGTGATGAATTGGTGTGGTACATGGTGGACGCCAATGCTCCCCTTGCCACGGTTGCCTCTGCCAGTTTTGGCTTGCATGGTGCCGAGACCAGCAATGCGCAAGGCTCTTTGTTTGAGACCTTCTTGCAGGAGCACAATTTGGTTGTTCCTTCTACATTTGCCAGATTGCATGTTGGTCCTACTGAGACGTGGACTCATTCCTCTGGTAAGAAGATGAGAAGGGACTACATGCTTACTTCCCAGATGGCAGCAACTTTTTCCCAAAGAACGTGGGTGCTGGTGGACCACGATACTACGTTCCTACATGAGGATCATCTTCCACTATGCCTGCATGCCAAAGGTACTTTTCAAGCGCAGACTCATGGCCCAAACAAAATCCGATGGGACGCTGATCGTTTGCGAGATCCATCAGTAGTTGCAGAGTTTCAAGCCGCTCTTGCCACTTTGCCACTGCCTACTTGGGATGTGAATGTCGATGAGCACTGTCGCTTGTATGAGACCAATCTCCTGCAGCTAGCCAGACAATACTTTGAGAAGCGCACCTTCAAACGCAAACGGCCACAGCTCTCTGGACGAACGCTGCAATGTATTGCCTTCAAGCGGCATCTCCTTGACTGTGGTAGGGCTTGGAACCTCATGCATGATGAGCTGTTCAAGCAGGAGCTGAAGCTGGTCGAAAAAGAGGTTAGGGCCTTGGTGCGTGGTGACTTGCAGATTTACTACGACCAGATCTTGGTCCAACTTCAAAACGCTGGAGAGCTACATGATCTCAAGGCCGTCTTTCGGCTCTTGACACGCCTTGGCTCCAAAAAGATCAAATCCGGCACCAGTATACGCCCCTTGCCAGCGTTGCGCAAAAATGATGGTACCCTTGCCACATCATTTACTGAGCAACAGCAGGTATGGATGCAGCAGTTCAGTGAGATTGAAGCGGGCGTACCCCTTCATTGGGAGGTGTTGCAACGATTGGATCGACCGGGCCTTGGACCTCCCAAAGACATTCAATGTCAAGAGCTATTCCCATCTCCATGGGAACTTCAGCTCGCCCTCAAGAAACTCAAGAGGGGCAAGGTACCCGGACAGAACCAGCTGCCTCCAGATGTACTTAAGGCTGGGGCCGCCCCGCTTTGTCATCAGCTTTGTGCCCTAACCACAAAAGTGGTTGCTCATTGCAAAGAACCATTGGAGTGGAAAGGTGGGCAATTGATCCCTCTTTCCAAGGGCAAGCCCGATGCGGCTGACCCCACTGGCTATCGCAGCATTTTCATCAGCGATTTCACGGCCAAGATGTTTCATATGACCATGCGCAACTACTTGGTTCAAGTATGGGAGAATGGAATCCAGTCTCTGCAACTGGGAGGGCGCAAGCGTATGGGTGTCGATTTTGCCCATCATTTCCTTCAGGCTCATCGTCATTGGACAGCGAGCAGGAAACTTCCCAGCGCATATCTCTTCTTTGACATCAAATCGGCGTTCTACAGTGTTTTGCGACAAGCTCTGTTCCCGGACGAGGCTCCTTCTTTGTCACTCATCGCTGCCTTATCCAGATTCCGAGTTAGCGCCGACGACATTGATGGCATGCTTCAAGCCGTACGAAGGGATGATGCTACAGCTGGGATTTCTGACCATTTCCGCCTTCTCCTACGTGATGCGCTCACCAACACGCACTTTTTCATCAAGGGATTGGATACCCCCTGCCAGACTCATCGTGGGACTCGCCCTGGAGACCCACTTGGAGATTTGCTCTACAATATGGTCATGGCGTTGGTCATGCGTGATGCTCGTGACTTGACACATTCCATCACTGGTGTCCCGTGGATTGGAACGCCAACACCATGTGACAACTTTGTGGATGAGCAGACGATTCCGGTTCCGGCATTCCTGGACCTGGCTTTTGTGGATGATTGTGCGGTGGCAATACATGCAGAGACACATGATGCGGTCCAGCAGGTTGTCCAGGCCTCTGTCCACGCCATGGACCAGGCGGCAAAACGTCGAGGCTTATTGCTCAACTATGCGTCTGGTAAGACTGAGGTGATCTTCAATATTCGAGGACAGGGTGCCACGGCCATCAAAACGGCTCTCAATGACGCTGGTTCCCGCATTGCATGGGAACAAGACGACATCCTCTATTCCTTGAAGGTTGTCCATTGCTACAAACATTTGGGTACATGGTTGCAGCAGGGCACAAAGTCCACCAAAGAGGTAGCTCACCGGACTGCCACAGCAAGACAAAGCTGGGGACCGCTGCATCGGTCTTTCTACAGTAAGCGCTATGTGGCTCTTCGCTCCAAGATGGTGGTCTTTCAGTCCCTCACAATGTCGCGCCTTCTCTACAATGCCCACGTTTGGTCGCCGTGCTCTCCAGCCATGCTCCAAAAGTGGCAAAATGCCATTCGCAAGCCGCTCGGGTTGATTGCCAAGGGCCAGACTATGGGTGTCTCGCCCCTTGTGTTGGATGTCCCTACACTTTGTGGTTTGTTGCGACTCCTTCCTCCTGAAGATCAACTACACATGGCTCGTCTTCGTTATCTCAAGCGCATGCTGGCGATGTGCCCAGCAATGTTGTGGCAGATGCTCATTGAGATGATTGACGACTCCGACTCTTGGGTTGGTGCCTGCAGTACTTCATTGGCGTGGTTTCGGGAGTTCTACTCCGATCACTTCGATGTGCCGAGTTCCAATGATGTCAGACAATGGCTGCCACTCATCCAATTGGATGTCAATTGGGCTGGGCGGATTCGAGCCGCAGGACGTGCGTGCCGACGTTATCGCCAAGCTTGTGCAGAACATCACGCCTGGCAGAAGCAGTTTGATGACTTCTTTGAGGCTAATGGAGGTGTTTTACCCGCACGACCTGCCCTATGCCTGCACAAGTGGACGTGTGACCAGTGCCAACAGTGGTTTTCTTCCAAGCGTGCTTTGGCCTCTCACTCGGCCAGAGTTCATGGGTACAGACGCATTGTGAAGTTTTTCGCTATTGGGGATGTCTGCCAGAGCTGTTGCCGATGGTATCACAACCGTAGTAGGTTGGCGGAACATTTGGGCTATGCTACGCAATGTTTGGAGACATTACGAGCTTGTTTTCCCCCAGTATCCGATGAGACCTTGGCAGAATTGGATGCAGAAGAATGGCAGCATAATGCGGAGCTTCGTCGTGATGGATGGGGTGCCACCAAGGCCCTGAAGCCAATGCGGCAGTTGCTTGGACCTCAACTCCCTCGCGCCGGTACAGCTGATGCTCAGCTCATGCAGAATAAGTACCTCGCACGCCAAGGGCAAGTTGGACAAGCCTTCACCAAGCTGCAAGGCAGATGTGAGCAACCTGTGGATCATCAGCCCCAGGTTCACCTATTCGCCGAAGACTTCCCTGTGTTTGTGTTCAATAACCCTGAGGGCTTTCAGATTGGTCACGGATGTTTTGATTTGCATGGACTTGCCAGAGAATATGCGATTTTGCATGTGCGCTCTTTGGTTTTCGTGCATTTCTTTTCCGGCTTTCGTCGAAGAGGAGATCTTCATGAACTTTTAGATCATCGCTTCATTGCTCCGGATGTCGAGATCTTTGTGATTTCCGTGGACCTCTGTTTGCAACGTGAGCAGGGCAACTTAATGTCGTCCGCTTCGCACGACTTCTGGGCCAAGAACATCGAGTCAGGCCGTATCGTCGGCGCCGGCGGCGGTCCGCCGTGCGAAACATTCTCGGCTGCTCGGTTCCAAGATGATGGCCCGAGAGCTTTGAGAAGTGCAGACTTTCCATGGGGCCTGCCGGCACTTCATCCATGGGAGTGGTGCCAAGTCTTGGTGGGCACAAGACTTTTGCATTTCCTTTTGGACATGCTGATCCGCCTTGCCCGGGGAGGAGGTTGTGGATTTTGTGAACATCCACAGTATCCGACTTGGCTTCTTTCCAAGTCCCCGGCAAGTATCTGGTCGCGCCCAGCTGTCCGAGCCCTGCGACTTCTGAGATGCATTGGAGTGACTTCTTTTGATCAGTGCATTTTCGGCGCTGAGGCTGTAAAGCCAACAACGGTTTTGCACCTCAGGTTGTCCGGTTTTCGTAGGAGGGTCATGCATCGAGGCCGGTCTGGCCGCTGCCCACATGGGGCTGGTGCACATATCCAATTGCGAGGTCATGATAGTGACGGTAGCTTTCGCACAGCCCGGTGCAAAATTTACCCGAAAGACCTCAATGAAGCTCTGGCTGATGCAGTTTTTGAGTTTTGTCAGCAGACGTTTGCTGATGTGCCCATCTCTTCAGAACTTGCACCAGAGCTTCAGCCCTTCGTTTGCGCAAATTTTGTGGGGCCCAATGAAGTCCAACCAGACTATCATGGTGCCCATGTACAGGTGTGAACGAACGGCCTTTTTAGCCTGTTTTTCCCTACGGGGATCTCGCATGTGAACCGAGTGCAGACCTGCACAGTATGCCGAAAAAAAAAATCTATTATAATGGAAAATCATAGATTTAGCTGGATGGCATTGATAGATGGGATACCAATTTATAGATGGCATTTTCCAAACCATCTATAACCATCTATAAATTGGATTAAATTGGATGATTGGGATATCGCCAGCTATTCTTGTTCCATTTCTAAACCATCTATAAATTGGATAATAGCTGGGTATCTCCAGCTATTTGTTGATATAGTTTTTCCATTTCCAAACCATCCAGCTATTCAATGGCCAATTTTTCAGGCCTAAATTTCAGGGAATATCCCCACAAAAATATGTCCAAAAATATGGTACAATGGTACAGTACCTCCATTTTAGGATCCTGAAATTCCCATTGAGCTATTGTTGGCACCGGCAGGTCACTGCAGCCTTCGGCCGTCTCCTTGGCACCTGGGCCAAAAGGCAGCTGCTCGGTGCGAGCGCAGCGGGCAGCGCGGTGCCGGTGGAGTGGATGCCCAACCTGGGGCGCCTCGGAAAAGTCGAAAATGGGGGGGGAAAGCCATGGATCATTTCCCATAGAAATAGATGGTAAACAGCCATTAATAGCATGGTGATTTTCCATGGCCTTTTTGTGAAATAACCAGATGGTATATGGTATGTTATGGTGATGTTAGATGATGTTATGGTGGTTTTAGATGATTGTTTCATGGTTGCCATCGTTTAATGATGATGTTTATGAACCATGAACTATAGGGAAGGGAACAAACATATATAGGATTGACCGACCTGGAAATTCCCAACAAATAGTCGAATTTTTCAGATTTATCCAGATTAATGATTTTAGATTATTTTTAAAGGGTGGTTGCCACAGCAATACAATACAGGAATGATCATGTTTTGTCCAGTTTTTGGTAAGCGCCAAAACGATAGAACCGTTATTTACAACTATCTTAGGATTTGATTTTTTTTTTTTTCGGGGGGATGGATGGGGATGTAATGAGGATATAGTGGGAAGATCATGAGAACTTTGTAAGGTATCACCTCGAAGCTATGGCAACGCTTTTCTCGGGAACTTCTTGGATGGTCCCCCTGAGCTCCACGCCGGGATGATTTGTGCCACCAAGGATGCAGCTTGAGGATGGTTCATCGGTACCAAAGATGAAGGTGATCCATGGTAATTCCATATATCAATATATCAATATATATATATAATATAATATAATATAATATAATATAATATAATGTAATGTAATGTAATATAATATAATATAATGTAATATAATATAATATAATTTAATATAATATAATATAATATATATATGTATATTTATATATATCATATATCATATCCCTTCCCCAAATAAATATTGAAGATCCCCGAAGCAAAAACCTGGTTTGGTATTGGATCTATTCATTTTGGGGGCGCAAAATGCACAGATCTGTAAGGTGCAGCTGCACTGGCAGGGTACTTCAGGAGCGGCCTGGGTAATGGCTGGGTTGTTTTGCAAAACTCAACTGATACATAAGCTTGGTTGATAAGTCCTCCCAAGGGGGTCATACCATTTATATATATGGCTTTTATTAGAACCCCAGTTACCACGCAGTGACGATCCCTGGGATGATCTTAGTAGCAGTAGCATCTAGTAGCTCCATTTCCAACTGATACTCATCCATTCAAACCCTTGAGGCAAGGTGTTTTCCGATGTGCTCACATCAGACTTCCAAGTCCCCAGTATTTCACCATCATTGCTACATCAAATTGCCATATTTCAGCAATCCCACGCCATTCCAACCCCCTAAAAGTACAAGTCCAACTGCCCCAACCCTAGGAGTTGCATCTCTCCCCCCGTGCCGTTGCTTCCCCCTGGCTCTGTCGCGCGCGGCGCGGCACGCGCGACTGGTGGCCGCGCGGGGACTGGCAGAGCGCCCAGCCGTCGGCCAAGCTGATCGTGGCGTGGGTGGAAGGGACGCTGCAGGGGGAGGCTGGGAGAACGTGGGCGTGGGCGAGTGCCGTAATGTTAGTAAAGTATAATAAAAAATAAGAAATTTATGATAACAAAAACTAATCATAGTTAATAATATAATAAAGAAACAAATACATAGTAATCAATCATAAGATATATACATAATAATAATGATAATAATGATAATCATGACGGTAACAACAATAATTATATATATATATGTGTGTGTGTGCGTGTTACGTACAATAATGTTTATACCACCCATTTATGGACCATTTATGCACCATTTTGGACCACGCTTCTCATTTCTATGCAAAAATCATGTAACACCCAGATCTTGATAGTGACATTTGAGGGGTTTTTGAATGATCAAATCCTCTAAACAAGGTGAGGCCCCCCCCAGTTCTAAGTTGGTTTATCAACCCCTTAACTACTGTACAGTTATACCACCCATAGACCCTAGAATTCACCAAGTCATAAGTCAACTTAGCTATCATAAATCAGCTATAAATCCCAATCAATCCCCATTTTTCTTGGTTAAATCACACTTTTCCTATGGTTTTTGCCTATCGAGCGCCAGTCGCAGGTGCTCCACTGCCACGGCCACGGCCAGCTTCGCTCGCGACGCCTGCAGCCGCTGCGCGGGGAGCATGACCGCAGCGGGCACGCGGAGAGGCAGGCGTTGTGCCTCGGTACCAAAAATGATGAAAACATGGGGATTGAAATGGATTGAAGTGATCTAAAACTGAGGTTTTGGATGATTTCATGAGTTTTGTTTGAAATTTTCTTGGTGAAGAGATATTTCAGAGCATGAGCCAAGATTTTTTGGCCAGCAATAAAGTGGTGAGGTCACACTCAATCGGTGGTGTGGCTAAAAAGAGCAGTGATCTAACATAATTTAACCATCTAACATGGGGATATAAATGGATTTAACATTGACGATCAAAACTTTGGATTTTAACGTGGCCCAAAATGGATCAAATCTCCTGAAACTGCACGACTGGAATGCGGCACATGATCTTCCGTAGGCTCGTGGACAAGGGCCCAGATTCCCCTAAACATCATTGCAATGAATTGTAACGGCCATCTCCCGTTTTGGAGCCTTGGGCCACATTTGAAGGTTCGATTCTACCATTTTCTAAGAATAATCAGCATTTTCGCCAACATGAATCAACATTTCCTACCATTCGATGGTTGGTTCTCCCATTGTCTTGGGCGTACCAGCCAAGGATCTCTCTCCTCTGGCGGGTGGCTCCCGAGCCAAAGCGAAGTCGCGGTCCTGCCAATGGGGGAAGAAAAGTGCGTCACTCGTGCGGCTTGTGCGCAAGGATCATCGTTGCCAGGGGAACCTAAAAGTCTAAAAGGATCAATCAAACCAACAAAAATGGTGAGTTAATATCATTTAACCGACACGAAAAGAAAGAATTTAAGCAACATGCGCATTGGGATTTGTACCGGCACATGCGTTTCACTGGGTTGGATTAAAGTAGGAACATCTACTGGAACACCTGGCTACCATCAAATGCACGGGTTACCTTTCAGCCAATCAATTCTTCATGGATTATGTTTCCATTTATGTTGCTTAGCATCCAGATGTGCGACACAAGCAACTTATAGAATCCCACCCATTTCAAAATGTTAACGAAAAAACCCTTCACCGAAACCCTAAACTCATCAAACATGAACAGACACACATTACTTTGCAATATCATTAGATGGTTTAGGATGTTTAGGTAGGGTCTATCTATGAGCCTTTTCAGAGTAGAGGCCCAACAACCTCGAAGTTCTCGGTGCCCAGGTCCCCATGGAGTCCGGCGGATGCGTGGGTAGCTGGTTATACCACGATTTTCATGAGAATTTCAGGCGAAAATTCGGGCACCCGCAGATGATGGGTATGTTTAACTATAGGAAGCAGTATGAAGCAGTATGAAAACATCCTATGATGATGGTGCTCCAATAGACCCAACACATCCCAAGACCCATACTGACAAGATGCTGTTTTACAGCTGGTGGTTGCTTTCTTGAGACTTGGTGGTGTTCTCTTCAAGGCTTTTGATTTCCAACATTTCCAATCCCAAACGGGATGGTGGTCAAAATTCATCCCAATTCTATGATTCTACTGGTTGGTGGTTTGGAACATGATTTATTTTTCCATATATTGGGAATCATCATCCCAACTGACTTTCATATTTTTCAGAGGGATGAAACCACCAATCAGTCTATGATTCTATATTATGATTATCGGGTAATCCTTTGTTTCGTTATGTTTTGTTTGTCACCACCAGTGGTTTTCTCACCTTGGACGGTGGAAATGGTCACCGAACCAACACTTTTTCGCCCCTGGCGTCTCGCACAGCGAAAAGCGTTCGAAATTCCGTGGAGGAGGTGTAACTCTGCCATCAAACCTACCATTTTTGGAGGGGGTTATGGGGTAAGGGATGATATACTCAAAAATTGGGGTTTCCCACATTTTTAGACGTGAAAGACCTTGAAGGTTCCCACATATTCTTGTGACATGTATGATATGCATGATTTCAACATGGCGTTGTTTCTCACGAAAAACGGGCTACATTTAGTTCTTTCATATCACACCCAATTCATCACACTTCTTGGATTGGAGGCATCGGAAAGCTGCAGCTTTGAGCCGCCGGGGAATCGGGGAAGTCTCCCAGGGGTCCCAGGTCGACCAACAGAGCGCTTCGAAGTGTGGTGTCTCCTCATCCACCCTGCAGGCGTGGGATCAGCAGAGAAGCGGCAAACACGGGGATTGAACCAGACGACTGGCAAGTAACCATGGGGGCTTAGCTAAGAACCATGGAGGATTTGAATATAGATAATATAGGTTTTAAATGGTTTTAATTGATCTTAAGGAACCAAATTTTGGGAGATGTGGGGATACAAACTTGATACAAACTGGACACCCCAGATATTGGATAACGTTTTGTTGTCCCGGGCTGGAGACGACGATCATGAGACGACCTGGGTTTTACTATGGGGTCTACCTTGTTTTGCCCGCCCAAAAACAGCAATCGACTTCGATTCAACCAATGATTTTGCGATATTTTGATCTCATTTTGGGTTTGCGAAAAAAACAATGGTGATTTTCAATGGTTTCTCCCAATTTCAATGGTTTCTCCCAATGGTTTCTCCCAAAAAACGACTTCTCCCAATGGTCTCTCCCAATGATTTGCAACGAGCTGTCTTTGGTGAGGCATATCTTCGCAGGGCCCAAGCGCAGGGGCTCCAAGTGGAATGGAGCTATGGATAGCCTGGTATGCCATGGTTAAGTTATACCCTCCAGTAAACTAACATAGCTATGGAAGCTATGGTCCATTTATATCCATTTATGGATGGTTTACCATGGTTTACCTATTGAACATGGTGATTTTCAATAGCAAACTGTTAGTTTACCAGAGGGTATTCATATGGATGTGTCATGATTTTTCATGGCCCAGTCGAAATAATTGATTTACCCAGTCGCAAAAATGGTGGATCTTTCCATAGTTATGGGACAGTTTACCAGAGGGGAACCTCATTCATATATCTGGATAAATTACAACGACCTCACTGTTCTCCCTCACTGGAAATCATGGTTCGTAAGGGAAATTATCCCCTTTTATGGCCCCAAGAAGGTTAGTGAAATATGATAATTTACCCAGATATATGGATGTTTCATGATGTTTCATGATGTTTCCTAAAAATGGTATACCAGTATACCCCAAATTCCCCACATCATCCAAGTCATGAACGACCATTTTAGGATTAAAAACCATGGTGACTTGGCGATAACCCATTTCAAGAACCCCGAAGAATATCCGTTGGAGCTATGTCTTGGTGTCTCGTGGTCGGTTGATAAAGGGATCCCAAGGCTTCGTTGGTGTTTCATCTGTTTCCTTGCTTTAAATAGTTGCACTTGAACAGTTTATAGTTTAGTAATTATGGTTTATAGTTTAGTAGTTATAGTTTAGTCTGAACATGTCTGAACATATCTGCAAACAGTTTAACTATGTTTAACATGGTTTAACTCATCATTTTCCCCTTTAATTGCAATTTTAGAGAACATCTACCTTATTTTTTTGCAGCATGTTCAGGCCCCAAATGACACATATCTCCAGTTGCGCCCCTGCATGGCAATTGGATCCCGCTGCCGTCGCCCGGTAACCTCGCTGGGATCAGGTCATAGGCATAGGTGACACCGTTCTCCGGTGTCATCAGCATAAATCCATCAATTGTAAATGGAGGTTTAGCGTGACATATCTCCATGATATCTCATGGAAATCCTCTCCATTCTTGGTAATGACTAACATAGCTATTGAAAATGGTGATTAATGGAGGTTTCTGGAATCATCTGCAAATGATTTGCCATTCGTTTGGTGAGACCAGTGAGACCAGGTTTGGTATCTGGCAATCTGGAATGCAACCAATGGAAGAATTCTCCACCAGTCTCATTCATCTCATTCATCTCCGATTTTTTGGATGGGATTTATGCCCCACAGAGTGGGGATTTGAAAATCGCATCACCTGAAAATGTATTTGTTGGAGATTACGGTATATCATTATATCCCTTTCCTGTTGGGTGTTGAAGTCGGACATTTACAAACCCTGCGAAACCAATGATTTTTGGCTGGGGGAACTCCAACAGTTTGCCCTAGAGCTAGAAAGCGACAACCTGCAAAGTGTAGCAAAATCAAGAGATGCTGATAAAATGAAACCAATGATGATGGAAGAATACGTCCATATGTTTTCAATGGCGTATTATAATCTTCCCAATTGCAGCCCTGTAAATCATAAAATCCCTATGAATCCCCTATACATCCCCTATATTGATTATATTCCAGATTTTTTGGATGATCTCTCCATGTGTCTTCATGGCGCCTCCAGCACGGCGCGGTGGAGGCTCGGCAGAGGATACTTCCCGGAAGATGATCCTTGATGCCCTCTGGTAATTTAACATGTAGCTACTGTAGCTATGGAAAAACGGTGGAAATTCACCAGATGTCTAACTAATGTAGCTTATCATAGCTAATTTTTTCTAAATTCTGAACTAACTTGGAAAATCACCATGTAAATTCTGGAAAATCACCCATGTGTAATAGGTTTTTTATAGGTAAATCATCCAACTGGGATTTGATCCCGAGCCGAAACTCGGCCGGCAGTCACCGGTCACCTTTTTGGCCACCTCGAACGCCACAGGTTTTCGGTGCGAGGATTTAGATAATTCGAGTTCGACCATTTAATGAACTTTCATGATAGTTTAGTGAAGTTTAGTGTATATATATATGTATACATGTATGTATGTATATACTAATATGTATATATGTATACATATATACTATATATATATGTATATATGTACATATATACTATATATATGTATGTATGTATGTAATATACTATATATGTATATAATATACATATACTTCACACATATCTTGCGAGAGTCACTTACGATTTCACTAATTTGACCCCGGCGCGTACTGCAAGATGGCTCCGAGGTGACAGATCGCTGCAACGCACCATCCACTCAAGCTACCGATCGGTCAAGGATTGAACAGTTATCCTAAGACGATGTTTAGGAACATTATTATACTTATGTTAGGTGGATTATCTTATTATATCTCTAAGTATTGCTAAGTAAGAATTCTACTGTGATGTTCGAAGAGAGTCGTAACAAAATGATACGTATACAATCATATCATATCATGTCATATCACATAATGATATAGAATGCCTGGTTGGTGGTTTGGAACATTTTTTTCCATATGTTGGGAATGTCATCATCCCATTTGACTTTCATATATTTTTCAAGATGGTAGGTCAACCACCAACCAGATGCAGTTGTTCCCCCATAAACTTCCCATTTGGGGATGATACCACCCATAATTTGATGCTCACTTGGGGATGCTTGGCCGGCCTTTGACCACACATCATCCGTTTTTTTCGCGCAGCAATGGAAGCCAAATCGGAGCCGGCCGGCTCACAAAGCAACGACGTGCCGCAAATCCAACGCCTTCTGCTGCAGCAAAAGGAGGTGACAACCCCAATGGGTGTGATTTCAAGCATCCAAATGGATCCAAATGGTAGGTTTACTATATACATATGTATAACACGCGCACACACACACACATATATATATAGAGAGAGGGTTCCCCACATTCATATAGTTGACACTAATAACACATAATGATAACAACAAACATAATAGTAAACACAATGACAATTTCAATCTTTGTTGCAACAATAATCAAAGCAATCCATAGGTGATGTCAAATAGATGTCCTTTTCCCATTGGTTGGTTGATTAATAGAGGGGTTAGAAGAAACCCCTTTAACAACAGGTAAATGATAGAGGGT